CAGGGAAGAGGTTCCCTTCCTTTCCCCTGTAGCACCGTAATTGGAAATTTGGTTACTGTACTAAATTTTTAGTTTTGGCGCTCCCATGGAGCAGCCATCCATCTGCTGGCGAGACACACTGCCCGGGCTTTTCAAGAAATCCCTTAATAGTCCTGAACACTAATAATATTTATATACATTGAGATGAGACAAAATTTACAGCAGGCTTCTGGGGCTGGCTCCAGGACTCTCTAATCCCAGACTTCCTCGTGTTCTCCTGCCTGCCTCCCAGCGTCCTCGTAGGTTGTGTTTCACCAAGGGGAACGCTGGCATCCGTCCCCGGAATGACACTTATTTATGGAGTTTGTACTCTAGCAAGCAAGTCGCCTCTCCTTTTGACCTTCTCCTCCTGTCCGCATCCTGCCCTGTTTTTATTCCCCCACAGGTATTAGATGAGTGTTTTTGCATAGTTTACATCATTCGACATACAGAAACCCCTTGGTTTGTGAGCCCTTGAAGAGAGACTGTTCTGTCTATAAAGAAAATGATTTTACTTAGTTTGCTTCACTGAAGTTCCTTCTGAAATAGCTCCCACCACTGAAACAAACCCAACTTCCCCAGCCTGTTGCGTTGGTTGTGGCAGGAACTCCTGACTGTGCTGTTCCATGTAACTAACCCCTTTGGGGGGTCTCAGTGGCCCATGCTCAGTCATGCTGTTTCCAATGGAATGGGGGATGGAAATACAAAACATGTCTACAGGTACTTTGTCAAGTAATTTTTTTTTTCTTTATCATCCTGGAAAAGCCTGACATTGACATTTAGGAATAACTTATTGCAGGCAAGAATAGGGGGACATTTTTCTGTTCTTTTAAATGCTTTGCAGTTTTTACTACTGCATTAATAGCTATTTGATCTTGCTGTCTATTACTCATTGTATATAGCAGTTTCTTTAAATTTTAAGTGAGGAAAGTGGGTTTCTGCAAGTAGATATTGGTCCCAGTTAGTCTCTGAGGATGATGGTAAGAGTCTTAATCAGTTTTCCCTTCTTCCAGTGACAAAGTATGTTGGTGGCAGTGGCTGAAAAGCAGCCTCCAGGGACATTAGTGCTCCCAGTGGGGTATACGCTTAACACTGTTGGTACATGTGACAAGAGAGCCTGTGAGCATCATTTCTGTAGCTACTTTATTGAACCCCACGGACCAATCATAGCATGTGAACTTTGTGGGAACAACATTAACAAGTCTGCAGGTCTCCTCTCTTCTAGCCTGATCCCTCTTTTTACAGCTCTGCCTTCTCCAATCATCATACCCACTACACTGAGGCAAGATGATTCTTCTTCTTGGCTTTTTTTTTTTTGAGAAGTATTCGGTTGCCTGGGCTGGAATGTAGTGGCCTCATTATAGTTCACTGCCACCTAAAACTCCTAGGCCCAAGTGATCCTCCTGCCTCAGCCTCCTGAGTAGCAGGGACTACAGGCATGCATCACCATGCCAGGCTAATTTTTAAAATTTTTTGTAGAGTTGGGATCTCACTGTGTTGTCCAAACTGGTCTCAAATTCCTGTGCTCAAGTGATCCTCCCACAGTAGCCTCCCAAAGTGCTGAGATTAGAGGTGTGAGCCACTGTGCCCAGCCCCAATTTTCAATGTTTCTTTAGGTCTTGAACCTTGAAGTGACCTCCATGATGGATATATTTAAAATTAAACAGTCATCTAAGCTATCCGATGGTTAGGTATCTTCAAGTGGGAGATTTGATGATTGAGTGAGTATGTGTGTGTGTTTACTGCAACTATCTAGGCTTATACATTCAAATTCATATTATCCTCTTCATGATAATCACCTTGGTAGAAAGGATATGTATCCCAACATGTTAAATGCTCCTACAACATATACTTTTTTGGTGTGATCAGAAATAGTTAACTGTTTGTTATTTGTTGGGTAGATTAGTTTTTGGAAATAGCCAGAAGTCACTGAGAGCCAGTCCAGGTGAACAAAATGACACAAACCAACAAAGAACAGTTTAAATAATTTTAATAATTTAATATAATATGTCAGAGTAAAAATATACATATTTTTAAATAATTTTATTTTTTCCAACTCAAAAAGTAGGAAATGTATAATGCAAACCAGATTTTATATTTTGTTGATTTATACTCGATTTACAAGTAAGACTAATGGCCCATAGAGTGTGATCATGACAACACTGTTATGGAAATAAATACCAGTTCATCTATTTGAGATGTGCACTGTGGATCTGTGGTTATTAAACCCTGATTTCACTTAACTTCAGCATGGAGGGGCTTAGGGAAGATGGTTTCTAATATCCTGTGGTCCCCTGGGCTCAGACACTGCTCATCCACCCAAGTTCCAGGACTTGAGATTGTCCACCAGACATACTGACTTCTGCGTGAGCTAACAAAATTAGGATGTGCAAAGAAGTTAATATTATCACTTATCTTTCATATGATACAAGCAGATGAAAATGTTTCTAAAGCCATTTTGTAAACCTGAATGGTATCATCTTTACTATATGTATAGGTTTAATCATTTCCGAAATAAAGCATTTCTGCACACTAAAGCTTTTAAGGAGTTTTGAGGAATGAACATATTTGAAATGCAGAATGAGCAGAGCATAATGCCTTTTTTTTTTTAATTTATATTTTTTTGAGACAGGGTCTTACTCTGTCACCTGAGCTAGAGTGCAGTGGTGTCATCATAGCTCATTACAACCTCAAACTACTGGGCTTGAGCTATCCTCCTGCCTCAGCCTCCCAAGAAGCTGAGATTACAGGCACATGCCACCCCGCCCTGCTAAGTTTTCTATTTTTTGTAGAGAAACGGGGTTGTGCTCTTACTTAGGCTGGTCTCAAACGCCTGACCTCAAGCAATCCTCCCACCTAGACCTTCCAAAGTGCTAGGATTACAGGCATGAGCCACTGCACCTGGCCTCCTGATGCCTTTTAAAGTACTAATAAAAACTGTATTATTCATGTAGGGCTTTCACATGGTCACCTGCACCTCAGGTAACCTTCTAATGTGGGCATGATCACCCTCATTTTCCAGATGAGAAAAGAGAGGATCAAGGTCACAGAAGGGAGCTAACGACTTGTCCCAGAACAAGCAAGGAGTACACAGGAGAGACTGCACTTTAAACCTGTCTACTCTCTGCAGATCTAACGTGGGGAGTGAAAGGTGGTCTTACTAATAACGTAACAGGAAAATAAACTATCAAACAGAAAGTAAGAGAAATAAACTCACAGCACATAATTTCCCCTTTGGTGGTGGTGGGGAACCTCACAACCACCCCCTTTGTTGTGTTTAATTAAAACACCTGTGGTCTAACTCAAAGGGCTGGGAGCTGCACTCCAGCTCTCTGCCTCAGTTCCTGCAAGAAACACATTTCAAGGACTCAGATAAGCCTGCCTCACAGAGAAAAGGAAAAAAAAAAGAGAGAAAAAACAAACACTGCAGCTCCACAGCTGCTCCTGTGAACAGTCTGTTAAAGCGGAGGGGAAGAAAGCCATTAGAACACCAGCCGCTTTTTCTTAGCTGCCTGGCTGGCATTTTCACTCCGTTCTCCATGCGCCCTGGCCACTCCATCTTCTCTCTCTCCCTCTCCCTCTTCTCTCTCTCTCCCTCTTCTCTCTCCCTCTTCTCTACTTCTTCTCTCTCTCCCTCTCTCTCCCTCTTCTCTCCTTCCCTCTTCTCTCTCTCTCTCCCTTTCCCTCTCTCCCTCTTCTCTCTCTCCCTCTTCTCTCTCCCTCTCTCTCCCTCTTTTCTCTCCCTCTCTCTCCCTCTTTTCTCTCTCCCTCTTTCTCCCTTCCTCTTCTCTCTCTCCCTCTTCTCTCTCTCCCTCTTCTCTCTCCCTCTCTCTTCCTATTCTCTCTCCCTCTCTCTCCCTCCCTCTTCTCTCCCTCTCTCTCCCTCCCTCTCTCTCTTCTCTCTCCCTCTCCCCCTCTCTCTCCCTCTTCTCTCCCCCTCTCTCTCCCTATTCTCTCTCCCTCTCCCTCCCTCTTCTCTCCCTCCCTCTTCTCTCTCTTCCTCTCTCTCTCTTCTCTCTCCCTCTCTCTCCCTCTTCTCTCTCCCTCTCTCTTCCTATTCTCTCTCCCTCTCTCTTCTCTCCCTCTCTCTCCCTCCCTCTCTCTCTTCTCTCTCCCTCTCCCCCTCTCTCTCCCTATTCTCTCTCCCTCTCCCTCCCTCTTCTCTCCCTCCCTCTTCTCTCTCTTCCTCTCTCTCTCTCTCTCTCTCTTCTCTCTCCCTCTCTCTCCCTCTTCTCTCTCTTCTCTCTCTCTTCTCTCTCCCTCTCTCTCTCTTCTCTCCCTCCCTCTCTCTCCCTCTTCTCTCTCTTCTCTCTCTCTTCTCTCTCCCTCTCTCTCCCTCCCTCTTCTCTCCCTCCCTCTTCTCTTCCTCTCTCTCTCTTCTCTCCCTCCCTCTCTCTCCCTCTTCCTCCCTCCCTCTTCTCTCCCTCCCTCTTCTCTCTCTCCCTCTCTCTCTCTTCTCTCTCCCTCTCTCTCCCTCTTCTCTCTCTTCTCTCTCTCTTCTCTCTCCCTCTCTCTCTCTCTTCTCTCTCTCCCTCTCTTCTCTCCCTCCCTCTCTCTCCCTCTTCTCTCTCTCTCTACCTCTTCTCTTTCTCTTTCCCTCTCTCTCTTCCTCTTCTCTCTCTCCCTTTTCTCCCCCTTCCCTCTTCTCTCTCTCTCCCTCTTCTCTCTCTCCCTCTCTCTTCTCTCTTTCTCTCTCTCTCTAGTAAACTTTGCACTTCTTTCTATCCTAAACACTGTGTGAGAATTCTTTCTCCAACCACCGCGAGCACCTAGTAATTTTCCATCTTTTCAGGGTGAAAGGACAGCGATTGTGGAGGGAGGGGGGTTTCGTGGAGGGTCTTGCTTTGCCCCCCCACCCCACTGATGGACGTGGTGGTGGTGGTGGAGGCGGGGGATCACCCAGAAATTTGCCAGCCAGGCCTGGAGGAAGCTGTGCAGCCCTCGCCCACCTCACCGTGTCCTTTCCCCCTCTGTCCCCACAGTGTGCCCGAGCACGTGCGGGAAGCGGGCGTGCACCGAGAACAGCGAGTGCTGCCACCCCGAGTGCCTGGGCAGCTGCAGCGCGCCCGACAACGCCACGGCCTGCGTGGCCTGCCGCCACTACTACTACGCCGGCGTCTGCGTGCCCGCCTGCCCGCCCGGCACCTACCGGTTTGAGGGCTGGCGCTGCGTGGACCGCGACTTCTGCGCCAACATCCCCAGCGCCGAGAGCAGCGACTCGGAGGGGTTCGTGATCCACGACGGCGAGTGCATGCAGGAGTGCCCCTCGGGCTTCATCCGCAATGGCACGCAGAGGTCAGTGGCGCTCACACGTGCTCCCCAGGGAACGGAAAGGTGCAGACTGTCAGTTGTTCCATCCGGGTGGGAGCCATGGGGAGATTAACCAGATTAACCGAGATGGGTCCATCCGAGAGGACTGGCCTAACTTAAATTTTTGATGAGATCCAGGAGCAATTGACATAGTCCCCACCCCCACCCCCAGTTTGCTTTATGTTTTGTTTTTAAAGTGTCCTACCTGGCCATTTGAAATTAAGTACCTGGCTTGCTGGCTGAGGTGCCCAGAGATCAGGATCTCTCTGTTCACTTGCTGAGCTGCCCTAAAGGTACAGGGGACCCTACAGTTTTAGATTTTCCACATCTGGGTGCTGCTAGCCCAGGGAAGTCTTTGGAAGTGCAAAAGAGAAGACAAAACAAGCCCCCACCACCATCCTAAAAGCCAGCAAGCAGCCCCCAAACATCCCTTAGTGCCTGCGTAGGCCCTGTGCCCAAACCAGCAGCAGGTGACAGTAACTGCTGTGTTTACCATCAGCATCTTCTTCTCCCCTTTTCACCTCAACCCTCTGTCAGCTTCTTTCTATCCCTCACTTTCCTTCTTGCACTTTGAGGCTTCACTTGGGAAACAGAGTTGTTCCTTATAACAAATGTCGTTTCTTTTTTTTTTTTTTTTTTTTTTTTTTTTTTTTTTTTTTTGAGACAGAGTCTCGCTTGTTGCCCAGGCTAGAGTGAGTGCCGTGGCGTCAGCCTAGCTCACAGCAACCTCAAACTCCTGGGCTCAAGCAATCCTGCTGCCTCAGCCTCCCGAGTAGCTGGGACTACAGGCATGCGCCACCATGCCCGGCTAATTTGATATATATATTAGTTGGCCAATTAATTTCTTTCTATTTATAGTAGAGACGGGGTCTCGCTCTTGCTCAGGCTGGTTTCGAACTCCTGACCTCGAGCAATCCGCCCGCCTCAGCCTCCCAGAGTGCTAGGATTACAGGCGTGAGCCACCGCGCCCGGCTACAAATGTCGTTTCTTACAACAAACTTTTGTGGGTGCAGACTGGACCTCGGTAGATTGGGCATTGGGTTTATGTTTTTGAAAATGAGATACCTAACATTGTTACAAAATGTAGGGACTGTAACTATGGAAGCAAAAAGAACATTGTAGATTTGGGATTGCTATTTCCTCTCCTGGAGCAGGACAAAGAACTTTTAGGAAAGTTCTGTCATCATGGGCCAAATGCCTCCTCCATGGTTAGCACCAGGGGACCTGTACATTTCTGGGTTTTTCAAAATAAAGCTATTCTACAAATATACCATAAGAAAAGTAAACATTAATTTTGAATATAATTTTTGCTGCAATTCATTTCTATAAGCTCCATCAAGCAAATGTTCATAAAAGGGGTTCTTTTTCTAGTGTAATATGTGAAGATGTTGCTCCTACTATAAGCTTACCGTCAAAGATAAAACTCATTTTTTTATTAGATGTAGAGCAAGTTTCTGCCTCTTATAATTTCTGTAACCATTACAATAGTAAAAAGAAAAATATTACTCAAAAATTTAAAAATTATAAATGGGTTGAGGACTCCAGTGAGCCACGAAGTATTCATATTCCACCCAAAATAAGTCTACCACATCTTACATTTTATTGGTAGCCTTAGCATGTAAAGGGTTTTTATCAGTGCACATCTTGGGCCTAGGGGCAGTACCTGGAAGCAAGTTGAGGCTCAGCCACAATTCAGACGTCACCTTCCTTCTGGGGGTGCAAGCAAGGAAAGGGTAGCTTGCCCATAAACTCAGTGTGATGTCATCTTTGTCATGTGAAATGTAATCAGAACACTTCTTTAAAAAAAATTCTTTAAATGCTAGATGATTCCCAAACAATGTAACAGAGGTATTTGGTTCAGATTTTTCTGTTTGAATAAAATATGGTAAGAAATTTAACATGCACTTTTAATTTATCCCAGAGAGATGAAAACTTACATCCACACAGAAATATGTACAGCATTGTTCATGGTAGCTTTCTTGGTAAAAGCCACAAACTGGAAACAACTCATATGTCCTGTAATAGGTAATTGGTTAAACAAACTGTGGTAGATTAATGCCATGGAATATTACACAGCAATAAAAAGGAACAAACCATGGAAATACACAGCAACTTGCATGAATCTCCAGGACATTATGCTGTGTGAAAAATGCCAATCTCTAAAGGTCATACACTGTATAATTCCATTTATATAGCATTCTCAAAATGACAAAATTGTAGAGACAGAAAACAGATTATTGGTCATGAGGAGTTAGGAATATTGGGGGCTGGAATTGGGGAAAGTGACTATGAACTGGTAGCACCAGGGAGATCTTGATGGTGATGGAATAGTTATGTATCTTCATTGTGGTGGTGATTACACAAATCTACACAAGTGTTAAGGTGCTCTAAAACTACAGGCACCTTGTACCAGTGTTAATTTCCTGGTTTTGATATTACATTATTATGTAAGACCTAGAATCCATTGGAGGAAATTGAATGAAGGGTACACAGGACCTCTCTGTGCTATTTTTGCACCTTTCTGTGACTCTATAATTATTTCAAAATAATTGTTTTTAAAAGGTAGGGTAGGGGATTATATGGTCTGTAGGTAAATTAGAAAAAACAGAAGACAAAAAAAAGTGCTGAGAGGTCACTCCACAGGTTAGAAATAAGAGTGTTGAATATGATGTGGAGGGAGGAAGACTCTCCCCCTCTTTGGGTAGGTCCAGTTCCTACGAGACCCTTTGGAGATCTGGAACACTGTTCATCCAACATGAAATAAGAAATACTAGAGAATTTTGTTTACCCATAATCTTTTAAACAAAATAGAACCCTGCATCCTTGGTCTTAGATACGAAATAACGGTCTGGGGTGGGGGAAAGGGACTTTAATAAAAAGAGCTATAACTTACACTGTTTTTCTTGAATGTTTTTGTTTCATGAAGTTTAAAATATCATTTAAGAATAACAACATACATATAATGGCTCTCTAACTTAACCATCCTGTTACACACACATCCGGTAAGGTTGTATCATTTATCTTGTTTGGAAATCAACCCAACTTTCTGACCCTTGTTCTGTATATAGTTACAGATTCCAAGGGTTCAGCTGCTAGATTAGCCTTTTGTCTGCTATTTCCTAAATAATGGTAGATAAGCAGGAAAAGTGCCAGTCTTACTCATCCCTGACTCTTGGTGGTTTGTGGCACATTCAGGATAGCATTTGAAATAGGAGCTCATGATAAAGTAATGGAAATTCCTTTTATTGTATGTGTAGCACAAACAACATTTGGATCAATTTACAAGTTTCTGCAAAACACTGTCAAGAAATAATTTCATTTGTGCTTTAGCAAGAAAATGACAGATCTGTGTGCTATATCACATCACATGCCTTTTGGAATTCCTCCCTGGGCACTGCTGAGACAGTGACTGCAGGAGTTGGACTCCTGTTACTGGCAGAGACACTGCAGTTCCTTTGCTGTCCCTGTCAACTCTCTCAGCTACTCCTCCAAGAGCACAGGCAAGGGCCACGACATCAGAGAGAGGGTCTGTTCTCCTTTGTAGCCCCCAGAGCTGCTTTTCTGTGGTGCTGTCTCTCCCACATGGAGCCAGCTGGGTCACCAGTCAACAGCCTATGATACACACGTGCCTCGAGGATGTGTCATGTGTATTGTCTGGAAATAAGCAACATGATTTTCCTTTGTAGGCACTTTGTCCTTGTAGCTGCGATTTGAGTGGCTTATCCTGGGTGGGCTTGGTGATGAGATACCATGTGACCACTTGATCGCTTAAAAATATTTGCGTTTTTAAATGCGTGCTGTAATATTAATAACTAAAAAGCATGTCCTTATAGATTTTTAATGCAAGGAGACAGAGTCAATTCTCTGTGTTTTTGACTGGTTAATCTTTATCTTCAACAGTATGTACTGCATCCCTTGTGAAGGTCCTTGCCCCAAGGTCTGTGAGGAAGAAAAGAAAACAAAAACCATTGATTCTGTTACTTCTGCTCAAATGCTCCAAGGATGCACCATCTTCAAGGGCAACTTGCTCATTAATATCCGACGAGGCAGTAAGTATTCCACCCCGCTGGAAGAATGGCTGGATCTCTTGGTTTTCTTTTGTTGATGCTTTTTGTGCTCCTGTCCCTGAATCACCACTGAAGTATGGGCTTAGAAAAACAACATGGTGCGTAAGCTTCATGCATGACGTCTCTCCTTGGAGTTTCCCTCAAAGATAAAAAACAGATTTAAAGGCAATCTGTTTTTTAGCCGTTGGCACATCATGTATTCCTATAAAGAGGGTCATCATCCTTCGTTTCTCTATTAGTCATATCACGCATAGAAGAGACAAGTCCTGACAAACAAACCCCAGAGAGGCTGTTGGAGCAGAGGCATGACTCAGCAGACTCCAGCTGCAGCCACATCCACACATCTTTAGCTCTGAAAAGTTTGGTTACTTGGATTTATTGAGGAGACTGAGCAAAGGGAAGAGCTTAATGATATCTATCGCATTAAAATAATGCTAAGTCCAAAAGAGTGGTAGATCCCCAGATTTACTTCTGCGAGCCAGAAAGATACAAGTGTGCATCATCGTGTATGTAAAACTTCAGCCTCAGCCCTGTAGAGTCACCTTTATTTGCACTTTTATGACATTCCTGGCAGTTAGCCTCTAATTGCACTTGTGCAAAGCACTTTCCACTGACGTAGTCTATGATCTTCTCACTTCTGATCGTTAATTGACAAGGGCTTCTAGTAATGGTGCCTTAAAGTCTTGACCACTGGGACCACTTGGTCAGGAGACTTGATAGTTTGATAAGCTAGAATACAGTAAAAGAGCCTGACTTTGATAAGCTAGAATACAGTAAAAGAGCCTGACGTTGAAAGGAATTTTTTTGGTAAGTTTTTTGTGAAGAATTCTCTTCTCCCCTCCCCTCCCCTCCCCTCCCCTCCCCTCCCCAATTTATATTACAGTTTGAGAAAGAAAAATGACCAATGTGTTTATCTTGTGAATTTACTTTTCCTTAATATTTGGTAAATGAGTAAACTATATTCTTATGTTTGGAAATAACAGAAACAAGTTTTTGCTCTGTTCTTTTGAATTTTTTTATATTCCTTTGTTTTTCTTCAATACAACCCCCCCCACCCCCCTACCCCTTCACAGCAGAGCTAACCCTTTTCCTCAGCGAGAACTCCCTTGCCCTCATGGTACTTCCAAAGTTTTATTCTCTTTTACTCTACCTGCATTGATTCATTTACTTTTGATTTACTTATCCATAGAACATATATTTTTAAGTGCCTAAACCTTTTTTTAAAATCTTTCTATCCTGAAGAAAAAAATAAGATCCATGAATTAAATCCATGGAGAAATCATTTGGGAAGGAATTGGTATATATTCATGTATGATGATGAAATGTATCTTCCAGTTTATATCCAATGCAGGAGAACGGTTGTATTTAGGAAGATGGGACATCTCATTGAAAAGGAGATTTCCTGGCCTTAACTAATATACTTCCCACCTCACATTTAAAATTTAGGATCTCGTCCTTAAAACATCAACTGCAAAGAACCTCTTGTCTTCTCAACTTGTATTTCCCTTTGATTTCTCTTGGAAAGCCATTAAACTGTGAATTAAGTGTCAGGCCTTATCCTGCAGGAAAGTACCCTTAGTCTTTTATTTTTATCAATTCAAGGCAAAAATAGAACCTTTTATTAATAAGTAAGTCTTCATAAATCATACGCAGTAAAATCCCATTAATTGAACCACACCCAAGTAATTATAGTCTTTATTATAATTTTGGCATAAGTTGAACTGAAGTTTGTTTTTTATTTGCTATGAGAAAAAGGCTAAACAAGATGAAAGGAAATTCATTGTTTATATATCATGGGTTTTATTTTTTACATCTGTATTGTCAACTAGTTTTCCAAGTATTTTCTAATTACAGAAGCATTACATGAGCGTTATGGAAAACTTAGAAATTTGGAAATGACTATTAAAATCACCTGCAGACGGCTACTGTTAACTTTTGGTATATTTTCTTCCAGTCTTAGTAGGGTGAAACCTTTAACTATAGATCCCTGTGTCTTAGGAATTAGAAATGCGGCAAAGGCACCTCCTAATGAGACCAAGAAAATGTTTATTTAGTCATGCCCGTGTACTGTGGAGGCAGTACTATCTGTTGACAGAGCATATTAAAAGACGTTCCCTAGATCTGTCAGCCTTAGCTAATTGGTAGTCTGGTATTTATGATTTTACATTCTCTTAATCAGCTTGGGAGCTGCAGTACCCAGCCTCTTAGAAACTTCCCTTCCCCTGCCCAGGAGGCCTTGTCCCAGGAGTGGTGTTGAAAGTGAAGGCTAGGGACGGGTGTGTTTGACAAGGGGTGGCTGGTCCCATGCCAGGAGACTGAGCATCTCAGTGGGCACCTGCCATTGTATTGCTCTCCACACAATTTGTAAGACTCCGAGCATGTCACCCTTATACCAGCATGTGAGCCCTTAGTGACATGGCCCCCTTTTAATGTAGATAACATTGCTTCAGAACTGGAGAACTTCATGGGGCTCATCGAGGTGGTGACGGGCTATGTGAAGATCCGCCATTCCCACGCCTTGGTCTCCTTGTCCTTCCTGAAAAACCTCCGCCTGATCTTAGGAGAAGAGCAGCTAGAAGGGTAAGTGCTTCAAATTTCCTGAGCTGACACTCTACTGTTAGAAAATAAGCAGCGTATTTGTAAAACTCTGCGTTCCTAAGGTAAGGGCCCTTCCTTGTCAAATGGAAGAAAGGAAGAAGCCACGGGATTGCCAGTGCTGCCTGAGTGATGGCCCATCTCCTCGAGCAGGGTCTTATGTAGAGTCACTATTCTACATCTTAGGATGTTGCTGTTTTGGAAAACAGAGATGTTTTCATTCTCAGTGGGTATGCCTTGCCTTTCAAGGGTTGCATGTCTGACTGTGGCCAGTGAGACAGCAGACAGGGATGCTCTTGGGGCTCCTTTTGCCAAGAGTCTGAAGTGCTTACCTCTTGGTGAAACCCATCATTTACATGACCCCTGTCTGCCTCGGAATACTGCATTCTCCTACGTCCAAACCACTCCATCTTTCAAAATACTGCAACATGAGAGAATTGAAGGAATGTGGACAGTTTCGTTTCGTTTCATTATAAAGAAATCTGGATTTGCAAAATTGTTTTTATTGATTAGCTTATAGGATTTGCACTATTGCTAGAGTTTTTGCCTTTGCAGGATTATGCTTTGTGTTAGGGGTTTTAAAATAGCTGTGGGCTTTTCACTGGAGGATGAAAGCTGGTACTTAACTGCATACACGAATTTCTTGCCAGCCGTTAGTCCGTGTGTACCTTTGCATATGTACTTTTCACATTCTCCCTTTTAAGTACAGCTCTTGCCTGGCTTTAAACTAATGCTTTGAAATAAAAGGAGTCATCAATTAAGGAGTGAATTCCTTCTAAAGAGAATTTGGGGAAATAATTTAGGGGAAAAAAGAGGTGGGCAGGTCATGGGAAAGGTTGTCCTTGCTGATTTATCTGCCCCAACTGGATAAAGTTACCACATAAGGGTTTCTTTACAGCCTCCTTGTTTTTCTCAAACTAACTCTTGGTCAGTCTTAAATTCTTAAAATTCCATCATCTGATATAGCAGAAGAGAGAGGGCAGCTCTTCATTCCATCCTTGAAAAGCACACTGTCCTCCCCACTGGGAACACTGATTCTTTAGAAAAACTTCTTGCTAGTTGCAGATCCAACCCCAGAACATCTCAGTCACTTACGTGGCAAGTTGAGGCTCTGCCAATTCGAGGTGATGGTGGTTGTTTGTTGTATTAAATTTTAAAATGAATTTTAGGTCAGGTTTTTGTTTTTGTTTTTCCCCTCTAAGTAGGTTTGTGTTTCTGGAATCCCTGCTATGGGCAAGCCCTTTATCTCTGGCAGATTGGTAGCTATAAATTTTTTTTTTTTTTTTTTTGCTGCCTAAGATACACTTTTTTAAAACCAAGCAAGTGATAGATGTAGAGGTGAAAACTGAGAGCAGAGTTTAATTAATTTTATTAGGAATTATTACATGATGTGATTACCTTTTCATTGTGCATTAACTAAAAGTATTATGCACTTAAATGTAGCTGAAAATTAAAGCCTGATTTTTATGTGCAAGAATATTTATGATGTATTTCTCATTATCTGAAACTCATAAAACCTGAAGTATCAGTGCGATCTTTTTAAGGATACACATTACTGCTTAGGTGTCTGGGAGGCTTCCCAGGAAAGCTTCCGCCCCTGCCCTGCTATTAGCATTTTAGATGGGAGGGGAGGCCAAATGGGCCTGCGTTTTCCCAGCCTGCTGCCGCTCAGTAACCCTGTAGCTCTGACGATGCTAGTCTTCCAGCCTTTTATTCCCACATGCTACTTCTTGGAGGCTCTCTCCTTAGCTGGGCTGTTGAGAATCTTGTACGTTGTGGTAGGAGTTGTTTAGTCTCACCTGCCTTCCTTACCCCTGACCAAAAAGGTATAGTTTGTCCTCACTTGTGATGAACTCCCCCAAGAACTCTTTTTATTTCAGGTGTGACCGGTAGCAACAACTCTTTCTTTCTCCTCCTCACACTCAGAGATGGAGTTAAGTTTCCACCCCTTCTCCTACTCCCCTCACTTCTTCTGCAAGAAGGAAAGAATCTGAGGGAGGAAGGGAAGGATAGGATATGACAAACAGATGCATGTCAACAGTGCAAAGCAGAACTTGCTGAGTGTCACAGGGGAAAGAAAGAAATGTGCCTTGGGCTTGAAGAAGAGATATCAAATTGAAAAGATCAGACAGACTTCTGAGAAGAGGTGGCATTTAAGAGGCCTTGAAGTGTTTCCAGAAACATTCTGAAAGCAGAGGTTGAAGAAGGAATTCAGAGAAGGGTGGCAGGAGCAAAGGCAACGAGTTGGGGCATCCTGGGGCCTGTTGGGCAAATAATGTCAGAGAGGGAGTTGGTGCTGGCATTACTTAAGATGTTGTGATGGGCCCTAACGTAGAGGTTATACTTCAGGTAGGCCGTGGAACCTATTCAAGGCTTTTCAGTAGAAGAGTGTTAGCAGAGCTATCTGAAATTTTAATTTCAGTGTGCTTTTGCTTTAATCCAAGATAACTTTTATCTCAGTTTCCCCAACTTTGCCACATGTTAGAATTATCTGGGGGGCTGTTGAGAAGTCCTGATGCCCAAGTTGTATACTTCACCCCAATTTAGTAGGAGGATTTGGGGGGTAAGATCCAGGCATCAGTGCTTTTTCTTAAGACTGCTAGTTACTTTCAGCACACATTAGAGATTGGAAACCACTGCTTTTTATCCCCTACTGTTTGCTTATTCCCAAAGCACTTTGGTTTTTTTTTTTTTTTTCCTAAATATTTCCTTGTCACACTGCTGCCTTAAAATACTATTCTGCTTGAACTTCTCTTATAGCCAGTGAGAACGTGAATAAGTGTTTCCATTTGGTTTGATAGGATGCAAGTTCTGTAGCCTTCTGTTTTTGATGGAGAGCAGAACACTTCAAAGCGCAGAGATTCTTCAACTCTGACAACCTTGGCTTTCCAATATGTCACTGAGATCCTTCACAAAAAATCTCCTGAGTAGTCCAGAACAGGAAACCCAAGCACGTTACCTAGACTAGAGCTCGTTAGTCCTCACTCGGAGCCTATTTACTTTTATGTCACACTCAGTGTGAGCTGATCTGCTAACCTGATTTCCAGGCTGGTGACAGACACAGGAAGAATCACGTCAGAACAGAGAGCAGGGTGGTCAGTCACTGAAAAACCCAAGACGGCCAGGGTTTCCTCGAGTAAACGGGGTTTACAATGTGTAATGTTATGTAGTTCTACAGTAATAACCTTAGACATTAAGAAAATCAAGGCTCTGTTGTTTACAAAGGAAACAGATTTTCTAATCCACATGTATGAGATTTCTATAAAGTGACTAATTTTAAGCCCTTACATAAGAGAAGATCATTATTATCTGGGAAATTACTTTATTTGGACAGCTTGATTTTCTGATGGCATCAGATAGCTAAGGAGTTAAAGTTTCAAACTCTTGGGTGCTACCAAGGATTGGTGCCTTGGAAAGAATAAAAACAGATGGAGGATGTTGGGTTATAAGAATTGAAATCCATACATGCATCTAGGCATCTTTATGCTTTTGTCTACTACATAACTTTGTAACACTTAGATCTTCATATGCTACCTTCTTGCAGCTCTAAGATGAAGCTGCACTTTGACAGTTCCCTGGAACTCTTTAAAAATATACACTCCACCCTGTGACCCAGCAATTCCAAGATTTGCCCAGCATCTACCCAAGAGAAGTGAAAACATGCCCGTACAAGACTTGTATGTGAATGTTCATAGTAGTATTACTCACAATGGCCCCCTCATAAAAGGCCCACCCACTAGAAATAGTCCAGATATTCACCAACAGATGATGAATGGATAAACAAAATGTGGCACAATGGAACGCTACTCAGCAGTAAAAGAGAATGAAGTATGATGCATATAGCAACATGGGTGAACTACAGAAACATTAAACTAAGTGGGAAAAAATAAAAGCCATACACCAAAAGGCCATGTATTGTATGGCTCTATTAATGTTTGATTTTCAGAAAAGGCAAAACTATAGAGATAGAAAGTAGATCAGTGATGGCTGAGGGTGAGAGGAGATTGACCACCACCTGGAACAAGGGAACTTTTGGATGATGGAAATGTTCTGAAACTGGGTAGTGGCGATGGTTGGACAGGTGCATAAATTTACAGAAGCTCATGAGACTGTACACTTATCATGGATAAATTTTTTGGTACGTAAATTATACTTCTGTGAAGCTATTAAAAAAAAAAAAAAAAACAGCCAACAAAACGAGAAAACGTTTTCTGAGTATCTTTGTGGTGCCCGGATCCACCTGGATGTACTTTCCCACCCTTCCTGAGCCCCCAAGGTTGATGTAAATATTGAATTTGGGGTAGATGGACAAGGTGTAAACAAGGCACAGTTGCAGATGGTTTGGGAGGAGCATCTGTAGAAAGGCCAAATGCTGTATCCATTGCACGTGGCTCAGTGTGCTGGGTTCTGATGCCCCCTAGAGACAGCCATAAAGAGGCAACAATTTCTTCTCTGAGAAATGAACTGGAATGATTGGTTGCATATTTGCAGATTTGTTTTCAATAAGCCAGCAAGGGCTGAAAAGAGGGGAATGTCCCTTCCTACCTCCATAGATTGCAGACCTCAGGCTCAGCCCTTTTTGTCAAGGCACAGGACTTCCCTGTTCTTTTAAGGCTTTGTTCCAGGGGACTTTGACACTTCAGGGAGGAGAACAGGTCACCCCACACCTTTGTGGGATGATTGAAAGCTCACAGTATCCTTTTATATTTAGCCCATCTAATTCTTCCAACTGGCTTCGGGGCCAGCTGAGCAGGGAAGACACCTCCAGTTTGCAGCTGAGAAACTCCAGCCTGGGAGAAGAGGAGAACTGCTTTGCTCAGAGTTGTTACTTAGTAAGTGGTGGAGATAGGGTTCAGCTGATCTTTGGATTCCCAGACGGAATGCTCCAAACCCCAGCAACTGTGCCTGCCTTCGCTCCCCACCCTCCCTGCCCGTGGGGAAGTGGTGGTACCAACAACTTAGAAATTAAGACGGCCCCAGGATTACAGCCACAAATAAACCAGTTGACTGTGTACTGTGTGCTAGGCATGTAAAACATGGACACAGATAAGATACAGATGCCTTCAGAGAGATAACCAGCCACTCCCAACCCTCCCCGTTGGGCCTTCAGATTGGCAGATGGGGCCTACCCCAGTGCAGAAACAAACATTTTTTGCAACATTGAGAAGGCTGAGAGCCAAAATACCAATATCAATTAAACCCAGGCATCATGGAGCCTGTGGGAGCTAAAGAAAAATAAACAACTTAATTTTAAAAAATATTCTTTGAATTTAAAGACAGTGAGCTTATAAACAATTAGGAAGTCATATTTACTGAGTAATTTACTTAAGTAGTCATTTCCTTTAGAAAACAATGAGAATGTAAGTGTATGCGTATTTTGAAGATGTGCAGACAGGTTTCTGCCTTTTACCCTTTCTTAATTCTCACCTAGTCATGGAAGGAATTTGGGGGGAGCCAGGCCCCAGGCTGGGGTTGGAAAAACAGGAGCGGTATTGACAGGCAGTTGGTGAATGGCTTGATTATTATTTTGACAAGGGTTTTATTTTTATTTTTCTTTAGCTTCCACCGGCTCCATGACGCCTGGGTTTTATTGATATTGGTATCATGGCTCCCAGCCTTCTCCATGTTATAACAAACGTTTGTGTTTACTGTAAAAAGATGATCTTGCTTTTCAAAGTGATTAATCAACTACACACTTTCAGTGTGCCTGCCATTCAGTTGTCAAATTCCTGATTGATAACTGGAGCTTCTTCCTGTGGGGAGAAGAACGTTTTGTTCAGAGGTGCTTTTTTGGTGAGGTTTGGTTCCTGGCTAGTGAAATTAGTTTACTAAAAGAGGCCTCATGCCGGGTTGAGACGGAAGTTCGACCTGATTAATTATCTTTCTCGCAGCGCAGAGGTTTCTTCTCCAAAAGGGATTTTTTTGTCCATGAAGCAAACTCAAGTACCTAGAAGCAACCAGACCCATTGGGGTCATTGTGTTGACACTGCAGAGTCTCCTTTGGAGCTGGAAATACTCCCTGAGCAAAAATGGGTACATGGCAGGACAAATGCATTTCCTCCTCCAAACCTCTCCTTCAGTCATGTGACTGACAGAGTCCCCCTGCCCTCTAGCAGTGCCACGTGCAGCCTGGCAGTGAGAAGGAATAGATGTGGATGGGGTCTGCCCCCAGGGATGGCAGGTCTAACTGAGCCCTGTCCTGGCCCTCCCCTCCTGGACACATGCCTAGTGTTGCATGGACCGTGTCTGGGGTCACTGGACAGCGTCTTAGGTTCCTTTTCCAGGACATGTATGTGTTAGGGAGTGAGTTCTTACTGAAAGGAAAGGATTATTGACTTGGAAGTTTTGGCTGCTGGTTTGGTGGCTACTGGTGTTTTTAGAGGCCTAAACGTGGCTTTGTGAGGAGCCTGGCTTGCTTTCAGAGGTGCTGTCTTTGGATTCACCTGTTGGTTCACGGAACTCCTGTGTGGGTAGGACTTCCGGCCCCCACCCCCAGCACGTGTGTGGACAGGGGCCCAGTGCTCAGGGGTTGGGCTTCCGACTAGTAGGCAGATTCCACCTCAGCTCTGTGACCCCTTCTGGGCATTAGTGTCATGGACTCTTAAAGTAGGCAGGGAGCTCAAATGTCACCTGTTCGTACCCCTTGTTCTGCAAGTGAGTAAACAGGGCTACAGACAGTACTAAAGGACCTGCATGTGGCTATGTAGCTCATTGATGGCATTCCTGGTCCTGATCCCTGTCTCTAAAGTCCTTCCTGGTCTGAACCAGGAAGCCCTTGTGAATTCTCAAGGAAATGTCACGGCACTATGTGGCAGCATTATAAGCGTAGATTGTGCTTTGCTCTGAATGAGACTCAGGCTGAGGCTTGGCCAGCTGGTTAGAGGTCCTGGTGTGTGGGCGTAAATGAAGTCCCTCACTGGGTGCAGAGAGGTACCCATGGAGATAGCCTCCAGGGCAGTCCTAGCGACCCCGGCCCCGCTGAGAAAGCCAGTGTCCTTTGTTCTTTGTATGTTGGTGTGTGAGATCTGTGAATGGATCTTAGCAGTCAGACTAAGTGCCGCACCTATCCCTAAACTCAGCTCTTTAGAAAGTGTGTGATGGAGGCCAGAAGAAAATCAAGGCGAGGGAGCAGGAGGACTGTGGGGAGCAGACCGACCCATCAGCACAGAGGACTCAGGCTTCAGCCATGGCCTTGTCTTGCTGGCTCCCTAGGGGAGCCAGAGAAAACAGTCTACAGCAGGGATCTTTCCCCAGACTCTCAGCTGTAGCTGTCTGCTCTCTTACCTCCCCAGGGATCGATTTCTCCCAACACCTGGGTAGCCGGAGATAACCGTTTCCCCACATCTTTCTTTCAGTGGACCCCTACTGCGGCCAGGAGCCGTGTCTGGCCTGGTGGGCTTTGGAGCTCCAGGACCTCCCTGGAGCTCAGCCTCTGTTAGACCAGCGGTTCTCCGAGTGTGGTCCTGGGACCACAGCAGCCTAAGCATCACCTGGCACTGTTAGAAATGCAGATTCTCAGCCCACTCCAGACCCATTGAATCAGAAGCTCTGGAGGCAGGGCCAGCATGCTGAAAATAAGCTTTGTGCATACTGAACTTGGAGGACTGCTGTGCTGGACACAGAGTTCCAGTGCCTGGATGAGCGGCCTGGGGGGACTGCCCACGGGGGCCTGTCCTCCTCCCCCACACCTTCTCCATGGACTGGAGCTGAGGCTTCTCTGGGTGAAAGATGAATCTGGAGGAGAGAGAAGCCCCAGGATGGGTCCACAACTAGCCTGTGTCACTGCCTCTGGCAGTTTCCCGTCCCATCATACACTGCTGATTGGGCACGGGCAGGATTGACTCCCAGGGATAATGGGAGACTTCACAGCAGATGTGTAAGCTGTTCCGGTTGGGTAGCAGAGCATGTCTCTTCTCCCATGGACTGATTTCAAGCAATGCATTGTACATACTCAGCTCTGAGAAAAATAACCTAAGGCATTTCTTGGGAATGATTCGAGTAACATCCTCCCGTATGAGAAGCATTATTTGTTGGTAATAGAGGTCATAAAATTAATTAGTGTCTTATCGATTTCAGTATGTTGTCCTTGAATCATGTTGTTGCCATTAACAGTGTCTATCTGTTCTTACATAGTGTTAATAACTAAATCTCTCATTGCCAAAGGAAACGTATTATTGAGCAGGTGGTAAAGAGGACCCATTACGCGGCCAGCAGGCGAGAGGGGACCGCGGCCAAGGGCAGGTGCACTAATATCACTTTCTGTGCTTCTAGGAATTATTCCTTCTATGTCCTCGACAACCAGAACTTGCAGCAGCTGTGGGACTGGGACCACCGCAACCTGACCATCAAATCGGGGAAAATGTACTTTGCTTTCAATCCCAAATTGTGTGTTTCCGAAATTTACCGTATGGAGGAAGTGACGGGGACTAAAGGGCGCCAGAGCAAAGGGGACATAAACACCAGGAACAACGGGGAGAGAGCCTCCTGTGAGTGACCACGTTCAAAACACCCCGGACCCAAGCATCGCAATAATGGGGGACCTGCCTCCCACCTGGGACAGTGGCTTTCCTTCGTGGCCCCCTCCTAGTTTCATTCGAGGGACCGCTAGACCACCTAACTAGCACTTTGCTCCTACGAATGTCTGCCAAGTTGATAGTGGGCAGATTCATAATGTGTTCATATTTCTAGATTTTCCTGAGCATCTATGTGAGTGTGTTAAACACTTACGAATAGATTCTTACGCAGACTTTAAAGCGGTGCTTACAGAATGCACAGAGTTAAATGTCCTTTGATACCCAGGCACACAGTTAGATTATTTTCAAAGAAGAGCCAGTACACTCTAGCCCTGTTGGCTCTGGCCTGGGGGTGCAGGGGCTCGGCTGCAAGCACAGCCCCTGGGGGCCACTGGTTCCCCGTCCCTCAGCAGCAGCCACCTCTGCCTTCCACCCTGACATGAAAAAGATGGAGTGATCCTGCATCCCTGTGTGGATATTGCTTTTTAAATTTAGAACAATATAATTACATCCTTGTGCTGGTTATAAAACTTTTACTTTAAGCTCTCATGTCAGAGATATAGCAGTGCATTTCTCATCTAACCCTGGAGAGAAAACTGCTTTTAACAACATGTGGCTCTGTTTGGCTGGATAGGGCTATGAAAGTAAATTGTCTCTTCACCTTTGGCTTTTAATAAGGGACAGATAATAGAAAAAATAGTGTAATTTATATGATCAAGGATAATTGGTGCATGCATACCCCGCCCCCACTCCCTCCCGCCAACCACACACACACAGAGGTGAATCTGTGAAATGCTCAGCATTTGGCTGTGGCTTGTTTTGCTTGTGTTTGGATTTACCTGGTTGACCCTCAGCTCAGGCTGCTCAAGAGCAGTGTTAGGGGGAAGGAACTTGGCCCAGAACTGGAAAGCCTGCTCACAGCCAATGCCTTCTCCCTCCAAAGCCTCTGCCTTGCTCCCTGCATTGACCATAGTAACAGTGGTTGTATCAGAGCATATTCAAAGTGCTTTTCTCCTTAAGAGTGACTGTCAGATCATAGAGTAGACATTTATTTTCCTTTGAAAACAAGATCATGGTTTCCTCTCTAAATATTAATAACACTTCAGCAGGAACTGCAACATCTCCCAATCTCAGACCAGCACATTTTGCCCTAAAGACTTCTAAGTCTTCCACTGCCTTCAGTCTGTCTGCTTCACCTCCTGAGTGTGCAGTTGGATTCAGACAAATATGGGAGAAAGGACCACTTGTCAGAGAGTTTCAGATCTCCACGAGGGTAGGCAGTCATCAGTCCTTCCCTGGTTCCCATCAGAGTTGGAACTTGGTCCAAGGAACAGGAGGAAGTGTGGGGCAGCTTCCCTGCTGTACCTGCCAGCCAAGACTGACTTCCCATGGAGCACACAGGGCTTGGCCAAGCAGAAGTGTTCTTGTTCGTGTTTAATCTAGTCCTCCAGTGTTTGCCGGCACTAGCTGGAGATCTCAGAGGAGTTCCTGCATCTTTCCAGTTTGATACCAACTGTAGACCAAGAAAAATTTGTTTCTGTGGCACCCCTGTGATCTCTTACCTGTCTTTGGTGGTTACATGGGAGCAAGCAGATATCCACCACTGTGGAACAAGTGCCGTCATCTTTTAAGGAGATTTAGTCCAGCTTAAAGGTTTACTCTCACCCCACCAGGCCAGCTGTGGTAGCCAGCATCTTAGAGATCAGGCAGAAAGATGAGGCTACCTTGTTCACTGAAGTGGCCCTTCTCTTTCAGGTCAGGAAACACTCACAGGTTCACATCTAATTCCCCGGACAAGTAGCTGGTGCAACTGATGGAACTAAAACTAAGGAATGAACTCCTTGGAGCTCCACATAGTGAAATGTGTTCTTAGTGGAAAATAAGAAAGGGACTTAGCAGAAACACCTGGCTTCGGGGAAGAGGGAAACTCTGCCAGGGCAGGTGCTTTTCAGAGATGTGTGGATCTCTGTGGCTCATGGATGTTTCTCTGTGCCACAGGTGAAAGTGACGTCCTGCATTTCACCTCCACCACCACGTGGAAGAATCGCATTATCATAACTTGGCACCGGTACCGGCCCCCTGACTACAGAGATCTCATCAGCTTCACTGTTTACTACAAGGAAGCGTGAGTTTCTGCATTTGGTGGCAATGTTCTGTTGACAGGGCTGCGAGTGGGTACGGCCAGTCTTTTGGTCGTTGTATTTGTTGGCAGAGGAGCCAGCAGAGGCCCTGGGGAGAACCATGCCGAGTGTCCACGCTTCATCCTCACTCGCCCTCCCTGGGTGTCCTGTGACATCCATCACAGCCTGTGACAGTCACAGATGGGAAAGTGTTAGCTTGAGACCTTTCAGTCTTGAGTGGGTAATTAGAGATGTTTGAATAAAATAAACCCAAAGGAAGGAAAGTTTGTTTTTTCAAGAATGAGGTCACTCCAAACTGTCATAAGCTGTATGAGGAACATGGTTGACATACTGTTTCAACCCTTGTGCCCACTAGCCCTACTCGGGGACACATGGCTCAGTTGAGGTGACCCCCTGCACTAGTGCATGACCTCATTCCTGTCACTCTGTCTCTGGGCCTCTCCTAAGCTGTGGCCCTCTGCTCTAGGTTGTGAATAACGGCAGGAGAATGGAGAGAGACCAGCATTCATGTCTCAAACCTTTTGTGACTTCCCCCGGAATCTGCTGGGGATTTTTCTTGTATCATCAGATGACAGTTGCCTATCTAAGCAGCCACGAAGTATTCCTTCACATTGCAGCTCTCTTTGGTCTCCCTCTTCCTTCCTTTGCCTCCTGTGTCCAGGTGGTTCCTACAGTCTGCTTAGCATCTCCCTTACCCAGGTCCCATCTTAATGCCGCGGGTCTCTCTCCCAGGTGCTTGGCTTCCCAGTAGCAGGACCCAGAGGCACCAATGGCAGCACCTTGCACCCTTTCCCCCTGCCAGAGCAGGGTCCTAGAAATGGTTATAGCCAATGAGAAATGGGGTGCTCAAGATGACTAGGCATTCAGGGTTCGTGTATATCGGCGTCCCTCGTGATCTCCTGTCATGGCTGCAGACAGGGTTATGCTAATGTCAGTCCCAGAAGCTAGTGGCCAGCAGCCATCCAGCCCTTTTCTCTGATAATAAATGTAGAATCCCTACCCGACTACGAATCTGTGCAAGATACTATATTCTCTTTGATTGTCACGCCAATGCTTTTTACCAGCAGTTTCAGCCTGGTAATTTCACTAAGGAGTTGATATTGGTTTTTAGGACAATCTGGAAACTAAATATTTGAGTATTATAATATACTTAAGCATCAGAATTGTTTGTGAGCAATTTAGATTCTAGGAGCTACTTCTGTTTTTTTTGTAGAAAAGTCATTTTTCTGCAAAACTTATATTAATATCTGATGTTTGCATTAAATGAATGTGCTTGTTTTTTTCTTAATGGTGAAAAGATGCTGTAATTGGGAGAGAGAAAAATAGCATTTGCATATGTACTTAGGGAGTAGTAACTATAGAACTTACTCTTCTTAAGGCATAGTAATAAGTACTACAGTGCATAAGTGTGGTGAAACCTAGAGTCCAGTTGCTTAATTTTATTCTATTGTAAAAATTTAATTGACTATTTTATTTAGGAGTCCTGTTATAGAAAATGTGATGTGCTGGGACTGTTGGAAGATTTTTGTGTGCTTTGATGTCAGAGCCCTGAAACATTCTCTGAGCTTGGTTGATTGTCTTTCAGACCCTTTAAAAACGTCACAGAGTATGATGGGCAGGATGCCTGTGGCTCCAACAGCTGGAACATGGTGGATGTGGACCTCCCACCCAACAAGGACATTGAGCCTGGCATCTTACTGCATGGGCTGAAGCCCTGGACCCAGTACGCTGTGTACGTCAAGGCTGTGACCCTCACCATGGTGGAGAATGACCATATCCGTGGGGCCAAGAGTGAGATCTTATACATTCGCACCAACGCTTCAGGTATCCACACCCCAGACAAGCCCCAGGCATCCAAGCTTCCTCGTGAGCTCACTGTACTTGCTTATACAAGGTGTAACTGTAGTGCTAGCAATGAATATGCCTATCATCTTTGCTGTCAATACATGATACTGTATCATATTCTTTTTGCCACTTCTAACATCTTAGGCTCTTCCATTTCATTTTCTGGCCTTGGTACCATCTTGCATTATCTGTCTCCCTGCTCTGTGCTGATGAGCCCAGGTCCTCCAGGGTGCTGGGTTGGTTTCACTGAAAGGCCCAACCAGGAGACAGCTGTCTTTGGCCGCCCTTTTTGTTTATTTTGATATTAGAACGTCCAGGAACGAACTGAAAGCATGCTAATCTGTTCCGCTTACTGCATGTGGCTTGTTGATTTTCTGCATCCAATCTGTAGCTGCTAGGGTTCCAAGGAGGCAGACAGAAGATGAAAAACTGCAGACATAGTATGTTGTGGATATTCACAGTATTCAATGATGAAATGTTCTTCCATCTCCCTTTACCTTCACATTCTAAACCACCTTGTTTCTCAAGTCCACATCTGGGAGCAATAAAAGCAAACATTTGTGTATGTTTTCCAAGTATATAAAAACTAGTTTAGAAATAGGAAAATGCACTTCATTTGTAAAGACACTGATTATCTTAGTCTGTTGGGTGCTGTAACAAAAATGGCATAGTCTGGATGGCTTATAAACAAGAGTTTATAAATATAAAGTTTCACAGTTCCAGAGGCTGCAAAATCCAAGATCCAGATTTTGTGTCTTTTGAGGGCCTGCTTTCTGGTTCATAGATGGCCGCCTTTTCATTGTGTCCTCACTGTGGAGGGGATGAAGGAGCTCTCTAAGGACTCTTTTATAAGGGTACTAATCCCATTCTTAAGGGCTTCACCCCATGACCATATCACCTCCTCCTACCCTCACCTTATGGGTTAGGATTTTAGCATGTGAATTTGGGGGAGACACAGACATTCAATCTATCACACAAATAAACACTCTTTCATAATACCCATTGTTTTAATGGGGAAAGTGTTTTTAAATACCCATAAACTGGCACAGATTGAGTTTAAATAGCAGAGAGGGTGAGAAGAAAATGGTGATGGGAAAATCTTTGCTCATGTACACCTGCTTCCTAGTCCCCTCCTGCCACATTTCTATGATCCTGTAAGTGGCCACAGTTGTGTCACTGATAGAAATATATCAGTTGATGTAGCAGAGATTCAATGCAACAGAATAAAATTTTTTTGTTTTTGTTTTGTTTTTGAGACAGGGTCTCACTCAGTCACCCAGGGTAGAATACAGTGGCCCTGTCATAGCTCACAGTAACCTCAAACTCCTGAGTTCAAATGATTCTCCTGCCTCAGCCTCCTGAGTAACTAGGACTACAGGCATGTACCACCACCCCTGGCTAGTTTTTTCTATTTTTGGTAGAAATGGAATCTCACTCTTGTTCAAGCTGGCCTTGAACTCCTGAGCTCAAGCAATCTTCCCACCTCAGCCTCCCAGAGTACTAGGATTACAGGTGTGAGCGACTGTGCCTGGCCCAGAATAAGTTTTTTATCTTAAAATTTGTAAGTAACCCTTTCTAGCAATTCACTCTAACAAGTTTGGGGAAAATGGGAATCTTTTCTTATTATGACAAATTTTTAAGAAACTCATTTCCTTTTCCCAAAGATGGAAAACCAAACACTGTACAAATGGAGTCTTGTAAGTGTTAGAGAAAGAGAAGGTCTTCCGCCTCTGCTTTTTGTGACACCTATCATTGAAATATCTAGGAATAAGCTGTTTGTTTTTGAAGTACTTATTTTTGGAAACCCTAAAGTGGCCAAGCATCAAATGGTTATATTTTTTCTGAAAAAGCTAGCATTAGTCATAACCTTTTCCCAAAGTATCATCCTTTAAAAGTGTTCAGAACCTTGTGTGTATTATGTACACTGAAGCAGCGGTCCCCAAGCTTTTTGGCACCAGGGACTGTTTTCATGGAAGACAATTTGTCCACGGACCGCCAGGGAAAGGTGAAGTTTGAGATGATTCAAGAGCATTACATTTATCATGTACTTATTTCTATTGTTATTACATTGTAATATATAATGAAGTAATTATGCAGTTCACCATAGGTGGGGACCCCTTCCCTAAAGCACCCTCAAGCTGTCCATCCCTTTCAGATTTTAAAAACATCTGAGATGAACTAAGTGATGTACAGTAAAGGTGTCTCTTGTACTTCGGAGAAACCATCAAAATCAATGCTTTTTTGTGAACCCAATGAGAACAAGATTTCAGTGGTCCTTTATATACAAGGCAGCTCTGAGTTTGGGTTTGGGCATCAGTAGTAGGTAAAGCTGGGCTGGATTACCGTGCTCTGCCTGTGAGTCGATATTCCTTTTGCTGATAACAGAGTCCTGTGCCTGAGATCAGGGCTTCCCTGTGTTTGTATTTTTAGACCACCTTTGAGAGTCATGTCTCAGTCGTTCTACTGAAGTACAATCATAGAAATGGTGGGTTTCCATGCTCTTGGCGTTGCCTTTCCCCCGTCTCTCTTACACGTGGGCGTGACACGCTGTCTCGTACACACACTCTCCAGCCCCCTTTTCACTTCTGTCTTTTGTTTGGGCTTCTTGCCATTTTTATGAGAGATTAAAAATCGCAGATGCAATCCAAGTCAGCCAGTTTTGCCATTTGTTGAAACTGCTGGAGTCAAAACTCCAGCTTTGGAGAGTGGCAGTTGTAAGAAATGAGAAATATCTGGTGTTTGAATTAGCTGTAGGTTTTACGTTGTCTCTTCCAACCCTGGCTGTGCCCTCACCACCTTTTTCCATTTGCAACTCAGTGATGTTTTTGTTTTCACAGAGATTACCGGAGAGCAGCTATCAGAAAGGGAAATGTTGGCATTTAAAGTAATACTATTTCAAAACAAGGTTCGGTTTTCACTTTGCATTTCATTTATCCTTGTTATTTTCTAATCCAGGTCAAACAAGCAGCTTCCTGTCGGTTTGCATTGAGTATCCGATAGATAGCCTAGATCTTGGATTTGTTCTGTTTTCTAAAATGGTTTTTTTTCCCCTTTCCAGTTCCTTCCATTCCCCTGGACGTACTTTCAGCATCAAACTCCTCTTCTCAGCTAATCGTGAAGTGGAACCCTCCCTCTCTGCCCAACGGGAACTTGAGTTACTACATCGTGCGGTGGCAGCGGCAGCCTCAGGACAGCTACCTTTACCGGCACAATTACTGCTCCAAAGGTAAGGGTGCTGGCGGCAGCCTGGACAGGGGGTACCCCTGCATTCCTGCTGTTTGAGCCTCGATGTTACGCATCAGGTAGCAGTGTAGCCCTTCGTTGGAATCCGGCTATCTTCCCGGTTAAAGGTGCTGACAGCTACGCTTTTTCCCCACAAGCATGTATGGTGGCTTTCCTTCCCTCTCTCATCTTGGCTTCTCTTTTCCGAGAAGACAAAATTCCCATCAGGAAGTACGCCGATGGCACCATTGACATCGAAGAGGTGACAGAGAATCCCAGGACCGAAGTGTGTGGTGGAGAGAAGGGGCCTTGCTGTGCTTGTCCCAAGACCGAAGCCGAGAAGCAGGCCGAGAAGGAGGAGGCTGAGTACCGCAAAGTCTTCGAGAATTTCCTGCACAACTCCATCTTCGTGCCCAGGTACCAGTGTCATTTGAATTTTCAGTTCACATAACCCACTGCTCAGGGGGATCCTGTCCCTTTTCTCTCCACCAGGTAGTTTGTAAGTCAGCGACTGTGGGGTGCGACGTAGTGGCCGTGCCTAAAAACCTGGCTGAGGAGCTGGCTAGGTCAGCATTGTACCCCCATCCCTGTCCACGTGTGTTCTCTTCCCCTCCCCAGCCCTGGGGCCCACTGGCTGCTTTCTTAGCTTGTAACAACATATGATTTTTAAACTGATTTTTTTACTTCCTGCCAAGTGACTTTCTTGATATTTGCAAAGTGGTTAAAGACAGCCACCTTACTTTGAAAAATCAGTAAAGTAGGGAATAAAACCTTTCAGAACTGGATGTCCTATTTCCTCTTGAAAATTAAACTCTTGTTGCCTGGTAGCTTTCCTCCCTTCCTTTCCTTTCTCCTCCCTTCCTTTCCTCTCTCGCAGTAACAGCCCCAGAGCTGCTAGGGTAGCCCGAGAGCCCACCGGCTCTCCTGCCCTGCCCTGCCGGGCGTCTTCCATTTGCGGGTGGATTGTAGGGTCACTGCTCAGGGGTCAGCCTCATGGTTCAGTGTTCATTGCTCCTTCCATTTCCATGACATGTTTGTATCACATGCGGTTCCTAGAATTGGAAAGTTTGAGGACTGGAAAGAGCACAGATATGTTTGAAAACTGGGACTCAGGTTCAGGGACCTCTCCAGAGTCCCAATTAATCAAGAATTAGTTTGGGACGTGGCCCTGCGTTCACACGCGCGGAGGCACTTCCCTTCATTGCGTTGCTTCTCCACACGGCCCACTCCACCCCGGCCGGCTGGCAGAGGCTCAGCTGGTGGCAGCTCCTGTTGCCACAGGAAAGGATGACTTTAGAGTGTCCCAGGTAGGCTGGGCAGGAAGTTTTATTCTCCATCAAAGGCTGTTGGTTACGTTGGTGTCTTATCCCACCAGCCTGCCAGAGGTTCAGCTTGTGAGTCAAGGATTTGGAAAGATTTTGCTAAAAGGCTCTCAGCTTTCAGCTGTAGTTAAGAGACAATACCTTTTTCTTATCAAATGTGGAACAAAAGACTAAATGAGATAGCTGTGGTTGACACAGATGTTATGAACGCACAGCGTTCATTTTGTTGGGTTTGAAATAAGTTTCCTCTGTGCCAGGTTCTGCTCAATGGACGCATTCATCCATCCCTTAGTCCTTTTTCTCTCCTAAGACAAGTCTGACTTGTGATTATTTCTTCCCATAAATGTATGTTAATCTCATATTTTGTTCATGGTGAGAGGCTACAAAACTGAGAACAATGTTTATTTGCTTTTTCCTCCTACTGAGTTCTGACAGTTCAGGTAAAGGGGTGTCCAGATGACAGAATGACTGAATCATAAAGGCTGGCTTTCTGTTTTATCACTCAATTGTCCAAAAACGATTTAGATTTCTTTCAATTCATTCTAAGAACAATTTATTTGTGGGTTAAAACCAGCTAAGTCAGATTTCATTCCTTACTTATTATCTGCTGAATCCTGTGTGTTTTGAAGTAGAATGGAAGCTAGAGTTTATAAAGTTGGTTTCTGAAGTCAGTAGTTGGTGTTAAGTGCCTTTCATTGACTGCTGTCTTTATTTCTTCAATAGCCTGGCTTGGTAGTTTGGTTTAACTGGCTGAAATGTTGACAGATGTTGGGAAGTCAGAGGCTTTCCAGCAGGAATAGGCTGTATTGTGGTGGAGTGGGCAGAGTTGACAGTAATGTTTACTGCTGACCACACCATTTGGAAACGTGGCTGTTTACAAAGAATTACGTAGAGGCCATTGTGCTTATCCATTCCTGTCTCCCAGATCCTGTTCTGCATTGCCTCCCTCCCCCAGTCCTTGACTTGGTGTCTGCAGTAACAGCTATACAGTCTCTGAAGTGTGGTGTTTATAAACAAGTAAACTATTGCACGTACTTAATGGTATAATCCCAGTTACATGTCGGTAGGCTGGGAGAGGAGGGTTTAACACAATATTATTAATATTTTGCAGTGCATCAAACCTAAGCAACTTCTTACTTATAGACACAAGTGTGTGCTGTGTTGATTTTGAAGGGAAAGCAGAAAGTTTGTTGATAATACGTTGAAAAAGATCTCCCTAGTAATAAATGTGGTTTCTTGTGTTCTTCCCATCCGGGAAGGATGGTTGGCTGGCTGACTCGCTGGCTCACTGGCTGGTTTGCAGGGTGTGAAGATGGTGGATTATCAGCCTCATTTCCCAACCCTTCCTCCCCCAGTGTTGCGAAAGCAAACACACACGGTCATCCTGTCCTTGTGGACCTCTGCCTGTTGGGATGAGCATGTCTGTGTTGGGGAGTTTATTATGCCTTGGGTGGGGCCCTGCGTGCCACTGCACAAAGAAGGACTATGTTTTTCTCGGGAGAATCCGTGGGCTCAGCAGATTGGGGAGCAGAGGCCCTTTCCCCAAGCACGCTGCCATCTCCTTCCGGGTTTTGGCCTAGGGACCAGCAAGGAGCCAGCTGAGCGTCAGCTGAGCCTGCATATGGCTTCTGGGGCACCTCCTTCCCAGCGGCACTTCTGCTGCTGCTCTCCCTGCACGAACGAGACCGAGGCACTTCCTGTTTTCTGGGCATTCTTGTTTCCTTGGGATTTTCCTGTGGTCAGTCCTAGCTACTCGGGAGGCTGAGGCAGGAGGATGGCTTGAACCCAGGAGTGTGAGGTTGCAGTGAGCTCTGCTGATGCCCCTGCACTCCAGCCTGGGCAAGAGAGTAAGACCCTGTCTCAAAATAAATAAATAAGGAAGGAGATCCCCATATTATTTGTTGATTCTTATCCAAGGGGGCTGAATAGCTCTTTTTATTCCAAGGTTAACATTTTTCTTTTCCGTTACTCTTACCCTAGTTATAAAAAAGGATGAAAGAGGTAGAAGCACTTACAATGCAACTTTGTCTCTTCCTTGCAGACCTGAAAGGAAGCGGAGAGACGTCATGCAAGTGGCCAACACCACCATGTCCAGCCGAAGCAGGAACACCACGGCAATGGACACCTACAATATCACAGATCCAGAAGAGCTTGAGACAGAGTACCCTTTCTTTGAGAGCAGAGTAGATAACAAGGAGAGGACTGTCATTTCTAACCTCCGGCCTTTTACATTGTACCGCATCGACATCCACAGCTGCAACCATGAGGCTGAGAAGCTGGGCTGCAGCGCCTCCAACTTTGTCTTTGCAAGAACTATGCCCGCAGGTACGGTGTGATCCAGCTAGCCCCATTACTGATTCACTAAAGCCTAGTGGAGAAGACCATGTTTTGTAGACGTGGGGTCTGACATCTAGGGCCATGACTCTTAGTCCCAAGGTCTGCCTGCTAAACAATGTGTGATCATTGGTAGGCAGCCTGGTAGACCAGCCACCTGGGGAGCAGAGCCCGTGCTGTCCTAGTGATGTCACTCCCAGCATGGTCTCTCCTTAGAAAATACTGAGAACAGGTAGCTGCCTGCCAGCTCTACACTCCTCCTGCTTCTTGGTTCATATTGTGCATTCCTATGGCCCCAGCCCATTTACCTGTGCAGGTAAATTAGGCTGCTCCCTCCTGAGTTTTCACAGATTCAGTGACATTCCCAGTTAGCTGCCTTGATTCAGAGTAACCATTGCTTCTCAAGTTATCTCCTTGCGTAGCCTCTGGTCCTGCACGTTTGGTCTTTAGCTTTCCCTTGTAAGTTAGACACTGCCTGTCGCTCAGACAGCCATTCGCCCATCTTTGAAGTGGGTGAACTGCCCAGTTGTCATTCTTGCAAGAGGCACCAGGTAGCAGAAAGAGCATGAGGGTGATTGGAGTCTAGGGAGTGGGCCCTCATGTGCACTGTTCTGACACTGACATCCAATACACCTTGGTTCAGCCAACAGCTTCCCATGCCTCAGTTTCCCCAGCCTTTCTAGGAGAGACATAGACCAACTGAGCCCTCAGTTCCTTTCCCAGTTGGCAACTTCCTATAGGACTTTTGCTCACCACTTTGCTTACCGCTTTAGGAAGCAAAAGCAAGAGAGCAGCCACTACAAGGTCAACTAGCAGCTAAAGGAGTTAATGCTGGCAGGGAAAGCTTGCTCTCTCAGCACCAGCCTCTTCACAGTCCGGGCTTGGGGCTATGCTTCATGCCAGTGTAAAATTTGCAGCTGCTTGTGTGTAGACACGAGCTGTGGAGGGGCCCTGTCACAGGCCAGGGGCCCTGTGTGCTGCTGTTGCTGCTCATTCAGCACCTTTACAACCTGCTCGTGTGCTATGGCCGCACACAGTTTTCTTTTTTCAAGTGTTGGAAGCAGAATAGAAAAAGAAAGTTAACTTAGGTTGCCAAGATTTCCCTACTATGCTTGGCAGTAGGCTTTTCTGGTGGGGAGTAGGGAGGATCCTGTGGCACCTTAAGACATGCAAATCATCAGGTTGGTCCAGTTTTGAAACTTGCTGTTGAGAGCAGCCGGCTCAGGGGGAGCCTATGTGGTCACTGTCCACGGGCCTGCACTCACAAATCAATGGGTTATTCTCAGGTCAGCCCAGTGTTGGTCTCCCTCCCTGGAGACCTGAATCCAACTTTGTTGCTTGTTTAAATCATACAGAAGGAGCAGATGACATTCCTGGGCCAGTGACGTGGGAGCCGAGGCCTGAAAACTCCATCTTTTTAAAGTGGCCAGAACCTGAGAATCCCAATGGATTGATTCTAATGTATGAAATAAAATATGGATCACAAGTCGAGGTAAGACTGGAGCCGTGGCCTGTGTCTGCCTATATTTCCACCAAAGTTGATAGCTTGTGTTAGGTTAGGTTAGCTTGTGTTATATGATCATACAGGTTACTTCCCGGTTAGCTTAAGATTCAAAACGATAAAAGAAGGTGCTGAGTCAGTGAGGACTTGGGTCTTTCTACCACCTCCACATTCTGAGAGGTACTCTGCAGCATGCAAGGGGCTGAGCTACATCTCATCCCCAAGAAACTTTCATTGTAGAAAATGACCTATGGCATTGGCCAGATTGGTCATAATAACTATTGATCCTTCTGGAGTTCTCCTGGGTTTCAGAAATGTTTGATTAAAACTTTTGGGTATGCTTAAAGCTACTTGAGGACAAATCTCTTAAGACTTGGTTTCTTCCCCATTGTTGACAGTCGGGGTCATTGCTAGGTGAGGGGTCAGAGAGTAGACACCTGGAGCCACCGTGCAGTGAGTTTTGCTGGCAGGTCCCAGATTTCTCCTGTGTTTTTGGGAAGTTGACATCTATGTTTTCTTTCCCCCAGGATCAACGGGAATGTGTGTCCAGACAGGAGTACAGAAAGTATGGAGGGGCCAAGCTGAACCGGCTAAACCCAGGGAACTATACAGCCCGGATTCAGGCCACCTCTCTCTCTGGGAATGGGTCGTGGACAGACCCTGTGTTCTTCTATGTCCAGGCTAAAAGTAAGACTTACGGAGGGGGTAGCATGGTAAAACTGAAAGTAGGTTGGGCCAGGATTTGGGAAGCTGGGAGTGCTATGGCTCTCTTATTTCTGATTTTCTGTTAGAACAGAGTTGGCCAGTTCTCAGAAGGGTCACACAACCATGTCTGGGAGTTTGGGCTGGGGAGATACTGAGCTTTGGGTCCCTATCTCATGTCATATGACAGGCCAGGGAGAGGGTAGGAGTCCCCTCTTTTGAGGTGATATAACCATTGAAGAGCCAGAGGAGACCTTTGTTTTCAACTTGGCTTATGTTCAAAACTATTTGACAAAGCATTGAATTGACTTTTCTACTGCCTTCCTAATCTGTAAAGCTGGTTGGGACTCAGATTTAGGGCTTGGAATCCTAAGGGGTGAACAAAACCTGAGAGTTCATCTGGTCCAGCCTGCTCCAGGGCAGGAATCTCTGTGACAACATGCCAGGCTGAGGCACTCGGCTCTGCTTAACTGCCCCTTGTTAAAATACACCCACACTCTGAAAGCCCCAACATACATTGAAAGCACACAGCGCTCACTGTTGGGTGCAGAGATTAACTAGTGAGAGTTTATGCTCCAACCACTGACAAAATAACTCTTAGGCTATTATTTGTGATGATTTCAGATTTTAAAACTGAATTTTATAAAATACATAAGCACAACAAGGGCCACATGCTTGGTGTTTGACCCCCAAAATTTAAAATTTTGTTTGGTGAAATTATTTCCATATTAACTTTCTATTCTTATTAGAAACCCAATGTGTTGGATTATTTCATGTTCATGTAATGGGATCAAACTTGGAATAACACCATTCCTTATTGATTGCTCCCCACCTAAAATAGCACTATAGCCCTGCTTAGTCGTAGTACTTTCTGGTATCCACATTCCTCATGTCCTGGAGTCTAAAACAAGCACTGAACACATCCAGCAATCCCACTTCCAGGCATATATCCAAAGGAAATGAAATCAGTATGTGGAAGAGATATCTGCACGCCCATGTTAATTGCAGCCTTATTCACAATAGCCAAGATGTGGAGTCAACCTAATGTCCATCAGCAGATGAGTGGATAAAGAAAATGTGGTATATATACACAGTGGAATACTTTCAGCCTTATAAAAGAGGGAAAACCTGTCATTTGCAACATGGATGAACCTGGAGGACATTAGGTTAGGTGAAATAAGTCAGGCACAAAAAGACAAATACCACATGATCTCACTTATATGTGGAATCTAAAAAAGTTGAGCTCATAGAAGTCAAGAGTAGAATGGTGGTTCCTGGGGATTGGGGTGGGTGGGGATTCGGGGAGATGTTGGCCAAAGGAGGAAACATTTCAGTTAGATAGCAGGAATAAGTTCAAGAGATCTTTTATAAACGTGGTGACTATACTTTAATAATAAAGTATTCTTAAAAATTGCTAAGAGAGAAGTTTTAAGTGTTCTCACCCCCAAAAATGGTAAGTACATGAGGTAGTGCGTACGTTAATTAGCTCAATGGAGCCATTCCACAATGTATACACATTTTAAAAACAACTGTTGCACGTGATAAATATATGCCATTTTTATTTGTCAATTAAAGTTAATTAAGATGTTTTAGAAAAACAAGGACTACAGTAGTCCATCTGGTTAGCACCGGATATTCCTAGCTATGTGTGATATCTGAAAATCCTCATACTGATAGGTAGCAAAAGAAGGATGGGGCAAATAGGATTGCAAACCTTGAGCCAACATTTTTTGTTACTGGCACTGTGCCTGGGTTCAAGTTTTAGGGATAAATGGAGGCTTAGGCAGATAATTCTGTCAATTAAAATAGTCTGAATTCTCCCATTTAGTCCACTTAACCTAGTCTTACCAGTCAGCCTGTGCCACCTCGCCAGTTCTAGAATATTCACAGTACTCCTGTAACCCTCTCCAAAGCAGTGGCTTGCTTTATTTCTCTACCCAAAGCTTTCTCTTTCCGTCCCCCTCTCCCCTCCCTCCATCCCCTAGAACAGAGCCTAATTTGGGGGTCTGTGGTCTTTGATACAGTAGCTTTGGCCCCTGGGGTTGGGTGAACTTGGCTTGTTTTGGGAGACGTGTTCATGTCTGCCTGTGCTGCTCCATCTTTAACCCCATGAGTGCCGGCTAGTGGGACATCCCGGAGTCCCTCTGATGGGATTTTGCCAGCAGAAGTTGGCATGTACTACTTGGAAATTGGATCCGCATGCTAGCTTTACTGCTGCAGAGTTTCTCCTTATGTCAGAGAAGACTTTCTCCTGCTACAGTTTGGTCTCATTTCTTCTTGTTTAATCCTCAGAGGAGATGGAAGCTTTGGAAGCTTCCTGGCAATTGCTCTCCTTGTAGGAACTCTTTCCTGTGCTTGAATGCTATTAAATTACCCTTCAGACTTCTCTTCTCCAGATGAAATAATCTCAGGTCTTTTGGCTTTTTCTTGTAGCCCGGTCTCTTACGCCAATTTTCTAGCCATTTAATCATTTTGTTCTTCTCTGGATGTGTTTCAATTTCTCCATGTCCCTGTTGAAATGTGAAACTCGAAAAGAACACAGTACAACCTGACCAGTAGTATAAGTGATACAAATAGAAGAAACAGGCCTCAGGGGAAAAAAATGAAGAATCTGCTAGCTTCCCCCCTGGCAATGGTAACTTGCGAGTATTTTTAGGAATTAGAAAATACAAGAGCCTGCATCGATTTCAAGTAATAGAATATCAATAAAAATATCTTTCATCTGTGATAAAAAATATCTTTAATTTTAAAATTAAAAATAGCTTTAATAGTCTATAAAGAATAATCATAGTACTAGTTTTTAGTGGCAAAATAATCATTGATGGGCAATTTATGATCAGTGTAACCTGGTCCCCAGTGAGTTCTTAGCCCATTTCCATATACACATCTCTACTTGGGTGTCCCATGGCTACTTCAAGCTCCTTGTGTCAAAAACCAAAATCATAGTTGCTGCCCTCAAAACACCTCTCCTCTCCTGCGTTCCTTATCTCAGTCAGTGTGGCCTCATAATCCACTCATCACCCAGCCAGGAACCTCACAGGCATCCCTCACTCTGCTTTCTCTCCAGCCACCTGGTTTTTATTCCAACCAAAGTCTCACGGATTCTGCCACTTGGACATCTCTGGAATCCAGCCCCCCCACCCCCACCCCTGCCACCGGCACTGCCACAGGTCGGCCCCCAGGTTGCTGGCACTGTGGGAATAGTATGAGCTGTGGGTGCAGGAAGGATTTATAGAAAAGTAGCAGTGAATTCTTTGCAAAGTGTGAACTGGGGAATGCAGAGCATGCCCAGGGAGTATGGGGTGTTCCCCCACTCTCCAAGACAGAGCAGTGGCTCCTCTCTACTGCCAGGCCCTCCAGTCTGTCCTCGGCACAGCCCTCTCCGTCGTGTGCACATCTCATCAGTTCACTGCTGAGCCTGAGAGCTTTTGCTGACTCCTTTTAATCTGTAGAACGAAGTTGAAACTGCTCAGCTTGGAGAAGGCCCCTCATGAGCCAGCCCTGACTTCTCTCCAGGATTATTTCCGAGCCATTTCTCTGCTAGGAAAGCCATTTCCCCCCAAGGAAAGCGTATCTTTCTTCTGCAAGACTCAGGCAAAAGGAGCCTGCTATTAGGGAGCTCCCCTTGAGCCTCCCTTCTCTCTTCACCCTTCTTCTCGGCATCCTTGTCGTATGTGCAGTCCACTCTCCTAGTTGTCATGCTACCTATTGACGCTGATTTCCCACATGCCGCAGAATGTTCCAGGGTGTGGGTCCATGTCCTGGTGCGCAGCCCAGGGCCTGTCCCTGGTGGTGAGTACTGCAGCAGTCCCTGTGGTCTCACAGGTGTGACGGGGCTCAAATGCTTGCGGAGCATTCAGAGCAGAGTTGGCAAGGGGTGCCATCCAGTTGTTTTTGTACGTGCTCGTTTATTTTAAATTGTCTGTGGAACTACCTTAAGACGGATAAGAGTCGGCATGGCTTGGATAAGAATCTTATTCATTTTTACTTTTAGCAAATGTATGCATTTTCTCTAATAGTCATTAAACTGCGTGCAAAGATTGTTTTCCTTGAGTCTACCCATCTGTCTGTTACATCAGAATATACTGTACTGGAAAAGTTGAATATCCAGCTCAGTTTGCACTAATTTAATCTTTTTTCAAATAATTCAGTTTGTTTGCTGTGTTATTTCTGAGAACCATTTACCTTCAGGAATTCCTACTACATGGCAGAGGAGTAAAGAAATAGTCAGGGATTGTTTTGTATTTTTTTTTCTTCCATACTTCCAACTGAATTTAAAGACCGAAGTGAGGGCCAGGCACAGTGGCTCCTGCCTGTGATCCTAGCACTCTGGGATGCCGAGGCGGGCGGATCGTTTGAGCTCAGGATTTCGAGACCAGCCTGAGCAAGAGTGAGACCCCGTCTCTACCAAAAATAGAAAAAATTAGCCAAGCATGGTGGCACATGCCAGTAGTCCCAGCTATTGGGGAGGCTGAGGCAGAAGGATCGCTTGAGCCCAGGAGTTTGAGGTTGCTGTGAGCTAGGCTGACGCCACAGCACTCCAGCTGGGACAACAGTGAGACTCTGTCTCAAATAAATAAATAAATAAAAAGCAAAAACCGAAGTGAACAGATTGTTCACCTAATGATATTGTATCATTTCCTCCCCCGTTGCTGCAGCAGGATATGAAAATTTCATCCATCTGATCATTGCCCTGCCCGTGGCCGTCCTGCTGATCGTGGGAGGCTTGGTGATAATGTTGTACGTCTTCCACAGAAAGAGGTCAGTGACTTGTGCAAAGTTACAGCACTTTTTGTGGCTGAGTGGTTTGACGATTTGAATGTGTGTGAAGGTAGCCCTTTTGAGGATTTTGAGGAAATATTTTATGGATTGGAAGGCCTGATTTTCCAATCAGATGTTCTTGACAGGAAAAGAGAACATTTTCTGATGATTTTAACAACCACCAAAAAAATGTTTTTTGATAGCACAGATCTTCCCCTCGAGGGCTGTTCTGCCGCACAGATAGGGACTGCCGCTCCTGCAGGCTTCTCCAGACTTGGTGTCTTGGCCCTCCCAGTCAGCTCAGCCTTTTTATTAAATTAGTCCCAATGAAGTAAAGAAACACATTTCTTCAAAAGCTCTAGTGTGAGGCGCTGCGGAAGCCAGAAGAGGTGTCAGCAGGTGTCTGCTGGCCCACCCGGGCCTGGACCGGGAGTGCAGACAGAGCTGTGTGAGCAGTAAGCTGTACCACGCCTCCTCCTGACACTTCCGGAAACAGAACAAACGAGGCTGTTATAACAAAGATGAAGATGTGTCTACACAAGTGTGTGGAGATGGAGTTTTGTTAACCTCAGTTTTATCTTTCTTGACAGAAATAACAGCAGGCTGGGGAACGGAGTGCTGTATGCTTCTGTGAACCCCGAGTACTTCAGCGCGGCTGATGGTAAGGGCGCCGGCCGGCCGCGCACACTGCCGGGACGCGGGGGAGGCGGGTCGGGAGCTTCCAGGAGCGTCGCTAATTAGGGAAAGGGAAGAGGCTCGCCTTACTTTGAGCTGTCTTTGGCCTTGAATCTGTCTTCATTAATATTTCCTTTTTTTTAATTAATCAAAATTTTTAGCAGTTCAGTGACTATGTCAAAACTTCTGGGACTGTATGGGGTGCCCCAAGGAAAAACAGGCTTCAGAGATGAATGTGGCCAGCACAGTAATCAATTTCTTTAATTGCTTGAAATTTTATGCTAGAATGAAGAAAGCTTTTTAATTGTTAACATCTAGTTAGATGCAGCTGCCAAAACAGTCCTTTTAAACTTGTTTCAGTTTGAGTATCGTATCATTATAATTGTCTTTGACCACGTGTGGCTTCTCTGCTCTTTTTATCTTGGAATTTTTCTGTCATTTCCTCCTGACTGGGGTCGTACCCTCGTGGCTCATTCACTTTACTTTTGCCAGCAACTAATGAGGGACATTTAGTTAAGTGTCTGGGAAGGTCTGACTTGGAAGCTGGGTCATACTCAATGGTTATTTGCTTTTTTTCCTTTTTAGCTTTTTTCTTCCTAGTATGCTCATATCTAAACCTTTTGAGTAAATCAGATGTGGTCGGGGTTGGTCATCAATCCCAGTCATATTTGTACCATTAACTGACACTTTGTAGGGTCTTTTACAAACACCATTCCATTTGCTCCTTGCACCCCTGCAGAGCGGGTTTTCTCATTGCCCATCTGTAGGTGAGGAAATGAGCTCCAAGCAGAAACTTCTCGGGCTCACATAGCTAGACAGTTGAGAAGTCAGGATGAGAATTCAGTCGCCATGGAAAGGCCTGTGAGGTTTCCCCGGCAGGCAAGGAAGCTGGCCCGAAGGAGGGGCTGGGCCCGGTTGGCGCATGAAGTTGGGTGGTGTGTTCAGAAACAGCAGTTGCTGCCGTCTTGCTTCAGGGGGAGTGAAAGTAGAGGTGCGGGGAGATAGGGGATAAAGAGCCATGATTATTGTAATTGATTATCCGGATCAGATGAGGAAACATAAGAAAATACCTTGATAAGTGAAAAGCACTGCATAAATGTGTAAGGTTTTACTATGGTTTCTTTACTCATTTCTAGTTGAGTTGTATTTATAGTAAAGCCAACCAAAAGCAGCCTCCTCTGAATGGGAATCATGTGCAGAATAGTACGGACATTATTCTTCATAAAGTTTTCACGAAGTTTTATTAATAGTCATGTATATACACATATATCTTCGTGTGTGTGTTTAAGGCATAGAGAACATTCTGGAAGGATGCGTAACCACTCTTACAAGAGTTGTTACTTGTGGAGGGGGTCTTTCCCTAAAAAAAAGGGAGACATGGTATCACATGTCCATAGTCCTGGATACTTGGGAGACTGAGGTGGGAGGATTGCTTGCGTCCAGGAGTTTGAGGCTGGCCTGGGCAATGTAGCAAGACCCTATCTCTTAAAAAAACAAAAAGCAAAAAACCAAGAGACAGATATGCATTTATTTTTGTAAATAATACCATTAAAAAAAATCAGGGTAGTCATCACAGATAATAGATAGGGACAATACAAGGCCACTTCCCCTGTCTGTGAGTGTGGAATACAACTATACCAGGGAATCTACTCTGCTTTGAAATAAAGCACTTAAGGTTGACATTTGTAGCTTTTAACTATGAAGTCCCCGGGAAGTTTAGAAAAAGCATTAACACAATAAATGGTGACTCTAGTGGTGACTTAAATTCAAATTTTGTGTCCTTCCAGAATGCATTCATAATATGTCTTGGTTCTTCATTAAAACAAAACAAAAACACATTCATTGTCACCTAGGCCAACAGGTGGGAACACTGTCACCTCATTTGAACTTAATTTATTTGGTCTTTCGACAAGCACCATATAGCCAGGTTTTTTAAGGGGTGACAAAATGACATTGCAGTTCAAAAGTGCTTTAAAATTTCTCTCTCCCAAAGCTAATCTGCATGTCACTGCTCTCCAGAGTACATTGAATATCCCCTACAGGAAAGTGCTGATAACATTGTGCACATAAACCGCTCTCGTGGCTGGTGGAGCTCAGGACTGCTGGTAAAAGTCAGAGCTGATGGGTTGCATTTAAAGAAAAGGATTGAGGGTGTTGACTTCTGGGACCTCCCAAGGAATAGATGTGATTGGTTTTAACTCCGTGTTTTATGGCATGCTACATAGTTAATTCTGATTAAAAGCAAGCCTGGATTCTCAGAGATAAATGAATAGAGACAGTGAGTCTTTATACTTTCTGAAGGGCATTGAGAAGAGTCTTATCTCCGGGGTTGTCTTGCATAGTTACTCTCCTAAGCAAGCGGCAGCCTCTTCTTCAGGGATGCAAGCCATCTAAGCCAGCTGACAGTAGAGTTCCGTTTCTGAAATTCTTAAACACATACGTAGCATGAAATACAAAAAGTGTGCATGACAGAAAACTCAAGATGATTAATAAAGTCCATACTGGACACTACTCAGTGGTGTAAATTGGTGGTGTCTCCTGTGCCTAATTTATAATAAACATTTTTCCTTTGAGACATCACTTAAAAGTCGATACTTGGGACATGGGGATGTCAGAGTACAGTTGTCAGCCCACTGCTGCTCTCACATCCAGCCTCAGACCCCAGATGAGCATCTGGATGCATAAAAGCAAAGACAGGCCCAGTCCTCACTTCCTAGTCCCTCTGCATTTCTGAACCTGGACCGCCTTCCTGCCAGTCAACACGTAGTAGAGCCTGCTGACAGCTCCCCTTCAGGCAGGGACCTCAGCACATGGCATTAGAAGAATACGGTTATGATTGAAACCTCTTATGGAATAGGTTGATTTTATTTTCATTTTTGTCCTACCCATTGGTGGTATAGAAGGGAGCCTCTGGTTTGGTTTTCTTTCTTTCTGACCCTTTTTGTTTTCTTCCCTTCTCTTTGTTTCATCTTCTCTCCTGTGTAGAATTATTTATTTATTTCCTCAAACCAGATCGAATCTAAACAGACACAGAAGCTGGAGAAAGAAACATTGAGGCTCAGTATTTACCATGTGCCCCTCCTAACTCATTACCCTGTAGTGGAGACGCCCTGAGTTCACAGAGCCCTGGGAGCCACCTCTGCTCATCAGCTGCCCCAGCTGCCCTCTCCACCCTGGACACCACTGGGGTCCCTTGGTCCCAGAGCTCAGTGGTTTGTGCAGCTCATTTAGAGGCCTGATGGTCAAAGGCAGGCCTGGGAGACACTTTGTCTACACCAGAGCAGTCCTACCAATAGAAATGCAATCCAATTCACATATGGAACCTTACATTTTCTGGTAGCCATAGTTCTGAAAAGCAAAAAGAAACAGGTGAGATACATCCTAATGTTTTCTATAACCCATTATATCCAAAATATTATCAGTTGTAACACGTAATCAGTGTAGAAGTTATTGAAATATTTGGCTTTTTTTTTTTTTTAACTAAGTCTTTGAAATCCAGTGTGTATTTTATACTTACAGCATGTCTCAAATTGGACTAGTGACATTCAGGTGTTTGGTAGCCACATAGGGACTAGCTGCTGTGTTAGACAGCACGGGCCGGGGGTCAGTGTTGAGGACCCTGACACCTCTCTTGGAGTCACCTGCGAAGTAGGACATCACATGAGACATTATCACCTCTTACACCACTAACCTTTTTCCTGATCCCGAAGAAAAACTCTTCCCTCTTCCTCCTACTCTCCTGTCTTTGTGATTTGCATTTTAACCTGTTGATGAAGATAGGTGAACATCCAAACCTCCTAGAATCTGCTAGCCCATTTCATTCAGTTTCTCTTTCTCCTGTGGTTAATTTGCTTTTATCAGATAATGGAATTTTTTTTAAATGATGAGAAACAATAAAAGGAACTACTGCTTTCTTTCCTATCCTAGGCTTCTTTGCTTCCTTCTGGTCCTTATATGCTGTTAGTATACTTGAATTATCTTGAAATCCAAAAAGGGTTGAAATACCAGTGCCTGACCGTATGGTTGTCTTACTCAAATCCATAGCAGGTGGAAAGAGTTTAGAGCAAGCCATGCCCCTGTCTCCTGGTATTTTCCTTTGTGGGTTATAGGAGGTGGCATCTTGTGTTCTTTGGCTCAGAGTTCCCCAAAGAACAGGTTCTGTCTAAGGGCTCGTTTCCATACCTGTTTCACTTCCGGTTTCTTCTTCTCCAGTGTACGTTCCTGACGAGTGGGAGGTAGCTCGAGAGAAGATCACCATGAGCCGAGAGCTCGGGCAGGGGTCGTTTGGGATGGTCTACGAGGGAGTTGCCAAGGGCGTGGTTAAAGATGAACCCGAAACCAGGGTGGCCATAAAAACCGTGAACGAGGCCGCGAGCATGCGTGAGAGGATTGAGTTTCTCAACGAGGCTTCCGTGATGAAGGAGTTCAACTGCCACCACGTGGTAAGAGAAGGTCCTGGAAAAGCCAGAATCCAACACAGGGAGGAAGTGTCCCACAAGCCCCCGGTGTGTTCCTGGCCACGCTGTGGGTTTGGTGTCCCCCCTCTGTCTCCTGGACAGTGACTCACTGTCCCCTGCAGACCGCCGTGCTCGGGCAGGTTGGGATGGGGCCCCCGGCACCACACAGACAGCTCTGGACGGTGCGGGCAGCGGCGAGGGCCACCCCCCGCTCTGAATCTTTCTCTCTTGATGTCCCCCAGGTGCGGTTGCTCGGCGTGGTGTCCCAGGGCCAGCCAACGCTGGTCATCATGGAGCTGATGACACGGGGTGACCTCAAAAGTTACCTCAGGTCTCTGAGGCCAGAAATGGAGGTCAGTTTTGATTTTCACCGACTTCGCACGTGACCTTGCCTGTTCTCTTTCCTTTAGAAACTCCCCGCATGGCGTGGGTCTTGCTGCATGCTCAGTGCTAGGTCCTTTCTGTAAAGGATTTCCCCAGCTAGAGGAAGACCTCGATCTTTGTGAGAGGAGCTAGCCGTTCCTCAGATCCCCTGGTGCGTGAACGCCGCTATGCCTCTGTTCCTGTGTTCCCTCCGCCCCCAGTCCCTCCCCACGTCTCATATCCTCCTGCCGGTCCACACTGGTGTGCTCCCTCCCCGAAGCTTGCCCGCCCCTCGCCAGGGGTAACCACCTCCTCAGCTGACTTCTCAGTGCGTTTGACTCTTCTAGCACGTGTGTCCTCCACCCCTATTGTGTTGCTGTTGGAGTGTGTCCCTCTCACCCACTGTGTGTGGCTTTTCATCCCAGGCCCAGCATGCATGCTGCTCAGGGCTGTCTGTGGCGGGCACTCCTTCGATAAATGTGCGTTAAAGATCTGTGTCAGGCTGACTGATTCCTGCCCTTGGATCTGGGGAGTCTCTGAGGCGATTTCCCGCCCAGCTCTATGCACCAGACGTCTGCTCGGTCACAAGCCCCCCTCCCCCCACAGCCCTTCCCTTGTGCCGTCAGCAGCCTGTGCCTTGGAGACCTGGAAGCTGGATTTCTCAAACTCTGCATCCACGGTTCAGGCTTGCTCTTGATTCAGTGTCTTGCTCGCACTTTTGAATGATACTCACCTCAGCTGCCCGATCTCTGCTTAGTCTACTAAAAATTTAGATTTGGGTCATGAGCTTCAAATCCTAAGCCTGCTAAAATCCTATGTGATTTTTCATTAGTCACCGTAGTGTCTCGCCTTCTGTAGTACTAACCCACAAGCCAGCTTTTTAACATGCAGGCGTGACTTATGAGTAAGTGAGTCTAAGAATAAACTGAGAGATAAATGCTGGGATAGAACCAGCAACAACTGCCTTTTTCTTTGGCTGCCTTGGTGGGTCTGAAGTCCTCACTTTGACCCTGACTTTGCTACCTGTGGGGTAAGCAGTGTGTCTGTTTATATTCCTTAGACGCAGTAACTTTCTGTGCCCCTTTTGAATTTCTTTTGCCATTCCCTGTTTAGGCTTAATTTTTTATTTTTATTTTTTTAATCTGCAACTTAATCATCTCCCAAGTGGCTGTTCCTTAATTTTAGTTCCAAGCACCTGTTCACCTATGACTTCATTTATTTACAGCACATAGTGTTTGGGGTTCTGCAAGAGCCACAAGGCCAAGTGTGGACTGAGGCGGGACAGGGAGTGACTTACAACACCCCACCCCACCCCTGTTGTGCCCAGCCTTGGTCCCCAGCACCCCTGGGGGTCAGTGCCTTTTCCTGGCTCCCTTTAATACACAGGCCAGAATGAAGGAGAAAACCTTGATGAAACCGGTGACTAGAGATGTGGCAGAATGTTTCTTGCCAGCATCATTCTAGGCACCTCTGTAAAGTACGAAACTCACTTCCTCCGTCCCCCATTTCAGGCATAGAGTAAAAGTTCAGGACACTTGCTGTTAGTGCTGGCTCTGCCACTGGCTTCCTGCTATCCTCAGGCAGCCACTGCAGGTTTATGGGCCTCAGTTTCCTCTTGGGTAAAATAAGAGGGTTAGGCAGAAAGATTACTGAAGTCCTTTTCAGAGCTAAAATTCCCCTGTAGATTTGTAAGATTTAAATATTTTCTAAGTCAAACATGGAAATGTGTGTGCTGCTCCTACAGATTCATTATATTCTACTTGCCCGACCCCTAGCTAAGATTCATGTATTGACCTCACCAAGTATAGCTGCATGTGTGTGTTTGTCTTAAATAGCTCTAACCAGATTAAAGATTTCAGGCCCGGCACGGTGGCTCATGCCTGTAATCCTAGCTAGCACTCTGGGAGGCCGAGGCGGGCGGATTGCTCAAGGTCAGGAGTTCGAAACCAGCCTGAGCAACAGCAAGACCCCATCTCTACTATAAATAGAAAGAAATTAATTGGCCAACTAATATATATTGAGAGGAAAAAAAATTAGCTGGGCATGGTGGCGCATGCCTGTAGTAACAGCTACTTGGGAGGCTGAGGCAATAGGATTGCTTGAGCCCAGGAGTTTGAGGTTGCTGTGAGCTAGGCTGATGCCACAGCACTCACTCTAGCCTGGGCAACAAAGTGAGACTCTGTCTCAAAAAAAAAAAAAAAAAAAAAAAGATTTCTGCTCTCTAAGATAAATGAAAGAATGGCGATGTGACCCCATGAACTGACAAAATGCCAGCCCTCTCTCTCCGTGCTTAAAGTTAAGTTCCTTTTGTTGATTATGTTTTCCACATTAATTATGAATGACCACTTCACAGTAACCACCTGTACTTCATACTCCAGTACTTGAGGGTTACAAGCATAGACTTCATATTTCACCGGCACATTTCCCAGCATACTGAAAGTTCTGAAGAGTTGTTAAAAGGAAATGTCATGGAAAACATTTTTTCCTAAGGAGAAAAAGCGTGTCTAAAGAGGATGGCTATGTGAAAGAAAGTGGTGGCTTCGGCTTACCCCCAGCGACCCAATGTCGATTTCACAGATAACTGAGCGATGAGTATTTGTAAGTCACCAGAGACGGCCTTGATAGCTTCTTAAGAATTGAAACGTGTGTGTCCTTGAGTGTAGGGAGCTCCCCCAGAGGAACGGGGAGTTGATTTTATGCTGCTTCTAGATACTGACCGTCATTGGAAACTAGGACCTCCTAGGTGCTCCAGCAGTGACACCCTGTGATCCCCACGTAGGGGAGCCCAGGTGGGAGCCCAGCCATGCTTGTCCCGTGGCCCACAGGGTTTGAGCTAGGCGGTCACATGTAGGACCTGTCAGAGCAAGATGGCTGTGTAGTGTCGCAGGAGATGTGTTACAGTCAGGGAAGCCAAGGTAAATAATCTGTCGTATTATTTATATGCAAAAGATAAAAGCATCTAATCTATGGGGTAGTGATTGGTTTTTGCACTGGAGAGACTTGGGCATATGTCTTACATAAGACTTTTTCTCAAATGGATTTATTACTATTGGGGGGTAATTCTTTTCAATTCCAAAGCAAGTATGTTGCCTTCCTCTGCAAAGAGGAGATGTTTATTCATGTTACTTGTCACCATTTTTTATATTGGCCCCCTCCAAGATAAGCTTCAGCTGGATGTCACTTGTCAGGTGCTTGTTTTTCTCAACCCACAGAAAGTACAGTCCAATGAATGCCACATCGTGAGTTGAAAAAATTAGTCCTAGTATTTTTGTACTTTAGGAGAAAGTTGAATAGAAAGGAAAAGATTAAATAATTGGTGACAGTGCTTATGTGGGAAATAAAACATACACTGTCCATTTGGAAAATACATTTGCCTATTTCCACACAGCCTTTTAATGTGCTCTCCATCCTTTTACCTGTACTTTGATTATAGAAATAAAAGGAACATATAAACTAATAGGAATTTGAGTAACCAAGAATCTTCAATATCAAAAATTGCTTTTGTTTTACTTTATATAATTTTTGCATACCCCAAATAGGAATTGCTGGTCCAGGAAGTGCTAAGTGGCTTTTCCTGGGCAGCAGTGTGTCATGTGGTTAGGGAGCAGGTGCATGACTTTACCACCAGGTAGATGCCATACTCTCCATAATAAATGTTCCATCTGAGCAAGTCCTGATTTCTTAGCACAATGACCTGTGGTGCTCAGATTGAACAAAGATGGGTTTGCAAATCCTGAAAGAAGTTGGGGTGGAAAAAAAATTCCTAAATTCTCACGTGAGTTATTTTTGGTTTTTTTTTTGTTTTTTTGTTTTTTTGTTTTTTTTTTTTTTTTTACATCTCCAACAGAATAATCCAGTCCTAGCACCTCCAAGTCTAAGCAAGATGATCCAAATGGCTGGAGAGATTGCAGATGGCATGGCGTACCTCAACGCCAACAAGTTTGTCCACAGAGACCTTGCTGCCCGGAACTGCATGGTGGCTGAAGATTTCACAGTCAAAATCGGAGGTGTGTCTTTAGCTTTCCAGACCTGAACAAGAACTAAACTCAGAGGTGTTTTGGATGACCTCGTTGGCATTAGCCTGCCCCTGGAGAGGTTTTCTAATGTGTCCCTTGAGTGCAAAGACTTGCTGTTATGAGTAATGTGATTGTCTCCAGTTGATGGTCAATCACAAACCTGGCTGGGCTGGCTCTGATTCTTACAGCACATGGACATGGTGGTCCAGGTAGTAGCCATGGCCCCTGAGATCAGCGCTTGGCATTTGAGGCATATCTTGGCAGAAAACTTATCAGCATTGGTTACAGAAATAATGGAGACAATGTCCTCAGGTGATTTTGACTTGGGAATTAAAGTCACAATCCAAATGCCAGTCATCCCTCCGATTATCCTAGCTTACAAGGAGCATTTTCCCTGCCCCGCAGGGCTCCACGTTGTTTTTGGGGAGGTGAGGCAAAGGCGCTACACAGAGCAGGATCAGTGACAGCAACAGGCATGGTGGTCCCGCAGGTGAGGGACCATCACTGCTCAGTGGGTTTCATACCTGAAGCTGGCCAGTCTCTTAACCACGTGCCCATGCCACTCATTGTCCTGATACCTTGTTGCTACCACCCACTGTAATTCCAGAAACAAGGTTCAGATTGAATTTCTGAGCTCTGGTTAGAAACTCACTTCAGCCTTTAGGTTTGTGTTTTCACTTTGGTCTTGTAATCTGCCTAAGAAAAACACACATAACATTAGGGCTGCTTAGGAAACCACCTGCTTTTACCAGGACCCTCATCTTCCCACTATGACATGATGATAGTTCAGAAAAATGCAAATGTTTATCCTGAGAAACTGCAGAGGAAACTTAACATCCAAAGAAAACTACTTAAAATAGACCTCTTTGTCTAGCTCTTGAACCATGTTGTCTGGAAGTGTTCACCTTCCTTTAGAAATATATGTGTGTTTTTTCCTTTAGCAATGATTTCTGAGTGCAATGTTTTGGCCTTTTAGTGAACAGGGAGGATTCCCTCTAGAATGGTTTCCAGGGTAGGGGTGAGTGTCTTTATTTTTCCTTTGTACTGAAATGGAGACGTATTATAGAGCAGACATCCCTCAGTCACCAGAATGACCCAGGATTCCCCCAGTTTGTCCCCAGGTGGGGCCCTTTGAGGCACCATCACCTGTGGTACCCCTTCAAACCCAGTGGAGGGGTCCTGACAGCTGTCCTGGCCCAGCGTTCCCAGGGAATAGCACCCTTGTCCCTAGCAGGGCTTCCTTGGTGCCCCTTGCTTGCTTCTCCTTCCCTTCCCTTCTCCTCACATCTCTGCAGGGACTCAGATTGTCCCCTTGGAAATGCCAGCTGGCTCACCTTCCCCAGCCCAGGGGAGAGCGCAGAGATGGGAGAGCCAGGTGGGCCTAAGCTTAAGTCCCAATTCTCCTATGTATGGACGAGAGACTTGGGCTGGTGCCTTAAGTCTGTGAACCTCAGTTTCTTCACCTCTGAAATAGGGGTGATGACGTAACAGACACCACAGGACTGTGGGAGGGACTCAGTGCAGGAAAGAACCAAGCACCTGGCCCAGGGCAGGGCCTTGGTGAGCACTGGTCCCTGTCCACATCCTCCTTCCACCCCTTCCTAGCACATGCTGGGAACTCAGTTTCTTCCCACGTTTCATTACAGTAGGAGAGACCTTTTTTTGTGCCAATTTCCATTTTAAATCCACATCAGCGAGGATTATATTTGTTGTCGAACCATGTGGTATATTTATAGTGATATTTTCTTTGTAATAGTGGTTTTTCTTTCTAGAAGTTAACATTTTCCTTTTGTGCTTTGGAAGAGGTAGTTTATGTGTTTTTTTCTGGGATTTCTTCTTTTCTTTCCTTTCTTTCTTTACTTTATCTTTCCTTTACTTTCTTGTGAAAGTAAAGGCAAAATCCTCTCATTTGCATGTCACTGGATTAATTCACAGATAAGACTTTGGCACTTTATTTTTATTTTTCACGAGGGTTCAGGATGTTTTCCCAGTATCCATCGTCTCATGGATTACAAATATGATCAAGTGATTTTACCAGAGGCAGTTCGATGGCCCTCAGCATAGTAGAAGTAAATTATGTTGGTTAACGTCCAAGGATCTTTGTTCTCTGTGTTTGCTTTGTAGCCTTACCTCTTTGTGGCATGAGCTAGAGAAATGAATGAATTGTAAAAAGTAGAGCAGCCCTTTCTCCTGGGAAGGAGAACAGAAGAGTCCATGTGAAAAAAGGTTGTATGATTGAGTGGAAAATCAAAACCTGACAAAGAAGCAATAATTTAGGATTATAAAGCAAGCCTGCTATCAAACTTAATTATGTGACATCTTTTGGAGACATGGAAAATGGAAGAAATTTTCAAAACTGAATGGGAGTATTATGTTGAAAAACAATATTAAGTAGTAGCTTCAGGGACTAGCAAATAGCATCTCTTAGGCATCTTACTATGTACTTTTGTCATTGTGCATTGTTACTCTGAATATTTTATCCCTTATGAGCAGTGAAACTATTTACTTTCCTTTGTGAATGAGGCAATGCTACCAAGTAAATAAGAGTGTACACTTTCTTATCAGGTTTTAAAACCCATGTTTAAAGGACCCTTGGTCTACACAGTACTGCATGTTTTCCTGATAAATTGTGGGACTCGATAATTTGTAAACTGCCTTTCATTTTAATTGCAATAAGGAAATTAACTTCTTAAGGAATTCAGATTATGATTGTATTAAGAGATGTTTTGGTATTTGCTCATCATGGGACTAACCACCCCTTACTGTGTCTGCCTCATAAGATTGCAAACCCTGATATTTGACCTCCTTAAAGTGGGGTGTGCGGGTGTCTCACCTTGAACGTGGGGGGGTGTGGGGCCCTCCGCTGTGGCAGTAGCGGTACCAGCTCCGGCAGCAAAACTCTGTGCCTTCTCCCCGCCTTGCAGATTTCGGTATGACTCGAGATATCTACGAGACGGACTACTACCGGAAAGGCGGGAAGGGCTTGCTGCCCGTGCGCTGGATGTCTCCCGAGTCCCTCAAGGATGGCGTCTTCACCACTCACTCGGACGTCTGGTAGGAGAGCCTTTACCGCAGTGCCAGCCTCCGCCCCCGGCCTCCACACAGCCACAGGCTCAGCCCCCTCAGGCTTTACTTTTCTCCTGCTCTCTGTTCATTGGCACCCATTTCCAGCTTTAGCTCGGCATTATGGGGGCCACACTCCTTCGTCTTTGAGGTGTTCCTGTTGTGAGTGGGCTAGCTAAGGACAGAGGGGCATGTGTGGGACCAACCTTTCTTTTAATCTTCAGCAGATAATGGTTATGCTCCCAGGAGCTGGGACATGCCAGAAGCCATCACCTCTCTCTGCTTCTCCCCTGCCTGCCTTCTTTCTCTTTTCTTCTTTATCAATAAATAGATACTCTGTGTGTGTCTGCCCTAACTTAACCCTCAGATTGCAGACAGTGCTTTATTTAGACCCAAAGCTTATGAGTCCTGATTGTGTTTTCCTGTTGGTCCCATCTGCTATCTGTCCTCTTTCAGGGGCATCCTTGTTACTGGCCCAGGGATGGTTATGGGAAGCAAAATGTCTCCCTTTTAATAATAAAAGTGTCTTGCAGTGGAAGCTTATCGTCTGAGGGGTGCAGAGTCTTCTCAGCATTGTTTATTGCGATTCCTGAGCAACGTTGTAGAGAGGCGATCAGGTCCTGAAATACAACTGAGATTCTTGGCAGGCTAAGGCCCTGGCACATCCACCTTCTAGAATGTCAACTAGTATCTTGGCTTTCCTCTTGGGTGATCCCATTGCTTTTGCGCTACAGAAATGGTAGTTGTTTACTCCAACTGTCGGGATGACCACATAGAGGAACTATTTCAGTAGTGACTGACATCATTTTTTTTTTAAACCTCGTAAACCTTTCACAGTTCAAGGGCTTTGGATCTTATTTTGAAGACAGGTGCAAATTGGAAATAGCATTTGAATATGACCCGGCAGAGCATGATTGCTTCTTGAGCTCAAGTATGAGATTTGTTTTGCAATCAGCTTGTCCAAGATGGTTATCTCTTTACTATCAAATCAAAGTGCTGTATACAATTTTTAGAGATTATGATGCCAGGGAGAGGGCAAGCCTGGGTACCTGCATGCATCTGCTACAGAGGCAGGATAGGGACATAAAATGAGGGTTGTTAATATCTCACAGGCTAATTTTACCCAAATATTGGTTAGCAGTTATTCTACAAGCAGCAACAAAGAGATATATATTGTGTTCAATGCCAATTTCTTCCCATTTGAGTACATAACCATTATGAACCAATAAGAAAAAATATATAAATGAGAATAGGCATTTGGTATTTATTCCATTAAATGCTCAGGCATTGACATGAGATATTTGACACTATGACAGGTGGGGAAGCCAGGATGCTGGAGTATGTGGAAGGTTTTTCAACCACCCAAGCGCTAAACTAAAGCTGTCCCTCTCTGGAAAGAATGGAAATCATTTTGAATTGTATTAAACGACATAAAACAATCATTCCTAAATAGCTAAAATCTAGAAAAAAAATTACAAAGAATTTTATCTGGCTTTGTAGAAGAGACCCCAGAATCTTAGGGCTAGAATGTATCCCTGAGGCCTGAATCCCATCATCCGTAGCATCTTTGACGGCTGGTGGTTGAGCTTCTTGCTAAGACGCTTCCAGGGACTGCACGTGCACTTTTTCACAGAGACAGGCCAGCCTGAATCTTCAGGCATCCTTCTTCTTAGCAAGTCTCTCTCATGTTATGCTTAAGTTGGCCTCTCTGTGACACCCCTTCAGACCGTCTCCCTGTAGCACAATTGCGTACCCTGCCCTGCCCTTGATGAGACCGGCCTTGTGGTCAAGGACGTGTCTGATCTGCAGTCAGAATATCTCCAGGTCTCCCACTGTCTTCATTCCCAGGCCCTCAGGGGCTGTGGCTGCTCCTCCTGCAGTTCCCCTGTAGCACCAAGTCCCCCTCAAGGGCCGGTTTGAGTTAAAGGACACCACCATGCCCTCCAGGCGTGGAGGAAGCTAGGCGAGGATGGGAGTTGTCCCCCACAGGCTAAGAGTCACACTCCCTTCCAGAGCATCTGGGTGACCCCACGGTCTTCATTCCTTGACTTACTAAGATGCTTTCCAAATGGTCACAAATAGCCAAGATTATTTGCGCCCCTAGTGGCGAATGACCATCCATGGGGAGTGTGGCTTTCTCCGTAGATTTTAATTTGCTGCTAAGTGGGGTGTTGCCATGATCCCCCCAGTGTGCAGCGTCTGATTTCAGCAGGGATTGGAACCGGGGTGAGACCCTCAGCGACGGGTCTGTTCAGAAAAGACTTTATAAGAGGCATTTATTTAATGTTTAAAGATTAAATCTGTCCACAAAATACGACTTGATTTTATATGAAGGGTTAATAGCCAACACCACATAGTAAAAGACCTGCTTTGAAAAGCACAGGTGCTGCTTCTGACTATCCGTGTGGCCTTGGTCAGATCACGGGGCTTCTCTGGACTTCAGTTGCTCCATGTGTAAGGGGAGGACATCTGTCTAGGGGTGTCTATATTCCCTGCCACCTCTGTGGTACTTTGATAGATGTTTAAATGTCTCCAGTGACACCTGGTGTCAGGTAGCAATGGCTCAGCCTCCATACCTTGGAGCAGAAAAACAGTGGGACCTAGTTGTCACTCTGAGCTGGGAAGGATGGCCACAGACTCCAGCACTAGGTGGCCCTCGATGACAAGGGATGGTGACATCAGATAAGAGTTGGTCAGGGGAAAGCTTTTCCCATTCAACTCAACAAGTGTTTGTGGAGAGCCGGTGTGTCACTTGCTGTGTCATTAATGTGTGTGGTCGTGAGGAGCTCAGCATGTGGAAGATGCAGGGACAATGAGCAGCTCGTCCCTGTCCTCCAGGAAGTGCCTGACAGGTTGGGGTCACCGAAGCCTTCACGGAGGAGACAAAGTTGTGAGGACACCCTAAGCACAGGTTGTCACCAGCAGAGCAATAGGAAGGGCTCCTGGCAGCAGGGATGCTGGGGGAGATGTGGTAGCAGGAAGTAGCTGCTGCAGGTGGAGAACCTGGGCTTCCCTTGAGGGAGTTGGGCTGAAGAGGCTCAAGTAAGGCCTTGGGTACTCTGTTAGGGATTGTGGACCAATTCTCCAGGCTCTGCAGTGAGTGTTGAGGTTTCTGAACAGAAGGGTGACCTAGAGCTGTGTTTTAAGACATTCATGTTCACCGGAGTTCCAGGCTGTGTTGAGCAATGTATTGGAGCCTCGAGGAGGGGTGCAGGAGGCCAGGTGAGGAGGACTGTCCACACTGAGTGCTGGGGGCAAGAGGAGGGCCAGGCCTTTGGACACATCTGAGCCGCAGGTGGCACGTCATTGTGGGACTCCGAGGAGGCTGAGGTTAGGGGAGGAAGCCAGGAATGCCGACTACAGGGGGGTGGCTCGGGTGGAAGGAGGCATCAGCTGCAGGGAGGCCAGAAGGAGAACGGAGCACGAGGCAGAGTTCAGTTTGGGGTACACTGAGTTTGTGGGTAACCCAATAAGTGGGAGCTGGAAATGGAGCAATCGAGGCTGTGGGGGCCTGGGTAGGAGCCAGCCGGTGAGAACTGGCTGCCTGGAAGCAGGGCTGTGCCAGGGGAGCTATGTGGCGCAAGGGGAAAAGCAAGCCCGGGAGGGAAGCGCATCCTCGGGCTGCGTCACAGACCAGCCTGCGGTCAGCAGGAACAGAAAGCTGGTCATCGGTCGTGTCGTGCCCATCTCAGACGAGACTGAGAGGAGCTCAGAAGCTCCCCCACAGAAGCTGATGGAGAACCCCACTTCCCTTGGCCCAGGCCTTTCAAAGTCACCCTCTGGGTCTGTGGCTTTTCTGGGTCTCTTGTGCAATGGAAATGCTATGGTCTTTCTTGGGCACTATCAGTTAAAAAGGACCTTGGGTTGGTCAGTCCCCTGATTGTTAAGTTCCTGTCTGACATCTGCTTGTAGTGCCAATTATTTGTACAAAGACCTTTTGTTCGTGGAGAGTAGCTGAAGCAGTGGCAAATGTTCTGAGACAGAGTCAGAGCCCTCTGGGCTTGGGTGCGAGGGCAGGATCCTGAGAGCACTCAGTGGGAGATACCCTGACCCCCGGTTTTTGCTGCAGCAGGGCCAGTCGGAAGCCCCCCGGGCTGCTTGGTGACGTGCAGCCTACTGTATTGCACCACAGGGGCCCAAGTGCAGAGGCACGTAGGCCAGGGAGGCTGGGAGTGATGGAAATTTGCCTGGAGAAGGCAGGTTTATTTTGCAGATTCCAGCATTGATTTTTTTAAACATTATCTATCTGAAATTTTTGCGTACGTGGAGTATCTGTTTTAATTTGTTTTTCGGTAGTTTGATCTTCTAAACTGACAGGCGAAACCTCATGCGTGGCAGCACTGCCGCCCGCTCTGCCTGCAGCTTTGTTCCAGCCTCTGTGCAGGAGGACTCTGTTGTCCAAGACTCTTCCCGCTGGCCAGAGCAGCCCACCCCGAGTCCCCACCCATGGGACAGAGAGAGGCCTTCAGGTCTGGCAGCTTCTGAGCTCCATTGGGGGCAGGGGTTCTCTTCTCCCTTAGCCCGACTCGACCTCAAGATCCCCATGGAGCCTTTAAATGTTACAGGGCCAAGGCCTTCGTCCCAGATTAGCCAAATCAGTTCTCTTGGGGGCCCAGGCCTCAGTCTGTTTTAAAAACTTACCAAGAAATTCTCCTATGCCACCAGTGCATTGAGAACCACTTTAGTGGAGGTTTCCAGAACTCTGATCATAAGAATCACCTGGGAACGTCTTAGAAAGGCTCAATTGGCCCAGGCCTTGTGCAGGGTTACTAAGCCAACGTCCAGGCTAGGGCCTGGGGTCTGCATTCTATTATTCTTGGGCTAGAGCAAATGCCTGGCAAATGGCTGGGACTAAGTACTGAACTCAGTGTGCTCTGGGTTCAAATCGGAGATCAAGGCTTCCTAACGACACAGGGGATGCTAAAATCTCCCCTGACATGAGCTTCCTCAGCTCTGCCACCAGGGCTGAGCTTACAGGGAACGGGCAGCAGAGGAGGGTGGACGATGTCCCACACTTAGCCCAGGGCCTGGCCCACCGTCTGCCACGTGCCATCGCCATGGCACCGTCTGCCAGGCGCCATCGCCATGGCACCGTTTTTCAGTGCCAGAGCGTGAAGGAATGCTGGAAAAGAGGGTATGGTGTGGTCCAGCTGTCCCTTTCTGAGTTGCTCATGTTTCTTTTTGCTGCAGGTCCTTTGGGGTGGTCCTCTGGGAGATCGCCACGCTGGCCGAGCAGCCCTACCAGGGCTTGTCCAACGAGCAAGTCCTTCGCTTCGTCATGGAGGGCGGCCTTCTGGACAAGCCGGACAACTGCCCCGACATGCTGTGCGTATTTCCTGGGCCCCCTCGGTGCTCTTCTGATTTCTTTTCACCAGTCACTGTTTTCCAGGGCCACGTGAGATCAGTAAATCTGGGGGGCTGTTCTCTGTGGCCTGGGGGTGGGCAGGAGTGGTGTACAGGAGCGTTCATCCTCTTGGAAGGAGTGAGGTTGAGCAGAACCTGTGCCTTCAGGCAGGTGCCCAGGTTCCGCCCAGGTTCCTTCACCCTTTAGTGGTGATTTGTAGCTCGCATTGTGGTTGCTCAGGCCAAACATCTCTGGGAAATACTTGACTAAAGCAGTCCTTCCTCTGTCTATGTGAGACGATGGCCTTTTAAAAAGAAAGGCAAGAACTACTCTAAAGTGGAACTTGAGCCGGAGAGAACTGCAGCGAGTCGTGGTGCACAGTGCTTTGTGGGCGGGGCTCCTGCTCGCACCACGCGCGGTGAACTTTCAGATGGTGCCACCAGGCTGGGGTTCGCCCCTCCCTCACCCAAGGTTTCTTTTCTGAGTGTTTGCAAAAAGTCATAAACCGTCTCAGCAACAGCATCCTAGTGACCAGGATGGACCTGGAGCGCGGCTGACCTGGCCTCTCGCTGCAGACGTCGCCCTGGGCACGCCCAGCTTTGGGTGCTGGTGAGCCTGTCTGCTCACCCCTCACCCCTACCGAAAGGGCCCCTTGCCGCGTTTAGTTGCTGAGCTTTGCCAGAGAGGGAGAAGGTGTCCGTGATGCCTCCTGGGCCTCGCCGCTCAGTGCTCCTTGGGGCAGTCCCCCCTTTTGATGGAGGACCTGCTCTACCGTCCCCTGGCTGTGCTGCTCTGTGGCTCGGTGGGGTCGGCACTGCTCAAGTGGAGCTGCCTGGCGAAGGTGCCTGTAGCAAGCGTGAGGAGGGTGCGGAGGTGTTCCGGTCAGGGGTCAGGTGCACGACAGGCACAGGCTGGCGGCAGTGGATTTGTTTTTGATATGCTCATGAAGGCAGGGTTCAGGGATTCTTCTGGATCCTGACAGGTGAACATGAAGGTAGCTCCCACTAGTGTTTTGGGACCACATCAGGAGATTTGCAGAATTGCCTTACAGGACAGGGTTGGCTTCACTGTGGGAAGGACCCTGAGAATTGTTGGGCTGTCATTACATCTGTGAAAGACACCCAGATCTTCCCACCTGCCTATCCTCCCAGCCTCGCAGCCGTGGACTCAGGCTGGGCCCCGCGGTGGCAGGATGATCACAGCTGTGAGGCAGACATGCGTGTCTGGTGGACACAAGGAAAGGGGGTCCTAGCAGCCATGAGAGTTGTGTTCGTTTGGTTTTTCACGGTGTCTGTGGGCCAGGAATGCAGACCCAGGTACTGGCTCCTCTGCTCAGGGTCCCAAGGGGCTGAAATCAAGGTGTCAGGGGTCTGTGGTCATTTGTCGGAGGCTCAGGGTCATCTTCGGCATCCTTCGGGTTGTTGGCAGAATTTTGTGTTTGCAGAACCGAGGTCCGTGCTCTTGGCACCTGTCAGCTGGGGACTGCTTTCTACTCCCGGAGACCAAGGCCAACAAGAGGATCTCTCTGCTGCTTTTACTGTTTTGTACCTGATTAACTTGGGTCCCCTCGGGATAATCTCTGTTTTAAGTAACTGTTTTAAGTCTGTTTTAAGTCAACTGATTAGAAGCCTAATTAAAGGAGTGGAATATTGTCTCACGTTCGCAAGTCCTACCCGTAGTCACGTGCAGGGATATTATGGGGCAGGAGTCTTGGAGACCGTCTTTTGAATTCCAGTCTCAGAAACAGAAACCCTGGTCCTTATCAACAAAACAACGTTTTATTTTTATTGCAAAGCACTTTGAGTGTCACTACCCAGACTGAACCCCTGCGCTCTAAGGAGAGGTCGTGGCGCCTCATCCCCCGACTCTGCTGTGCTGCTGGAGGGAACATGGGGTAGGAGGACACCAGGCAGCACCCCTGAGCTTCAGGAGTGGATTAGCTGGGCAGACACTCACTGCTGCTTCTGAACATTTGTTAGCTGAAGCATGGCCTATCCCCTGGACACCTGTGTGGAATTAGGAAAGACGGCTGCAAGAAGGATCCTCATGTCAGCTAGTATATGGGGGGGGTCCCACAGTCCCATCTGGGCAGGGCTGGAATGAGAAAGTCAGCCAGCATCCTGGGCCCGGGTATGGTCAGCAGGGTAGGGCCACAGAGATGAGAGGCTCCTCTTCTCAGGGGGCAGCACATGGGGACACGGGGACACTGAGTTTCCTGGATGTCTCATCAAAGAGACTTCCCACCTCCTCTTCAGAATTCCACAACTCAAAGTTGGGAGACGCTGGAAAGGCCCCTTGGTGCATTTTCTTGCCCAGCATAGACATTCTCGTTCTCCCCACCTGTTTTAGTTTTTTACTACAATATTTATTGATAATTTATTAATAAATAACTGTTAGCCAAAACCTAACAGTTGAAAGCAATAGTAAACATTTGTTAATGCACAGAGGTTCTTAAAGGGAAGGCGTCCAGGAGCAGCCTAGCTGGCTGGCGCGGGCTTAGAGCCCTTCAGGTTGCAGTAGTCTAGTGGCCAGCCAGAGCCATGGTCATCTGAAGGCTTGCCCCCGGGGCTGCCAGGTCCACTTCCAAGGTGGAGGCTGCACTGAGGTGGCTGTGCCCAACCTGAGGCCTCAATCTCTATATGCTCCCCCAGCCCCCTGCCCGGTAGACTGCTTGAGTGTCCCCAGGACACGCAGCTCGCTTCCCCTAGAGCAGAGCTTGGAAGACTTTCCCTGAAAGGCCAGCTAATAAACATTTTTAGCACGTGGTCCCATAGGATCTTGATTGCAACTACTCAGCTCTGCCACTGTGGTGCAAAAGCAGCCGTAGGTATCATATAAATGAGCATGGTTCTGTTCCAATAAAACTTTATTTTTAGATACTGAAAATGAATTCCATATCAGTTACATGGTGTCACAGAATATTCTTATTTTGAATGTTTTTCAACCATTTACAAGTCTGAAAGGCATTCTTAGCTCATAGGCCTTACAAAATCAGGCAGCAGGCCAGATTTGACCCAGAGTTCGCCGGCCCTGTCCCAGGATAAACCATTTGGGCCCAGAGCAGAAGCCGCAGCACCATCTCTGACCCAGCTTGTGAAGTCACACTCCGAGGTTTCCACCATCTCCATCTCTCCTAGGCTACATGATGTAGGAGGGGTTTATGTGGAGATGTGAGAACCACTGGGTGTCCTCGATCCTGGCTGCCTCCCCCAGTGTCCCTCCCAGGTGACCGACCACCTGCTCTTTACTTTGAACAGTGTGGCTGCTGTATTCTTACCAGCCCATTATAAGAACAATCTTCCTTTAGAGTCAAAATGTAATGGAGTGTAAGGACTAACGCCCACTGCATTTGCATCAAGGTGCACGGTGCCAGAGTAGAGGCCGGTGCCAGAATCAGTGAGGCTTCAGCAAGCCGAGGAACAGCCCATGAAAGCAGGCATGAATTTTGCTCCTGTGGGTTGGGGCTGGGCAGGAGAAAGGTGTTGCTCTGTGCTTTCTCTTTGACTCAGGTAGATGTTTGTGAGAAACGTGGGACTCTTAAAGTTGATCCACCTCCAAGTGACTGGGGTTTTAATATTAACTTAAGAGGCCTGGGAAGGTGCCCACCTGCCATGGGAAAGGCAGTGCACTTCCTATTCCCAGCATAGAGTGACAAGGAAATTCACACGAAGAGGTTATTCTTACACGTTGAATGAGTAATGCAGGAGGCATTTCTGCTTTGCCATCTATAACCCCCTGGGCAGATTTTTCTCCCTTCTAAGAGAAGAACAAAGTGAAAGGAGGCAAGTTGGGCTCATAGGGAGTGTCTGTGTTGTCCTTCTGAATCGACTGATGAGCTTATGTGAGGAAGAAGAGCTCTGGGAGAGGAGGTGGTTTGTTGTAAGAAGTGAAAGAATGGATCTGTTTGTCCCGGAGGAGCAGCGAGTCAGCTGAGCCCTCGTGAGTGTCCTGGCACTTGGTCAGGGTCTCAGTGTCTCAGCCAGGTCTCAGGTAGGACAGCACGCTGGAGCTGTGTGGTCTGAGGCCTGAACAGGCACTGTCAGGTGCAGTGGCTGCTGGTGGGCTTCACCTCAGCATCAGGAAGTAGCCAAAGCCACCCTCGATGTGACAAGAGTGAAAGACTCCACGGCCCAGGCCACAGGGTGTTAGGTCTCTGGGTCTCAACACCATGACTCGGTTTAAATTAGTTGAGCATGTATCATGAGATCAGATTTGGGTTGCGGTTTCCTACTGGGTCCATGTTTCAAATTCATGACAGAGCCCATCTTCAACCCCCTTTTGTGCTCAGATCTTGGCACTTAACACCAACAATGCTGTTGGGCCACTCTGGAGTGTGCCAACTGCTCGGGTCACAAAGATGAGACAGGTGTTGTCCAAGCTTTCGTGGCTGTGGTGACCTGAAAGGCCCTGGCTCTAATGCCGTGGGGAAAGGGCCAGAGCAGAGGTGTGAACTGAGCCATAAAAACCCCAGGGGAAGAAGCCATTTGTTATGCTGGTGACATTTCCACAACTCCACTTGTCAAGACCGTTGCCAGGGAAGTCTTCAGTGTGCAGGATTTGGGAAGGAATTTGAACTTTTTAGCCCAGAGTCATCAACTCATAGATGAATCTGAAACAAACTCAGTAGAGTCAGATTGTTTTTGCAAGTTTCGAGCATGGTTTTTCCCGGTTGCTGGGAATCCCAGGCTGGTTTTGCGGGAATCGAGTGGTTGAATAGGATCCAAACAGGCAGGAGTGGCCGCTCGCAGCCTGCAAGCCCTGGGGCGAGCTTTGCTACAGCACAGGAGCCACACCGTCCCACGGCCGCTCCTGGCTGAGCAGGGGTTCCTGAGACGGCGCTGGCAGTGCAGGGCCGCTGGGAGAGGGGCACACACGGCGTGTCCTGGAGTCCCTGTCTCTATCGTGAGAGGTGACGCTGGGCTGTGCTGATGCCCGACAGCATGTGGGCGTGCCCCGGTGCACCTGGGCTCTCGACATCCCACGCTGATCGCAGCCTGTCCGGTTCGGGCGTTGGGGCTAGCAAGGGGTGGGAGTGCACGGCACCTGGGTGCGCTCAATGCTCCCAGGGCTGGGTGTGCACCCCCTGAACAGAAAGCCTCACGTGAAGGACAGCTCTGGACTGACCAGAGCTGACCCGTGGTAAAAAATTCACTTTTTAAAAGAAGAGTTTTATCAGCTCGTAAATCCTTCTAAAGTCTACTGGAGAGTTTTTGTGTGGAAATAGTGTAAACAAGGTCTCAAATCCCGCAGAGTAGAAAAGACTTCCTTTTATGGGCAGCCCTGGAAGGGCTGTGACTCTGGAATGGTTTACAAGAGGCATCACATGGCTTGTTTGTGCTGATGTCACCGTATCACTGCCCTGCCGGTGGCACCTCCTCAGCCCCCGGCCGCAGGGCACAGAGCCAGGCACATCTCATGTTCCCAGCCCCGGCTGCGCGTCTATTCAGGGGTAGGTCGGTCAGCCGGAGGGGAAGTTGCAGCCCAGCCCCAGAGATGCATGTCATGTATTTATGGCCCACTTGAATTTGTGTTCCCGCTCCTTTTCCTTAGGAGTGATGGGGGTGTGGGAAGGCAGGCTTGTTTACCGCCTGACCAGAGAGGGACACAACAGATGAGCTGCCAGTTCATCATGCAAGTCAAACGCCTATGACGTCTGTGACTGTCCAGTGGACAGCTGGAAGAGGGAAGGCCTCCTGGTGGGATCGAGGTTACTCTTGTTTAGGTTAAGAGAAAACTCCTTTCCCCAAAGTGACCATCAGGGTGCAGCTGTGCCGTGTCACCGAGAACTCCATCAGCCCCACCCTCACTGGCTTATGACCTGGGACAACCGATTTAATCTCCTGGTGCTTCAGTTTCCTTATCTATAAAATGGGGATATATTATAACAAATAGCACCTGCTTCACGGATTTGCGAGGATGAAAGTAGCTCCCATACACACCACCCTCTGCCTGGCGCCTAGCTGCACCACCTGGGATGGTAACTGACGTTAACCGTGCGATTAGGGCTGGGGCCCTGTGCAGGTGGGTCAGTTGACAGGGGACAAGAATCAACTCAGCCATCGATTTCGTCCAGTTCTTTCTCCACCAGAGCAGGGTCAGCAAACTCTCTGTAAAGGGCTGCACAGTAAGCATTTCAGGCTTGCAGGCCAAGCAGTCTCTGTTCTAGCTACTTACTCAACTGGCCATTGTACCTGGGAAGCAGCCGCAGACAGTATGCAAATGAGGGGACAGAGGACAGTATGTAAACGAGGGGCCTTGGCTCTGTCACCATAAAACTGGATGGTTCTTCATCTCACCGAGGCCTGCCTCCCTCTCAAGGTCACATACTGGCCACCTGACCTGACCTACCCGATGTCCTCTAAGGAAGCTGCCAGGTCAGCAGGGAGCCCTTCTCTCCGCAGGCCAGCTTTGCCGCACAACACACTTCTGTCCCATCGGGAGGTCTCCCCTGGGAATCTCCCCAGGTGCCCTGGCCTGTTGGTCAGGTGATGGGCCTGAGAGAAGGCTGGATGCCAGTTTGGGGTGCTCTGAGCTTCCTGGATAAGGGGAGTTCCATTTGGTCACTTTTATTGAGAAGCATCTCTTTAGCCAGAATTTTACAACAACGGAGTAGAACTTTCTGATGACAACAGAGGTAGAAAGGAAGCACTTGGATTTCATGTTCATGTGAGGGAAGGCCACTGGTCCATCCCTCCTCGGAATTGTGGCTGCCCTGCACCATGGCTGTGGCCAGCCGGTACCTTTGCCTTTGCTCCAAGGGCCTGTCTAGCTTGATCTCGCTGCGCTCTGGAATCTCGTCAAAGCCCAGGCCTTTCCTGGTCGCACCAGCAGCGGTGCTCCTCCTGCTTTCCTGAGGGGCTCTGTCTTTGGCCAGAGAGACTCCTCTGGCCCGGGTGACTCTGAGGGCTTCACAGAGGTTTGCAGTCCAGATGTCATCGTTGTAGCCCAGCTGGCAAGACTTGAGGCACAGCCCGGGCTGCACACTCTGCCCTCTGCCTGGCCCTTGCTTCTGGAGGGGACTCTGCCCAGGCTTCTCCCAACTAGCTTGTTGGGACCTGGCCCCAGGTCCACACAGGGACTCTGGTTTGGTCCCCAATAGCCCAGATCATGGACCGGGACTCTGCCTGTGCAGGGCACGGCACAAGCAGGTGCGAGATTGAGACGACAAACTGGGAATGTGTGCACCCCTCCTACAACCCTGCGCCTCATACTGCCTCCTTCCTGGGCCCTCAGCCGGGGGTGCCCCTGCACCTCGAGGATGCTTAGAAATAGCATAGGTGGGACTCAGCGATCGCTGTCAGGGAAGCTGTGCTCACTCATCAGCCTTATTGGTGAGAAACTGGAGGTTTCCCGCGTTCTAATTCTGGAACCGATGTTTCATCAGTGGCTGCAAGAGTTGCTTCAGATAGGAAGCTGGCTATTTTTATTCCCTAGTGTTGTCACCATAAATAATGCCTGTTAGGACAGACCCTGTGTGAAGCTAGATTTGTCCTTCTCAGGAAGTGAGAGTTTGGATTTTGTACCATGGTGGGTCCTGGGTTTGGGGCTAAGTGACCGGAAGGGTGGAAGATGGGGCAAGAGAAGCCGAAGGCCACTTGGGTTGTCTGGGCAGAGCGGCGGGGACTGGGAGGGGCGGCAGGGCTCTTTCCCCGCACGTACAAGCGAGGAAACCACAGCGCCTTGCGGTCCGGGCCCACCTTCTGTCTGTCTGCACCGCAGGTTCGAGCTGATGCGCATGTGCTGGCAGTACAACCCCAAGATGAGGCCGTCCTTCCTGGAGATCATCCGCAGCGTCAAGGACGAGATGGAGCCCGGCTTTCAGGAGGTCTCCTTCTACTACAGCGAGGAGAACAAGCCGCCGGAGCCGGAGGAGCTGGACCTGGAGCCGGAGAACATGGAGAGCGTCCCCCTGGACCCCTCGGCCTCCTCGTCCTCCCTGCCACTGCCCGACAGACACTCAGGACACAAGGCCGAGAACGGCCCGGGCCCTGGAGTGCTGGTCCTGCGCGCCAGCTTTGACGAGAGACAGCCTTACGCGCACATGAACGGGGGCCGCAAGAACGAGAGGGCGCTGCCGCTGCCCCAGTCCTCGACCTGCTGATGCCTGCATCCCGGCCCCGCGCAAACAGTACCGCGTGTGCACCCGGCGGCGGGGAGGGGGGAGAGAGGAAGTTTAACAATCTATTCGTGAGCCTCCTGTACCTCAGTGGATCTTCAGAACTGCCATTGCTGCCCACGGGAGACAGCTTCTCTGCAGTAAACACATTTGGGATGTTCCTTTTTTCAATATGCAAGCAGCTTTTTATTTCCCAACCCAAACCCTTAACTGACACGGGCCTTTAAGAACCTTAATGACAACACTTAATAGCAACAGAACACTCGAGAATCCAGTCTCCTAACTCTCTTCCTGTCCCTCCCATCTTCTCTCCCCGCTCTCTCTCTCTCTGTCTTTCTCACAAACACACACACACACCCCTTTCTCTTTCTTTCTGCTTCATAATGGAAAAATATTTGCCGCCAGCCTGGCCGGGAAGCCCTTTTTATCAGATTGAAGAAATGGCTGTCCCTGTGGCCCCACGTGACACCTGCATACACCTGCCTGACACCGTAGGTCTTTATAAAAAACACACTGAGATGGAAATTTTTAACTGTATCTTTAACCTTTTTAGGGGACATATGAAATTTAAAAAGGGCCATCGTTCATCCAAGGTTGTTACCATTTTAACGCTGCCAAATTTTGCCAAAATCCTGAACTTTCTCCCTCATGATCCCTGCACTGATTTCCTCATGTCCAGAGGCCCAGGGTGAGCACAGTGTCTTGTCACTCGTGGGAGAGGCACGCTGGTGATGCACTCCATCCGACTGTCCCGATGTTCTCTTCAAGTCCGCATTCACACAGGTCTCATTGCTTTCGACTAGGTAATGATGGTGGGGAGCTGGACACAATGAGACTGTCTCTCAGTGAAGATGGGGAGAAGCTGAACCCCGGCTTCCCTGCCCCACCACCCCCCCAGCCCCCGAAAATTCTGGAGGAAACAGGCCCTGCAGGCGCCTGGAAGACAGGCTCTGCGTCCTGGCCAAACGAATGCCTGCTCTCTGCCCCAGCCCCAGCCCCCTGCCCGGCCCCCAGGACACAGAAGGGAAGGGGTTTCCAGGGACTCAGCCCAACCGTTATTGCAGGTTTGCAAGGAAAGAAATCCAAACACCACCACAACAGTGAGAAGAAAAGCAGTTAAATGGATTCAAGCATTCTAAGCTTTGTTGACATTTCCTCTGTTCCTAGGACTTCTTCATGGCTCTTACAGTTCTATGTTAGACCATGAAACATTTGCATACACATCGTCTTTAGTGTCACTTTTATAACTTTTTTACGGTTCAGATATTCATCTATACGTCTGTACAGAAAAAAAAAAAAAAGCTGCTATTTTTTTTGTTCTTTATCTTTGTGGATTTAATCTATGAAAACCTTCAGGTCTACCCTCTTCCCTTCTGCTCACTCCAAGAAACTTCTTATGCTTTTGTACTAGAGCGCGTGACTCTCTTCCTCTTTTCCCGGTCATTGATACTTCTGCGACATGATTTGCCATGAACTGTTTGATGCCTTTTTATAAATACATCCTCCCCTCCCGGCTCCCACCTGCCCCATTAGTTGTTTTCTAACCCGTAGGCTCTGTGGGCACGAGGCTGGTGAGGGAACGAGGCGGAAAGGAGCCGGGGGCCGCAGCCCCTCTCCCCGGCCGCCCTCACGCGGCGTTGGAGTCTGTTACAGTGCAAGACATGATACAAACTCAGGTCAGAAAAAAAAAGGTTAAATATTTCGCACGTCCTCGTTCAGTGTTTATATCCACCGTTGTTGAGAAGCCTCACCTTCTCTTTCCCTTGCCTTTGTTTTGGTTGTGACACACACATATATATATTTTTTTAATTCTTGGGTACAACAGCAGTTTTAACTGCAGATGCTAGGCATTTGGATGACTATTTTTTTTTTTAATGGCTATTTAATCCATCCCACGAAAAACAGCTGCTGAGTCCAAGGGTGCAGCAGGGCGGGCTCCAGTGGGCCTTCGGCCCCCACCCTCGCCAGACCCACCTACCTGCCTGTAGAACCAGAACATCCCAAGGGGCCGCCTCCGCTCCTGGGGGAGTGTGGCCGGGGTCTGAGCCGGCCCGGGGCGACATCCTCAGGGGTGTGCACAAGCCGGCGCCAGGTCTGCCGGCCAGGGCACAGGGTCGGGCAGCGCAGACGCCGTGGTGGCCCAGGAGCCCCTTTGCCCCTCCCAGGGGACCCGAGCTCTGGGGCTGGCCTCGCTTTCCCGCCCCGGCCAGGAATCCAAGTCCTCGGGGGGCCCTGGGGTCTTGCTTTATTTAGTTTTTAGCACTTCTCACCAGAGTGATGACAGCACAAGAGTTGCTTCTGGGGCGGAAATGTTTAAATTATGAGTGAGAACAAAGCTAAAATATGGCAATTGCTAGTTGTGACTGGAGATTAAACACAAAAAAGAAAGTTTGTAGTGCTTTTTGCTTGTCAGCAGTTTCGGTCTCACTGCTTCCTCTAGCCTGACCCAGAGCGGGTTCCCTTTTAAAGGAAAACTAAAAGAGAGAGAGAAAAAGAAAAAAGTTAATTAAGAAGGTATTATATGTAGGAGTTTTCTTTTAATTTATTTCGTGATACCAGTTTCAATCACTGTAGAGACGCCCCATTATGAGTTTAAGTACTGAGGAAAGGGTTTGTGTGCGTGTGTGTGTAGACAGGACAGTTTTTTGTTTTATGTTGGTTTTTTTTTTTTTTCCCAAACATTTATCTACCTCACTCTTATTTTTTATATGTGTATATAGCAAAAAGAATACATCTCACGTTTCTTAGCACCTGACAATAGGCCGCTGATACTGGTAACCTCATCCACGCCACAGGCTACACACCCAGGTGACACGGGGAGAGGACAGGCTGAATATTCCGGGGTCAAAGCAACACTCACTCCCCTCTCCTCCCATTTCAGACAGCTTGCCTTTTTCTGAGATGTCTCCTTTCGTGTTGCTTTTGTTCTTTCTTCTAACTTGGTTTTCTCAGAGATCGTGAGGGGTTAGGATGAGAAGGGCACTGGAGCTCGGCTGCCCTGGCTGGTTGTCCTTGGAACAGACTATTTTATGCAGATTGAATGACCAACAAATTTCATCATTGAGAGAGTAGCGGTTCTCCTGGTTTTGAGACAAAAATGTGCCCGGGGCGGCGGTGGGTCTCTGCGGGAATCCCACGTGCAGTTGTGCAGTGTCTGTGGTTTGCGTCCCTCGGCTGCTGCCCGTTGCAGCCCTGGACGAGGCCCGCACTGAGGCCGGCACTTGCCGCCGCTGTTGCTGCGTTTGTTCCATTCAAAGGCGCAGCTGCGTCAGCAGTTCGAGAACTTGGTCCACCTGACCTCTGTGCCAGCTTGCAGAGGTCCCTGGCATCACAGCCGAGCCCAGGTGGCATGCACACAGGAGTGAGGTGCCCGTCCCCTCCAGACTGCTCTCCTCTCAACTCCCCACCCCCAGGGGGAACAGACCTACCAAACCTCCGGGCTGGACAGGCCAGTGGTCGGCACCGAGCCTCCCACCAGGGCTGTGCCTCCGCCCGTCCTGCTGCTCATAGGGGTGGACGGCACTCTCCCGCTTCCAGAAGCTGCTCTTACAGGCACTGGTGATTTTTATCTGGAAACGTGGTGGGTGGTTTTCCCCAAGTGTGACTGGCTCCTTCCCAGATCCAGGACTGAGTTAAGGTCAGGAGCCTTTTCCCTCCTGCGAGAACACTTACCCCTCTCTCCCAAGTCCCCGGGGATCTTAAGGTCTTTGACAAACATCGTTTGATCAGGGTTTTCTTCTTCCACACTGTAGGTGACCCCTTGGAATAGTGGCCTCTCCTCTCTTTTGCACATACATACCGGTTTCCACAACTGGATTTCTACAGATCATTCAGCTGGTTATAAGGGTTTTGTTTAAACTGTCCAAGTTGTTGGTGTCATTTTGTTTTAGTTTTGTGTAGGTGGTTTTTCTTTAGGTAGAAAGAAAACACTAACAGTGTAGTGCCCATCATAACAAATGCTTCAGAAACACTTCAATAAAAGAGAACATTTTGCTTGTGTGATGGTGCAGTCATTTTAGTGGACCAACCCACCCACCTTGACTCTACCAAGGCATCATCTGTCCACAGTTCTAGCCTAATTTCATGCTGATTTCCCACCTCTTCTTGATTTTTCTCTTTTGTGTGTTCCAAATAATCTTACGAAGCTAAGTTGTGGCATTTTCCATGCAACCTCCTCCTGACAGCAGCTCACACTGCTTGAAGTAACATGAACCACTGAGGCACATCATGGAATTGATGTGAGCATTAAGACATTCTCCCACACAGCCCTTCCCCTGAGGCAGCAGGAGCTGGTGTAGTCTGGAGACGACGTTGAACTTGAGCTGTGTGAGACCCAGACCACCCCGGGTCTCCTTCATGGGATGTCATGACTTTTGACACGCAGTGGGAATGAGATTCCTCCTTAGAAGATAGAAGACCGTGTTCGTGGCCAACGCTGGCCCCTCCTTCCAGCCTGTTTTTTATGACCAGGAACAATGTTTCAACGGTAGGAAAAGTGGCTCCTTAAAATAGAAGAGTGGTCACTGTGGAACTACCAAATGGCAGAATGCTCGGTATGAAGGGGCGTGTTCTGTTTGGTTGGATGACAGATTCTAGGCCAGTTTGTTCCACTGACGCTTCTTGCTCAGCAGCCGCCTCTGTTGGCAGGTGGCTGTGTGCGGGCGGCTGCTGTGGCAAAGTCACACTGGGCTCAGGTGGGTGAGAAGGCAAAGATGCTCATGTGTGGTCCTCAGCTGTCACTGTTGGGTCCTCCAAGGGTGGCCAGATGGCGTTGATGGCCACTCCCTTCCAAATCATAGGCACCCTCCGGTTGACAGTCACCCTCCATGGTATGACTTGGCCTGTTCCAGCAGTCCCAGTAACGCACTGAAGGTTTGGGGTTTGTTCTTTGTTAATGTTACTTTATGTTGTCAGCTGTCTTTTCATTTCCTGGGCTAAGCGGCGCTGGGAGACGTGGACCAGAGATCCACTCCTTAAGAACCAGTGATGAAAGTCAAACTTTCTTTCTCCACTCTGAAGTAGTTGGTAGTACAAATGAGAACTTCAAGAGAGGATGTTATTTAGATTGAACCTCTGTTGCCAGAGATGCTGAAGATACAGACCTTGTACAGGCCAGAGGGTTGGATTTTTGGCCTCCAGCTTACATGCTGGTTGGTCACCTGGAGAAATGAGCACGCCTTGATGGTGGAATGACCAGGCGGTAGGAAACCATTGTCACGGGGATCACGACATGAAGAGGAGGATTGCGTTGCGAGCAGCAGGGTGCAGGGCTTGGAAGAAGCGTGGGCGATGTTTTGATTTTGATGGTTTCTGAAGGTGTCAGACCACATCAAGGCTCAGCCGGTCATCCATGGGCATTTGGTTTCAACAAATAAACCCAACATCCTACTCTGGAAACTTACTGCGGATTTAAGTCAAATTGTTCAAGAACACGAACTACATCGCACTCATCAGTTGTCAGTTCTGGGGCATGACTTTAGGGTTTTGTTTTATTTCGTTTCTACAAGAACATAATGATCACTCATTTGTATGTCCATGTTTGTGTGTCCGCATCTTTCTGGTAAACATTGTTTTAATTAGTCACTCATTAGCGTTTTCAATAGGGCTCTCAAGTCCAGTAGATTACGGGTAGTCAGTTGACGAAGATCTGGTTTACAAGAACTAATTAAATGTTTCATTGCGTTTTTGTAAGAACATAGAATAATTTTATAAAATGTTTGTAGTTTATAATTGCCGAAAATAATTTAAAGACACTTTTTTTCTCTGTGTGTGCAAATGTGTGTTTGTGATTCATTTTTTTAGGACACCTGTTTACTAGCTAGCTTTACAATATGCCAAAAAAGGATTTTACCCTGACCCAAGCCGTGATTCACCCTCTTTCCCCCCCATGCTTTGTGCCCTAGTTTATAACAAAGGAATGATGATTTAAAAAGTAGTTCTGTATCTTCAGTATCTTGGTCTTCCAGAACCCTCTGGTTGGGAAGGGGATCATCTGTTACTGGTCATTTCCCTTTGGAGCGTAGCGACTCTAACAGATGGCAAGAACCTCATTGGCCATGGAAACAGCAAAGGTGTTGCAGCCCAGCAGTGCATGGCACTGTTAGCATCTGGTTTGTTGGTCTGGCTGTCGTCATTGTCATGCAATGCCATAGAGATGGGAAGACTTGACTGCACAGATGATGGTTTTCAGAATGATCACAGCATACAGATTGATCACACAAAAGATGACAGTCTGGGGCACACAGGCCATTGGCTTCCATGACTCATGTCATGATTAATGCCTTGTTCTAACAAGGAAGAGAACGTATTTATTTTTATTTAAGGCAGAACACCGAAGATAACATTTTTCCAATGCAGAATAGATTCCTTTTAATAAAAGCTACAACACACAAAATTAATTTTTTGAAAGTTTGATTCCACATCCTCTAGCACCCGACAGATTATTGGCCATGTCTACCCAAGTCCACAATGTCCCCATCATTGGAAACATCTGGAATTTTTGCACCACGTAGGAGAAAGGTTCAGAAACAATTTGGTTTTTGTTTTCAACTTGTCATTTAGCTGTTTGGCGTTGCACAGACACATCCACAGGTGGAAGAGGTGCCTGGCAGAAACACCTGTCTGCTTTCTAAGCCAGTGAGGTTGGGGTGAGAGATTTGCCAGAGTTTGTCTACCTCTGGGATTTAAAAAAAAATCAAACCAGAAGGTGCGATGGAATGGATGCATCGCAAACAATGCATTTTCTGAGTTTTCTTGTTTAAAAAAAGTTTTTTAAAAAAAGTTTTAAACAAGGTAATAACATGGCCAATTTGTTACATAAAATGACTTTCTGTGTATAAATTATTCCTAAAAAAAAATCCTCTGTTTATATAAAAAAAATCAGTAGATGAAAAAAATTTCAAAAATGTTTTTGTATATTCTGTTGTAAGAATTTATTCCTGTTATTGCGATATACTCTGGATTCTTTACATTATGGGGGGAAAAAAAGAAACTTTGTCTATTTTGAATGGCTGAAGCTAAGGCAACTTTAGTTTCTCTTACTCTGCTTTTTTCTAGTAGTTAAGTACTACATGGTTTAAGTTAAATAAAAGACTTCTGTATGCATTTTTGTCTCTGATTTTGTTTCCTCCCTTTCTGGAAGTGTCACCACACGTCTGTGGCAGGGAAGCCGAGCTCCGTGTGGCACTCGTGTTCACACATGGTGCTTGCAGTGTTCTTCAAGAAGGCAGTGCCTTGCTGACAGCTGAACCTTCTCAGCATGCAAATTGCCGGTGAAGACCAGAAGCTATTCTCTTTCTCTTAAATCAGCTGGAAGGAAATCTGAATACATAAAATACAGAAATCTGTACTTCACTTTTGAATGATTTGTAGATTTTTTTTTCCTGTACCTTCCCCTGACAAAAGTCAGGCCAAGACAGGTTTGGTCTGTGTGACTCCAGGGCAGAGGACTTAAGTCCTTTGCATGTCCTTGTTGGTGCCTCGGAGCCAACATACCACGTCAGAGGGTGTTGGTTACTTTCCAGCTTATGATTACTGATCTCCGCTGCCCCCAGGGATGCTACTACCCAGACATCGCTATCTTTGTCAGGGGAAATGGTTATCATAGGAAAAGAAACACAAGCCATAAACGTTTTCTAGAATCAGACCAAAGATGCAGAGACCTACAACATAAGGAGGACAAGCTGGTCCTTTCCTTCAATCGTGGGAAATTACACTTCAGTAACAAAATCAGCCCATTCGATGAAGAACTGTAGAGCAAGGCATGGGTTTAGATCACCTAAACACAAAGCCTTGCTGTCGCCCCAGGGGTTTTGCTCACCATTGTCACCAAGGGCCTGGCACTCTGAGGACCTTCACTAGGTGACTGGTGACTGAAGGTCTCATTTCCAAGGCCAGACTGCCCAGGGTGGCCTACCCCTTTCCCAGCAGGTGGATGCTGCACTTCCGGGGTGCTGCGGTGCGCCCCACACTTGGCCTGTGCAGCCGGAAGGAGCAGAGATTTCTCAGGACGAAGGTGCTGGGTCCTTAGAGGTTAGAACCTCTTCCCTCTGTGCCACTTCTTAAGACTCAACCTAGGAGGGCTGCTCCTGTGTTTCCCCCACAGGTCCAGCTATCAGCCCAGACTCGTGTGTGTTTCTTGTGGTGGTCCCTTGTCACCGAAGGGCTTCCACACCTATTCTCTCGTGGAATATTCCCAATCACCCTGCAAAGGAAGGATTGTAATTACTCTGTTTTATAGATGAGCAAACACGCAGACACGCCCGAGGCCCCCCAGCTATTAAATGGCCAACCCAGGACTCGGCCTTTTATGCTGTGGTTTTCAGGCTGACTCAGTGCATACGGACAGGGGTGCCAGGCCACGCGCACAGACCAGGATGTGAATGAGCCTCTGGGGCTCTCCCTGGACAACTTCAGAGGCCACAGAGGGGAAATGAAGGGGAAGCTCATCAAGGGGAGGGTCCGAGCCTCCGTCGGGATGATATCTGAAAGTTTTAAAAAGGAGTACGGCATGGTGCCAAGCATTCTGAAATAACACAGGGCCTGGCCCTGGAGAACCCCTGTTTGCCAGCGTCCTGGGACAGGAGTCGGGCCTGGGGGGAGGCAGGGTTGGGGGTCAAGGGCTCTAGGCAGCAGCTGTCTGTCCCTGAGTACCGAAGGCTCTGATGTCCACATTAACAGCCATCCGGCCAGACCTGTGCACGCCGCCCAGCGCCATCCCACCCACCTGCTGGCTTTGATCTGCCACAGGGTGACTTTGATCTATTTTATGCCGGATGATCCAGGTTTATTTGCAAAGTGGTTCCTATAAAGTCTATTCCAAATGCACAGGTGTGCTGCTGGGCTAGCAGCGAAACGGCACTTTTTCTTACAGTGAATGAATGTGGGTACTAGGTAGTTTCGAGCACGCCAATGTAAGAAATTCCCCAGGGCTTAGCTACCTTCACTCACTTCCTCAAAAACAACAACAACAAAAAGCAATGTTACCAATGGGGCTCCCAACAGGAAGTGGCCCTGGAAAACACTGAACAAGCAGAACCTTGCTGGGAGCAGGTTGGCACAAGACCCAGTGCAGAGTCATAAAGGCAAAACAAAAGATGAAACAGAAAGCAGATTCTGTATTTTGAAAGTTGGGGAGAATACTGACCACAGAGAGAAGCTGAGCCCAGCTGTTAGCCTTTGCTTTAAGACCAAACACAATCCCCCTGGTAGGAATATACAATGGTGCCGCTGCTATGGAAAACGTGTAGAGGCTCCTCAAAAAATTAAACATAGAATTATCATTCCATCCAGCAGTTCCCCTCTGCACAAAAGAACTGGAATCAGGAACTCCAAGAGGTATTTCCACACCAATGTATTTCCACATCATTATTCACAATAGCCAAAAGGTGGAAGCAACCCAAGTGTCCACCTACAGATGAATGGGTAAACAAAATGTGATCTACACATACAAGAGAATATTATTCAGCCTTAAAAAAAAAAAAATGAATGAAATCCTGTCACATGCTACAACATAGATGAGCCTGGAGAACATCATGCTAAGTGAAATAAACCAGACACAAAAGGACAAACACTGTAAGATTCCACTTATATTAGGTACCTAGAGTTGTCTAATTCATAGGGATGGAGGGTATCATGGTGGTTGCCAAGGGCTTGGGGAAGCAGAAGGAATAGGTAGAAATAGTTTAATGGGTACAGAGTTTCAATTCGGGATGATGAGAAAGTTCTGGAGATGGATGCTGGTGATCACTGCATAAAAATGTAAATGTACTGAATGCCACTGAACTGGACACTCAAAAATTATTAAAATAAGTAAGCAGTAAAAGGGTAAAAAACAGAAGGAGAGAAAAACCAAACACTGGAGCCTCAGTGGCTCCGAAGCTGCCCACAGGACCTGAAGGCACAGCATGGGGTCCAGGACCAAGCGCTGGGGCTGTGGCCACGTCTGTATTTTCATGGGCCTCGCAGAACAGGTCTGCGGTCCCAGTAAGCCGGGCAGGATCGCACAGACCCACTGCATAGTCTTTTACAAGAAAAGAGATGACTAGAATTTCATTTCATTGTCGTGAAAGCCATAACTGAAGTTAGTTCATCCTTTGTGAGACGCCCGCCTTCCAGAGTGTTCTTTCTTCTGACAATAGAAGAACCCTTTGTGATTTTGCTGGGCTAATTCAGAATTTTTCTCCCTCTGTGTAAACTGTTTTAACAGGCGATTTTGTAGAAAGCCTCTCAAAGCACAGGTGAATCTCCACGCAGGATTGAAGCGCTTCATTTTCTCTGAAGGATCCACCCCCCCTCCCCCCCAGGTTGGTCGGCTTTGGCCGGATTCACCACGGCTGAGTTTTCTGAGTCGTGCTTTGCGCTCGGGCTTCCTCACTCTCCTCCAGCATCTCCCGGATGATGACTTGCAAGGCTTTCCCCAGCAGGCTGGCCGGGAGCCGGGGCGACAGTGGAGGGACATGAATGAGTGCAGCGTGCCCATTTCCGTGATGCAGGGACAGGTAATAGGTGTAATCGCAGACGTATCTGCAACCGCAGAAAGCGCCACGTTACTTCTCCACCCAGCCTCTAACGTGGCGGAGTGTCAGCGGCAGTGGCCATGCAACATTGCAAAGCCGGGGGAGGGGAGGCCACCCGAGAGACTGCACTTTGGTTCTTCTGCCTCAGAAAGAACGAAGTGTGGGGCGAGCTGGGGACGGGCTTGGCCCTCAGTCTCATGGGCTCACGGCCAGCAAGTGGCCACGACAAATTCTCAACCAGCTAGTTCAAAACACCTTTACCCCAGTGCATCCCTGTCTCACTCATGTCTTCAGTGAGTCATTTATTTACTCATTCCTTGGGGAGAGGAGAAACTGCCCAGTGGGGGTCAGAGTTCGGAGAAACAAAGGTCAATCAGTCTTTATCGAGGGCTAAATCAGCATTGTTAACTCACAACTTTGGTCCCTCAAACTAAAAAGGCATTCGCTAAATGTTAGCGGCTCTCAAAATCTGCCTTCCCATCTCTTCTCCTGTGTCAGCCCACCGAAGAGCCCATTCCAGGAAGGGCATCTCAGAAATGAGACCTCAAGCAGGACAGCAAAGTGGGACCATCTGGGGTGGGTGGCACTGCCCGACCAAGTGGCCAGCAGGAGGTGCAGGATGGACTCTTGGAGGGGAGGGGGACACTGAAGACCAGCCCTTCTCTCCTACCTGCTCAGTGCCCTGGCACCCACAGAGTGTACCTGCCCGCATCTCGGGAAAAGGCCACCTCGACATCTCCGATGGCAACGCCCCTGCAGACTGCCTTCATGCTGACCCCCGACGCGATCACTTCTGGGCCGCCCGGGAGGCACACCCCACCCTCGGGCCGGAAGCCCCGGACGTCGGCATCCCGGTAGCCTCGGTTCTTGCCGCACTGTTCCAGAAAGATTGCCTTGGCAGAGGCGTCCATGCCCACATGGACGGCGAGCTGTGTGGACACACAATAGCAGAAAGATCCCAGGAAACCAAGTCCCTGGTCACTAAATGTGCAAAAGGGCCAAACCCTGGGACAGCCGGCTCCAGGGTGCAAAATATCCCAAACCCCAAATCCACCATGAAACCCCAGTGCCCTGCCTGGTGTCTCCTAATAATTATAGTTAGAACAAAAAGCAGCCTGGGTTTTTTAGCCGAATAGAAACCCATGTTGCACTCACATTTAAATGCTTTTATATTTCAAAATATTCTTACAGGGCAATGTATTCTTTCATTTTTGATGGGAGGAGTGGCAAGCTGGTATCTAAGACTACCATAGCAGAAGTTTAGTGTTTTCATGGAATTGTTCAACTTCTTTTTAATGCAGTTTTAATAAAGGATGTTAGTAGCAGTCCAATCTTGGTAGAATTTGTCTGAGCCAATTATTTTTCCTCTGTGAACAATAGCTAGCTGCTGAGTATTTTACCACAACACTTGGGGTATTGTCTTAATGGCTTGGTGGAGTATGTTTTATTAAACTCATCATCTGGTCTTTGTTTTTGTGTTTTTATGTTTGTTTGTTTTGCAGGGGGTGGGTTGTACCAGTTGGGGTTTTTTGGTTTTGTTTTTTGGTTTTAGAAACAGGGTCTCCTTTTGTTGCCTAGGCTGGAGTGCAGTGGTGCAATCACAGCTCACTATAACCTCAAAGACTTGGGCTCAAGCGAGCCTCCTACCTCAGCCTCTGGAGTAACTGGAACTATAGGCATGTGCCACCATGCCTGGCAAATTGTTCTGTTAATATTTTTTGTAGTGATGGGGTCTCACTGTGTTGGCCAGGCCAGTCTCGAATCCCTGGGCTCAAGGGATCCTCCTGCCTTGGCCTCCCAAAGTGCTAAGATTATAGGCATGAGCCACTGCACCAGTTCTTTACATAGTAATTATATACAGATACATTCGGCTGAGTGCTATGAAGATGGTCCCTCCCCTGGGTGGGCCACCCCCACCAACTGCTCTCCCAGGCCTGGGAGGCCCTGGTCCCATATTCCACTCACAACCAACCTGCCCACATGGGCTTGTGTGGGACCTGACCCAAGGGCCTCTCCCTTAGGTGGAAACTATTTTGAGTCCTGGCTGGGAATAATACTTCCATTTCTTTTCTTCCCTTTTTCTCTCCAGATTTTCTTTTAAAACTTGCTCTACATTTCAAATTAAACTTTTAGAAACAAACCCACCCAGAACCGTACAAAAGGGACCTCGCATTACTGGTGGGACTTGGGCATGGGTGCACTTCGGCCACCAACCCTAGAACCAGGGTCCCGGGGTGCTCCCGGGCTCCCGGCTTCACCCGGTTGTCAGCCTCTTGCCCCATGGCCCCTCCGGCCATCAGTACTTGCGGTCGGAGCTCTTCCCAGATTCTGGCGACCCTCCGCCTCGCCTCCCTGTAATCCACAGGCAGCTGAAGAGTCCGCAGCTCCAGCTCCATGTCACCCCCCAGGCCCAGCTGGGACAGCTCCTGCGGAGAGAAGCGCGGGGGCTTGCCTCAGTGGATGGGGGCAGGGAGAAGTCGCTGAAGACTCAGCCCTTGGGGTCCACTCCCAGGGTCTTCAGTGTGCCAGGACCCCGCCCTCCAGGAGCTCACACAGTGGCCCGGGCCGAGAGGGCCGCGGTTCCCGCCCCGCGAGACAAATGCTGAGCGTGGCTGCCCCCGTCAAGGCGGGGCGCCCTACAGAGGCCCGTCCGACCGGCCGTGTGTGCAGAGGGGTGCGCATGAGTCCTGTGCGCGGATGCGGGTGAGCCCCGTGAAGACGCCGGCGCGGGCAGGCCAGGCAGAGGAAGCTACAAAGGCAGAGGGGCGCACAGGAGCCTGAGGCCTCTGGGGACTTCGCTGTGACACGGCGCCCCTGGCAGGGCTGAAGGCTTCTTCCGTGTGTCCTGCACGCCTCAGGACAGGACATCCAGCGCCCTGGGCTCTCATCTGAGCACAAGCCGCCTACAGCATCTCCAGGTGTTATGACAAATAACCCACCACCACCACCAGTGGCACGACAGGGAGCACCGCACGCGGGGAAGGGTGGGGGGGACAGACAGCCTCTGGACGGCCGCCGGTCATGTTGGATGACGTCCACCCCATGACCTCGTTTTAACTTGATTACCCCTGTAAAGACCCTACGTCCAGTGAAGGCCACGGGCACTGGGTGTTAGGATTTCCACGTCTTTTGAGGGGAACAGAATTCAACCCGTCACTCCCTCTAAGACTGTGCTTTCTTGGAAGGCTGATGGCATCGCTTTTGCCCAGGTAGAAAGTACCGAGAAGCCGTACCCTAGACCTCCTTGGCATTTATAGAGCCAGGGTGGGGTGGAAGACGTTTGACATTAGACGTGACACCCGTGTCTCTTACTTATTGAGAGACAAGGCCCACGAGACTCAAGGCCCTGCCTCTGCTCACGCTGGGATTCCTCGGGCACAGTGACAGCCCCTGCTGCATTCCGGGAGGGCTCCTGGGCTGGGGCCGCCCTCCACACACACGGCACTGAGGTTTCAGCCCAGAAAACGGAAAGAGGTACTTTCACTGGAATAGACACAGACGTCACACAGAGCTGCCCATCTGTGCAGGTCACTTTTTGCCACCCAGTAGCTGGAGAAACTCCTCTAATATTTAGAGATCTTGGGGTATCAGCGTTGACAGAGAACAGACTGTGGACAAGTGTGAACTTGAACTTGTTCATGTATTGCCTTGGAATTATCCTCCAGTATCTTCCTAGTGTGTTTTTGCTTCCTAACTAGAATGTCACCCTCTTCCTCTTTCCCTCCACAGTTGTCCTGATGAAGGGAGAGGCACCTAGGCGGATCCGCCCTGTCCCCAGAGATGGGGACTCGCTGTCATCATGGACTCTGCTAAGGTATCACCAGGCTCCAAGGGAGGAGGTCATCGCTGCTGCCCATACTGTGTGGGTGGGGGAGGGGGACGTCCCGATTCCTGCTAGGTTCCCTGGAACCCTTCAAGCACACAGAGGGAAACCGCAGCCAACAGACATCCCCCATGGAGGACAGAGGGCACCGTCTCCACAGCCATCGATTTGGAGGCAGGAGAACAACTGTACCTCCATGTACTTAGCCCAGGCTCCGGCCAAATTGCTTGTATGGTCCTTGGAAGTCTGCTGCCACCCTGAAGTCACCAGAATGAGTGGTGGGCTCTATTGGTTTTGGGGGGTACTATGGACTGAACTCCAAAATGCTTATGTTGAAGCCTTAACCCCCCAATGGGATGATATTCGGAGATGGGTCCTTTGGGAGGTCTTTTGGTTAGGTGAGGTCATGAGGATGGGGCCCCCATGATGGAATTAGTGCCCTTCTAAGAAGAGATGCCAGAGCCTTTCTCTCCCTACCTTGTGAGGTAAGCAAGGAGGCAGCTGTCTGCAAACCAGGCAGAGAGCCCTCACCAGGAACTGAGTCAGCCAGAAGCTTGACCTCAGGCTTCCAGCCTCCAGAACTGTGAGGAATAAAGGTCTGTGTAGAAGCCACTCAGTCTGTGACATTGCGTTACAGCAGCCCAAGCTGACTAAGATGGGACTTCCAGTGGGTAATGAGATGAGGCCTGGTTGAGCTTCATCCGGCCAGTGCATCATTCAGCTTGAGAGGGCCACCGTCAGAATCCCACTTGAGACGGTGAGGAACTTTCCCCAACTTGAAATGGTGGAGGGAGTCTCCAGACGCTGCCTCATGTGGCAACTCCTGCTCTTGCAATGCCTGTCTGTCTGTCTGTCTGTCTGTCTCCCATACCCACACACTTACCTGGTGTCCTGGGCCACGTGCACCGTGTCCATGGCAGACAAAGGCATTTTACAAAAAATAAGCCAGAGCTGGTGGTTATCACCAGACTAAGCCTGGACGGGGGCGGGGGTGCAGGCCAGGGGGCCACACGCAGGGCCAGACCCCAGCTACGGTACCAAGGGAAAGGCATGGGCTTTGGGTCAGAAAGACCTGGCTCTGGCCCCTCTCACTGAGTAAGCTGGGCATGTTATTTACCTTTGGCGTACCTCAATTTTCTCATCCGTGAAATGGGGATAATGGAAAACCAGAGTGGTTTTTATGAAGATCAGATGAGATGGTTCACTCAGCACGTGCCTGGCACACAGTTGGGGCTTTATAGGAGGGACTGGCGTTGATAATGAGCCCGTATTAATTTGAGAATGTCATGCACTGAAAATGACATTTATTAGAATCTGATGAGCCTGGGGCCCGTCTGAGGAGCGAGAACGTTCCCCACAAGCAGACTGCAGGCCGCTGGCTGTCACCACCGTTTCTGCCGAGAAAGGCTGGTTCTTTTAGTAGAGGGAGGCCTGGTTCTGTGCAGCCCCAGAGAGAGGCAGGCTTTGCGTTTTGCGAGCTGGCACACTTGCTCAGCTAGAATTGCAGTTTTCTTTGTGCTAAAGGGGGAGGAACAAAGCCTGGCATAACCACCCTCCCCAAAATGACATCTAGCGAACTGCTTTAGCCAGAGGAACGCCTGGGCTCACGGAGGCATGGAGCGTCTTGTGCTAGGTCCATATCCCCTCAAAAAAGCCTGGACCTCACCAGTGGCAAAGTCCTGCTGCCTCTTTCTCTCTCCCACTTCTTCTGGCCCCCATGTTGTCCGAAATCTGGTCGCCAGGAACACATGGCAGTTTAACAAACAAGACCGAAGGGAGGAAAATGACTTCCAGTTGCTCTCTGAATTTGTTCAGATCCACCAAGGCTGCGGCACCAGTTGGTGTTGAAAAACAGTTGCTGTTTTTCCGAGATCCGATTCTTCCCTTCTCAAACATGAGTTCGGGGCTAGCACCAGGATGCATGAATGTCTTCCTTTGTTTAGTTGTTCCAGAAAATTCCCTGAGAGCTTGAAATCTGGCATCTGCTCAGGGCTGGGCGTGTCCTGGAGGGTCGAGTTCTTGGAGGAGACACGAGGGCTAGAAGCAGCAGACGTGGGCTGCAGAACAGAGGTGGAACCCACAACCCAAATCTCCCCTTCACTACTGGGGAGTTGGGCAAATGATTGAAATCTGCTGAGCCTCAGTTTCCCTCTCCATGAAGCATAGTGATAATAGGACCTCCCTCAGAGGGTTGCAGTGAAGGTTAGATAAGACCCTGCATGCAGAGGGCTGCATGGAGGAGGGGGCCTCTTTGACCAGAACTTGGAAGATTAGCAGGAATTTGCCTGGGGAAAGAACTTTCCACAGAGCAGGAACAGTGAGGCTTGGAGCTGTGTGCAAAGACCTTCCTTCCTTCTTCTTTCCCATCTTTTCATCCTCTCCTCCCCTTTCTTTCCCTCCCTCTCATTTTCCCTCCCTTCTTTGCACTTTTTCCCATCAGTCATGGGCTGTGCTGCAAGGCCCTCCCTCCTGAAGTCTCTACACTGGGCTCTGGCAGAGGGTTTGGGGTGCAGGTGGGGATGGGGTGACAATGAGAGAGGAAGAGAGAGAGAGAGAGAGAGAGAGAGAGAGAGAATTAATGTGGTCCTCTTGACCTGCTGGGTTGGAAGGGACCCGCAAGTCATCAGGTGTCACTGAGACTCAGGCTTGGACACTGAGCCACCGTCTAGGCTGGAGGCCCCCCGTGAAGACAGAAGCTAAAGCCAGAGGCGGTCACGTGGGCAGAGGAAGGAGAGCGAAAGAGACGGAGGAGGCCTGGCAGAGGGAGGAGGGGAATAAGTACAGGAGCCATCGGAGGAGTATAACACAGCCATTACAAATGATTTTATGAGGAATTTATTGACGCAGGGAAACCCCTGAGAAAGAATAAGTTTAACAAATCAGGATCTCAGACTGTTTCCTGCACCTGTTGATGAAAATGGAGACATACCGGAACGGCCCTCCCTTGCGCGCGCAGTAGCAGGGCTCATTCTTATTTCTGTTCTCTCTGTGAGGTTTGGACAATGGACATGCATGTGCTACGTCTCTGGTACTACCAGGGTTTACACTCTGGTGTGAGTACAGTAACCCAGTACTCACACCAGCTGCCCTGGAGGCCCCCTGCTGTGTAAGCCACTGTGCCCAGCACCTCACTGCAACCTTCTGCTGGCTACTGATGGTGTCCCCATTCCACAGATGAGGAGGAAGGGGAAAATAGACCAAACATCACAGTGGGGGAGAGAAGGCAGCCAAGTTCATTGGCAAATGTGGGGAGAAATAAAGATTTATGGAGAGTAACATCAGCAAGATGGAGGAATAAAAGATCCCTTGGCATCACCCTCCCACAAAAATACAGCTAGAAATTATTTAAAGGCAAGAATTCCACCCCGAATAAATGAGAATTCAGGGGAGAAGCAAAGAAACTCCCTGGGCCAACAGAATTGAGAGAAGCTGAGACCAATAAGAGAAGTAGTTATTTCAGACTGTGCTGTCCCCTTCTCCCAGCGAGCATAATACCAAGCAAAACAGTCACAGAGAATCTTTCTAGATATATGGTTGCCAAGGTGAGAAGAGGGAATTGGAGGTGAATGTTTGATCTCCCCACCAGTGTGAGATTCTTTGTGAGAAGTCCACTCCAGTCTCATCCCACAGGAACCACTGATAGTGCCAGAAGGGCTGAACTACCTGGGGCAAATTGCTGACAAAGAGTGGGGCACTGATTTTAGCAACTGGACGCAGGTCTTGTTGACTACTCAGCACTCCAAGCAGCAGGGCGCCATGTTGAAGAGACTGGCTGGTGCCATAGCATCACAGAGCACACAATCTGTGGGAAGTCCTGAATCCTTAGCCTGACTGTCCACAAAGCCCAGGTGCTTGTGTGAAGCCTTTCCCTGGCCATGAAACAACTGAAAGGCTGGAATTAAGTTCTGGTGCCCACTTTCCCAGACTGGGAAACAATGGCATGGTGCTGATTTATTTCCAGAGCACTGTTTAAGCTCCAGTGTTCACTAAAAATATTCCCCAGACCAGGAAGCAATGACAGGGCTCTCAGTTAGTTTTGATGAAGTGCTTCAGTTCCAGTACAGTGTTTTAGTTCCAGCACTCACTCTAAGTCGTCCCCAGAATGGGAAGCAACAACAGGCTAGCATCTAAGTTTTGAAACTAAGATGTAAAAGTCCAACACCAAAGAACACCTGTCCAAACTGGAAGAGGTGGCTGTCTTCTCAAATGTGTAGGCATCGATGTAAAGATGCAAGGATTGTGAAAACTTATGGAACATCATCAAAAGAAACTAACAAATCTCCAGCAATGAAGCCAAAAGAATTGAAGATCTATAAAATATCTAAGAGAGAATTCATAGTAATTTTCTTAGCCACTTTGCTACGAGCGTCAACTATAGTCAATAGCCACAGATGAACGCCCATAGCCGAGCATTGACTTTAGCCAACAGCCATGATATGAAGGCACATAGCCGAGTGTTGACTTTAGCTGACAGCAGTGATATGACTTTTCTAATTTTTCATTTATCAAAATAAAATTGTGAACATTTAAAAATAACACAATAAAAACATATATGTATATGTTACCTATTCTGGTTTACATTTCAAGTAAAGCTGCCTGTAAAGTAAAACAACCATTCAGTGCTTTAAAGCTTTCCTCATCACACAAGAGCAAAATGGATTCATCATCAATGCACAGCACAAACTATCGTGCAGACTATGAGTGCCAGCTGTGGGCAAGTTTTCATGGCTTGTGAGCGCCATATGGAAGTGGTTAAATAAGTTCAGGAAATCACACACACACAAAGATATGGATAAAATACTAAATAAAATTTGGAAAGCAAACCAGGAACAAAATGAGAAATTTGAAAAAGAAATACAAGCAATTAAAAAAAAAAAAAACCAAAACCAGAAATCCTAGAAATAAAGAATGCAACAATTGAACTGAAAAACTCATTAGAAAGTTTCAACAGTAGACTTGATCAAGCAGTGGAAAAAATTAGAGTTCTAGAAGACAGAAAATAAGAAATTACTTAGAGGAGCAAAAAGGAAAAAAAAGAATAAAAAAGAGTGAAAAAAGGCTTACAAGAAATCTGGGACATCATCGAGAGAACTAACCTCCACATAATTGGAATTCCTGAAGGAGACAAGAGAGAAAATGTCCTAGAAAGCACAGTTAAGGAAATAATGACTGAATATTTCCCAAATCTGAAGAAAGGTGACATCATCCAGGTAGAGGAAGCTCAGAAATTACCAATAAAATTCAACCCAAAGAGGAATTCCCCAAGGCATATCATAGTCAAAATAGTAAAAATCAAAGACAAAGGAAGACTACTCAAAGCAGTAAGAGAATAGAAATGTATCATCTTAAACAGAGCCCCAATAAGGCTTTCAGCAGATTTTTCAGTAGAAACCCTGTAAGCTAGAAGATAATAGGATGTTATATTCAAAGTGCTGAAGGAAAAATAAAAACTGTCAACCAAGAATAGTGTACCCAGCAAAGCTCTCCTTCAAGCACAAAAGAAAGATAAAGACTTTCCCAGACAAACAAAAGCTGAGGAATTAATCAACACTAGACTTGTGTTACAAGATATGCTAAGGGGAATTCTTCAATTTGAAAGAAATGGACACTAAGATGTAACAAGAAAACACCTGAAGGTATAAACTCACTGGGGCTGGGTACGGTGGCTCACATCTGTAATCCTAGCACTCTGGGAAGCTGAGATAGAAGGATCACTTGAACTCAGGAGTTTGAGACCAGCCTGAGCAAGAGCAAGACCCGATGTCTATTAAAAATAGAAAAAATTAGCTGGGTGTCATGGTGCACACCCATAGTCCCAGCTACACTGGAGGCTGAAGCAGGAGGATTGCTTGAGTTCAGAAGTTGGAGGTTGCTATGAGCTAGGGTGTTGCTACAGCACTGTAGCCTAGGCAACAGAGCAAGATTCTGTCTCAAAACAAACAAAAAGAAATTCCAAAACCAAAATTTACCATGATACCACCCTGGCAAAAGTAAGAAAACAGACAAATTTAGAATACTCTAACACTGTTATTGTGATAAGTAAAACACATATTTTAAGTATGAAGGCTAAAAGACAAAACTATTAAAAATAATAACTATGACATTTGGTTAAGAGCTAGGCGATATAAAAAGATAAAAGTTGAGGATGTGAGGGTGATATGGCTGTGACACTTGTCACCCCATTGATGGCTAGGGTTGATTCGGTTTATCTGGCTGGCTAGGCGGGTGTCCCCTTCCTCCCTCACTGCTCCATGTGCATCCCTCCTGAAGCCGCATGCTGGGTTGAAGAGGACGACTTTCCCCGATAGAGGAGGATTGTTCTTCAGTCAAGAGTATATGAGTAGCTGCATTCCCCTGCTAGAACCTCAAAACAAGCTCTCAAGATATAAATTGAAACATCAAACAGTAAAAATGGTGGGATGGTGTTAAAGTATAGAGTTTGTTTTGATACTTTTCTTTGTGATCAAAGTTAAGTTCTTATCAATTTAAAATAGCCTATTATAACTGTGTTTTTAATAAGCCTCATGGTAACCAAAAAGCAAACACCTATAAGAGATGCACTAAAAATAAATAGCATGGAACCAAAACATACTACTAGAGAAAATCACTTAACCACAAAGAAGGGCAGTAAGAAAGGAAAAAAGCAAGAAAAGATCTGCTAAAGAACAAGAAGGTAAGTAACAAAATGGCAATAGTAAACCGTTACCTATCAGTGATAACCTTGAATATAAATGGATTAACTTATCCAATTAAAAGACACAGACTAGCTAGATAGATTAAACGAAAAAAAAACACCAAGACCCAATATATGCTGTCTATAAGAAATTCATTTCACCTATAAAGACATGCCCAACTGAAAGTGAAGAAATGGAAAAAGATATTCCATGCAAATGGAAACCAGAAAAGAGCAGAAGTTGCTACACTTATATCAGATAAAATAGACTTTAAGTCAAGAATGGTAAAAAAAAAAAAAAAAAGACAAAGAAAGTCATTATACATTGATAAAGGAGTAAATACAGCAAGAAGTTATAGGAATTTATAGGAATTTTAAATATATATGCACCCAACACCAGAGCACCCAAACATATAAAATAAGTATTATTAGACCTAAAGGGAGAGATTGACTGCAATACAATGATATTAGAGAATTTCAACACCCCACTTTCGGCAATGGACAGATAATCTGGATAAAAAAATCAACAAAGAAACATCGCAGATAAACTGCACTCAAGACCAAATGGATGGAACAGACATTTATAGAACATTCCACCCAATAGCTACAGAGTACACATTTTTCTCAACAGTACATGGAACATTCTCTGGGACAGACCATATGTGAGGTCACAAAACAAGTCTCTAAAAGAATTGAAATTATATCAAGTATCTTTTTTGACCGCAATGGAATAAAATCAGAAATCAATAACAGAAGGAGCATGGATTGGAAACTGCACAAATTCACAGAAATTAAACAACATGTTCCTGAACAACAAATGGGTCAATGAAGAAATTACAAATTAAACTTTAAAATTTCATGATACAAATGAAGATGGAAACACAACATACCAAAACTTAGGGGATACAGTAAAAAAGTTCTAAAAAGGACATTTATAGCAATAAATGCCTTCATCAAAAAGGTAGACTTCAAATAAACAAACTAATGATGAACCTCAAGGAATCAGAAAAGCAATAACAAATCAAATCCAAAATTAGTAGAAGGAAATAAATAATAAAGATCAAATCATAAATAAATAAAAATTGTGAATAAAAAAGTACAAAATATCAATGAAGAAAAAATTTGGTTTTTTGAATGGATAAACAAAATTGATAAAACTTTTAGCCAGACAACTAAGAAAAAGAGAGGGAAGATTCAAATAAATAAAACCAGAGATGAAAAAAGAGACATTACAACTGATATCACAGAAATAGAAAGGATCGTTAGAGACTATTATGAACAACTATACACAAATTGGAAAACCTAGAAAGAACAAATAAATCTCTGGTCATATATAACCTACCAAGTTCAAACCATGGAAAAATAAAAAATCTGAACAGACCAATAATTAGTAACACATTAAATTGGTAGTAAAAAGTCTCCCAATAAAAAAAGATCCCCAGGATGTGACGACTTCACTGCTGACTTCTACCAAACACTTATGAAGAACTAATTCCACTCAACTATTCTAAAAATTTAAAGAGGAAGGAATTCTTCCAGACTTGTTCTATGAAACCAGCATTACCCTGATACCAAAACCAGAAAAGGACACAACAAAACAAGAAAACTACAGGCCAATATCCCTCATGAGCACAGATGCAAAATCCTCAATAAAATACTAGGAAACCAAATTCAACAACACATTAAAAAGATCATTTACCACAATTAAATGGGATTACCCCAGGGTTGCAAGGAGAGTTCAACATATGCATATCGATAAACCTGTTACATCACATTAACAGAATCAAGAACAAACCCCATATGATTATTTCAATAGATACAGGAAAGACATTCAATAAAATTCAACATCCTCTCAGAATAAAAACTCAAAACACTGGGTATAGAAAGAACATGCCATAAGACAATACAGGTTATATATGACAGGCCCGCAGCTAATACTGAATGGGGAGAACTGAAAGCCTTGGCTCTAAGATCTGGAAGAAGACAAGGATGTCCACTTTCACCGCTTTTATTCAACATAACAATGGAAGTCCCAGCCGGAGCAATTAGACAAGAGAAAGAAACAGGAGTTAGAAACCAGCCTGGGCAACAGAGTGAGACCCTATCACTAAAAACAAAAAGAAGAAGAAGAAGAAAAAGGAAAAATGATCTGAATAGACATTGCACAAAAGAAGACATACAGATGACCAACAGGTACAGCCAATATTACTAATCAAAAGGGAAATGCAAACCAAAACCAACAATTAGCTATATCTCATTCTTGTTAAAATGGCTATTATCCAAAAGGAAAAAATAACAGATGCTTGTGGCGATGCAGAGAGGGGGATACTAGTGCACTGTTGGTGGGAATGTAAATTAGGACAGCCACTGTGGAAAACAGTATGGGGACCCTCAAAAAACTGAAAATAGATCTATTACTACATAGGATCCAGCAATCCCACTGCTGTATATATATGCAAAAGAAATTAAGTCACTATATCAAAGAGATATCTGCACTCCAATATTTATTGCAGCATTACTCACAATAGCCAAGATGTGGAATCACCCTAAGTGCCCATCTGTGAATGAACGGATAAAGAAAATGTGGTATATATAAACAATGGAATATTATTCAGCTATAAAAAAGAAGGCCAGGAGCAGTGGCTCACGCCTATAATCCTAGCACTTTGGGAGACCCAGATGGGTCGATCACTTGAGACCAGGAGTTTGAGACCAGCATGAGCAACATAGTGAGACCCCATTGCTACAAAAAAATAGAAAAATCAGCTGGGCATGTTGGAGCACGCCTGTAGTCCCTACTCAGGAGGCTAAGGTGGGAGGATCGCTTGAGCCCAGGAGTTTGCAGTTGCAGTGAACTATGATGTAACTGCACTCTGACTTGTGCAACAGAGCAAGATTCTGTCTCAAAAAAATAAAAAAAATGAAATCCTGTCATTTGCAGCAACATAGATTGAACTGGAGATCATTAGGTTAAGTGAAATAAGCCAGGCACAGAAACACAAATATCACATGTTCTCACTCATATGTGGAGCTAAGAAAGTTGCCGTCATTGAGGTAGGAAGTTGAATGACAGTTGCCAGAGGCTAGACAGGGTGTCAGGGGAGGGGGGACTAAAGAGAGGTTGGTTTGCATACAGAGGGCAGTTAGACAGAAAAAACATGTTCTAGTGTTCATTAGCACAGTTGGGTGATGATATTAACAACAATTTATTGTATATTTCAAAATAGCTAGAAGAGAAGATTGGAAATGTTCCCAACAGAAAGAAATGATAAATGCTTGAGGTGGTGGATAAGCTAATTACCTTGATTTGATCATTACATATTGTATGTATGTATCAAAATATCACTTATACCCCATAAGTATGTATAATTATTATGTATCAATAAAAAAATTTTTTTAAAGATTTATGATGAAATAAGTCAGATACAAAAAGACAAATATTATGTGATTCCATGTGTATGAGCTGTCTAGAATCGTCAACTTCATAAAGAAAAAGGTGTAATAGTGATTACTAAGGTTGGGAGAAGGAAGGAATAGAGGGTAATTGTTTAATGGATACAGCATTTCAGTATGGGACAATGGAAATTTCTGGAAATGCTAGTGGTGATGGTTGTACAACAATGTAAATGCACTTAATAACACTGAACTGTACACTTAAAAAGGGTTAAAATGGCAAATTTAATGTTATGTATATTTTACCACAATATTTGAAAAGTATGGACTTCACCATCACCTTCCCCCACCAACATTTTTTAACCTGGTTGAAAAATTCCACCTGATGAAAGACTAAAGCCACAGTAAGTCACTCAGCTCGGGCTAACTTCCCTGTCCTTTAGTCGGGGCTAGGAACTAAGTTGGGGTTTAACTAAGCCTACTCTTTTCCATGTCTGGAAGCCTTCTGGAGTTCTACGGAATCAAGATCTAGAAGTCATTTTCTCAGACAGCAGCAACAAAATCTCAAAGTAACGGTATCCGAGCTGCTGGTTTGCTGAAGGTGTCTCGGGATTTGAGGGGTCCTGAAATGAAGTCATTAGGGATGGCAGTTATTCTCACATAAATGCTGTACTGCAATCCCAGAACAATCAAAATGTAGACATGTTCCCAGGAACAGAAGAGGCAGGGAGGGGCAGTGGTAACTCCAGAATTTTCTGGAGGCTGAGGCCTGCGGATGGTGAGCTGGTTGGAAAAGGGCGTGGTCTTGGTAAGAGAAGCTCATTATTAGATGATGTTTATTTGATGTATCCTGGAGACATTAGCAAACATAGGAGCTAAGTTAAAATGTTACAGATTATCATTTTATTTCACTGAATTATCATAGCAGCCTTTCAGAAGTAATGAAAAAAGGAGGGTCTGGTCAACTTGGCCTCAGTCTCCCCACCTGCATAATGTGAGCAATAACAGTCTACCGTAAATATTATTAGGACCCAAGAGTTAAAGTAAAATGGAAAAAAAAGAGGTCCATAGTGACTTTGATGAGAGCAGTTGGAGCATGGAACCAGGGCTGGAGGCCAGGCAGTGGCAAATAAATTTAAAAGTTAATGGAATTCTCTTCTCTCCTTTTATTTTATTTTTTTCTTGATCAGTCTGGTGAGAGTTTTATCAATTTTGTTGATTTTCTCAAAAAGCCAACTTTTGGTTCCTTTGATTTTCATTATTATGCTTCTCTCTATTTCATTTAGTTTTCTGCTTTGATCTTTATTATTTTCTTTCTTCTGATTTGAGAACTTTCTTCTTGTATAATACTGTTGCTTAGTGCTATAAATTTTTCCCAACGTTCTGCTTTAGCAACATGCCATAAATTTTGATATGGTATGTTTTAATTTTCATTGATCTCAAAATGCTTTTTAATTTCCTTTTTTGATTTTTCCTTTCATCCATGGCTTATTTTAAGTATATTATTTAGTTTCCAAATATTTGGGGATTTTCCAGATATCTTTCCACTGTTGGTTTCTAATTAAAATTCATCATAGCCAGAGAATAGAGTCACATGGTGTGACCTGAATCCTTTTGAATTGATTCAGACTTGTTTTACCTATCTTGGTCAGTGTCCTACATGCACTTAAGTGTATGTTCTGTGTTGTTTGTTGAGTATTCTATAAATGTCTGTTAGAGCTAGTTGGTTAGTGATGTCACTCAAACCTGCTGTGTCCTCACTGATATTCTGCCTCTGTGTTCTATTCGTTATTGAGAGAAGGGTATTGAAATCTTTGACTATAACTGAGTGTTTGTCTATTCTCCTTGCAATTCTATTAGTTTTTGCTTCATGTATTTTGGAAGCATTAGTGGCAAGAATGTTTAGGGCTGTTACGGCCTCTTTATTAATTGACCTTGATGCTACATGATTTTCCCTCCCTCCCTCCCTCCCTCCCTCCCTCCCTCCCTCCCTTCCTTCCTTCCTTCCTTCCTTCCTTCCTTCCTTCCTTTCACAGTGTCTTGCTTTGTCACCCCAGCTAGAGTACAGTGGCATCATCATAGCTCACTGCAACCTCAAACTCCTGGGCTCAAGAGATTGTCCTGCCCCCGAGTCCCAAGAAGCTGGGACCACAGGTATGCGCCACCAGCCTGGCTAATTTTTCTATTTTTTTGTGGAGACAGAGTCTCACTCTTGCTCAGGCGGTCACGAACTCGTGACTCCAAGTGCTTCTCCCCCATGGGCCTCCCAGTGTGCTAAGATTACAGGCATGAGCCACTGTGCCCTTTCTGCTACATGATTTTCTAACTTCACATTGTGAGCTCCAGACACAGCTACCAAGACAGATAAGGGTCAGGAATAGTCTTACAAGCAGGCAACAGAGAGGGTGACCTCAGCAGGTTGTTGGCTGAGAGCTACTGCCCAAAATGCCTCTTGTGGCTCCCTAATCATTGCCCCTTCTCTGGGGGACCCTATGCCTGAAATTTCACCTCCAGAGATCTTTGGGGTTTCTCTCAAATATTCATAAATGCCTACAAGAGAGGAAACACAGCATTATGTACACTTTCCTGCCCAGAGAGAAGGTGCAGTGTGTGAGCGCTGGGGCCCAGAGTGGAACCAAAAACTGGGGGAGTTGGGAGCACCCCAGAAAGACGCAACCTCTCAAGGCTGATCTGGGGTGCAGGGTAACCTGCTGTGATTGCAGATGTCAGCGGAGAGGCTGGGGACCTGATTAACGGGGACCTGATTAACCCATCTCAAACTGGCTCCCAGCCTGCAGGCCTAAGGAGGTCTGCACAGATTTTGGTATCTCAGGTGTGGCAGCCCCAGTGAATGCTGATGTTTTCCAAGATTTGCAGCATGCTTCTTATGTGAGTGGATGTGAGGGTGGAGATGAGAGGAGGCATGCTTAACAGCCTTCCCTCTCTTATTTGTTTCCCCCAAAGCTCTATCCAGAATGAAAAGGAACTAAGCGTTGTCCTTTGAATCCCAGTTCAAATCGGACATCCTGTTGCCCCAGGTAACCTGCATGATTTCCAGGATCACGCTTGTTTGTGCACTTTTCTCTGGTGTTAGATGTTAGACTGTGTGTGTTGCAGGATATATTTTTATCATATTTATGGCAGCACCAATGTAGCCCTGATTCCCCCAAGATTCTGATCTGAACTCTACAAATCAAAATTGACAGCTCAGAGGGTTTCCATCCTGACAGAGTACGACGTAAGGACCCTACCTGCATGTCTCCAGAGAGGACATGATGAATTTCATCAAACCTAAGTTCCAGAGATAGAAGACCAAGCACTATTGTATGAACCAGCAAGAAAGCGAAAACACTACCCAACTATGACAAAGTGTAAGATGCGGTTGATGGTGAGATTCATCTGATTTCAGGATGCCAAAATTTTTTTTTAAAGTGGCTCTCAGCATCAATGGAATACGGTGGGCAAGGAGAACTAGAACAGGAGGACGCGCACACAGACTTATATATAAAAGTAGTGCAGTTATTTAAAAAGTGCCCACCTCAGTCTAACTTTAGCTAAGCACACAGTGGTAGAAAACCAAGTAGGAATCATGCCTTTCCCTTGGAGCAGAGGAACCTTAATGATCAGGAGGCATCACCCCGAGACAGGAAAGGGAGGAGGGAAAAGTTTCAAGAGAAGATGGACTTTCAAAAGGAAATGAGCCATAGCCCAAAGTATAAAAAAAAAAAAAGCAATATGAAGATACTTTAAAGAGATATAAGTAGATCTACCATTTGATCCAGCAATCCCATTATTGGGCATCTACCCAAAAGAACAAAAGATACTCTATAAAAAAGACATCTGCACTCGAATGTTTATAGCAGCACAATTCACAATTGCAAAGATGTGGAAACAACCCAAGTGCCCATCAATACATGACTGGATTAATAAAATGTGGTATATGTATACCATGGAGTACTACTCAGCTATAAGAAACAATGGTGACATAGCACCTCTTGTATTTTCCTGGCTAGAGCCGGAACCCATTCTACTAAGTGGAGTATCCCAAGAATGGAAAAATAAGCACCACATGTACTCACCAACAAATTGGTTTCACTGATCAACACCTAAGTGTGCATATAGGAATACCATTTATTGGGCGTCGGGCAGGTGGGAGGGGGAGGAGGGGCTGGGTATATACATACATAATGAGTGTGATGCGCACCATCTGGGGGATGGACACGCTTGAAGCTCTGACTTGAGGGGGGAGAGAGGAAGGGAAATATACATTACCTAAACATTTGTACCCCCATAATGTGCTGAAATAAAAAAAAATATCCATACGGATCTAACGAAATGACCTCATGAATAAACAAATAAGTGGGCGGGGAGGAGAGCGAACTTTCTCAGGCAGGTGCATTCCCAATAATTGATGTAGACACTCTGCCCTCAGTCGGGGCATCACTCCCCACTCTTTCATATTGGGCTGCACAAGGTGACTTCCTTCCAAAGAGTACAGGCTACAGGGAGACAAGTTTATGATGGGGGGGACCTGGCAAACACTCCCTCTCAGCCAGGTGAGATAAAAAAGACGGTCAGCATCAACAGTGGTGGGGCACGTCGATGTGATGTGACGAGCAGGACACTTCACCTCTGTGCTCTCCTCCCCAAAGCTTTTGACCTCACTCTGGTCTTGAGAAAAGCAGCAGGCTAATCCCACATGGGACAAACGTAAAATCCCTGGCCGGTGCTCCTCGAAACTGTCAAGTCATCGAACACTAGGGAAGTCTGAGAAGCGGCCACAAGTCAAGACGAGCCTACGGAGGCATGATGACATTTGGACGCGGTGTCCCGGGTGGGATCCTGGGGCAGAGAAGAGACGGTAGGGGGAAAACGAGGAAACCTGGATAAACTATGGGCTTTCTTTCACGATAACATATCGATGTTGGTTCAGTCACTGTGACAAATGTACCACACTAATGTAAAGGGTGAACACTAGCAGAAGCTGAGTGTGGAATGCATGAGAATTCTTTGTACTGCATTCAGAACTTTTTTGTACATCTAAATGTATTTTTAAACAACACAAAGTTTATTTAAAAAAACAAACAGGAAACAAGCTGGAAGGGCTTCTCTGTGCAGCACCCTGGGAAGAACGAACTGAGGACTCTAAACTTTGCCGGGGGTGGTGTTGGGGACAGGGGACCCACTGCAACACCCCCGAAAGGTGCTGGTGTCATTCTGAAAGATCTGTCATCCTGCTCTGGTTTTTCTGGTCTGTCATCCCGTCAGTGTGGGAATGGCTTTAGGGTTTAGCTGGAACTAAACATTTGACTCATTTGTCTATGAATAGCAAGCTTTTCCCCAAATAAATGCGCTTCCCTGAGTGTTTGCTGAGAGCGTGGCGTTGATGGGAGGACTGGGAACCTGAGCAGATGCTCTTCGTGAACACAGGCTGTGGGGCCTCCGCTCTAAGGTGTGGGTTTTGTCTTCACTCGCTTTTATCCCCAGGAGATGTCTGCAGTTCAGCCCGTTGCGTGGGCCGCTGCCCTTACAGACCCAGCCTTCTGCCCAGGGCCTGGCCTCTTTGTCATGGGCTCACACAGTCCCCGTGTTCTTGTGCCATTGCAAAATGAGAATGTAGGGACAGTCCTACTTCATGCTGTCCTGGGGCCGGTATGAACTGTGCATAGTCACTCATTTCTCTTCCATAGGATGGGCTCACACTGCAGTTACCAGGCTGAAGAGACAGGGTGGAAGAGATCGTGGAAAAGGGTTCCAGTGAGTCTGGGGTATCCAATGGTGGCGCTCAATGTCCAGACGGCCCATTGCTGTGCTTGCCCAGGAAGTGGCTGGCACTGAGTTTGGTTGCTGTTGTAGGTGAGGTCCCTGTCGACTACAGAGAGATTTCTGGGGTCTCCTTTCATCCTCATCCTGATTATTTTTATCTGAGGCCTTTCCCATTTTAATCAAGAAAACGAAAGTCCGCTCACTGTGGACTATCTTGGGAAACGTCTGTCAAACATATATGTCTGTATTCACCTAGGTTAGAAAAATGTTGTCATTTTACAAATCCCTTCTTTCATTTGCTGACTTCCCAGGCTTCAGGCACTCCTAGAAGAGCTAAGGATGTAATTTCTTTTGAATGAATATGGGGTGGTAGTGGCTACAAAATTAGAGTATCCAGAAACCAGGCGATAATGATGAAGCCACTACATAAGTCGCTACATAAAACTTGTGACTGAGAAGGGAAGTGAGTCCACCACAGGCTGGCTCAAGGCTAAATACTTTGGCACATACTGTTGGTAAACAGCATGAAGTCACTCTTCTAGGAGTTTGTAGGAGATGCCTCTTTTCATTGTGAACCTTTAGCATTTATATTATTTTTCTATGTTTTCCTTCTTCTACAAACACTCTTTTTCCATTTCTGAGCAACCATAACAAAAGTGCATTTGAGTTATTATTGTTTTTTTAAATTTTGAGATAGGGTCTTGCTCTGTCACCCAGGTTGGAGTGCAGTGGTGCAATCATAGCTCACTGCAGCCTTGAACTCCTAGGCTCAAGTGATCTTCCCTCCTCAGCCTCCCAAGTAGCTAGGACTTCAGGTGTATGCAAGCATGCTTGGTTAATTTTTTAAAAATTTTTTGTAGGGATGGGGTCCTGCAATGTTGCCCAGGCTGGTCTTGAACTTCTGGCCTCAAGCCTTGGCCTCCCAAATTGTTGAGATTACAAATGTAAGCCACCACACCCAGCCTATTTCTACTTTTTTAATAGTCATTTCTGAAATTTTTCCATGCATAATAATAATTTAACAAAGTCTAAAGCTGATATCTGAATGCCTGCCCTGCAGAATACAAAGACCTTAAAAGACTTAAACTTCAATCACACCTCTTGGCCTGTACAGTCTCATTGTCCTATATGTTAGTTCAGTCCATTTTTAAGCCTAAAAATTAGCTATCATATTATTATTATTTTGTACAAATAATGCTAGCTTAGATTTTACCTACAAGCTTACTGTTCCTCTTTGTAATTCATACATCTTTCTGGGATCATTTGAAGGACAGCCATTAGATGTTCCCTTAGTATTTTGCCTTTTAATAGTAAATTCTTGGTATTTTTAAAATGAAAATGCCTTTACTTCTTCTTTGTTCCTAAAAAATAAATTTTATGTGTACACAATTATAGGTTGACAATTTTTTTCAGCTCTTTGAAGATATTTACTGTTTTCTGGCTTTTGTTGTTGCTTTTGAGAAATTTTTACTCTTACTTAACTAGACTGTCAATTTTTGCAAGTGATATGTCTTTTCTCTCTGGCTACTTAAAGCCCTCTTTGTCTTTGGTATTTGAAGCTTAACTATAATGTGTAGGGGTGTGGATTTTGTTTCCTTTTGCTTACATATTTTGTGCTTCTAATCTCTGTGGATTCATGACTTTCATCAATTCTGGAATATTCTCAACTCTTATCTCTTTGAATATTGCTTCACATTCATTCTTGTTGTCCCCTCCTCCTGGAACTCCAATTAGACATAGGTTAGACTACCACATTTCATCATCCATATCTCTTAATTTCTTTTTCCACTTCCTTGTACATCTCTTTATGCTGCCCTTTGAGTAAAATCTACAGATCTATCTTCTAGTTCACTAATTTTCTCTTCAATGTTCTCTAAACCACCATATATGTGCATGCATGTATCTGTATCTATATATCTGTCTTTATTGAGATATAATTCATATACCATACAATTCACCCATTTAAAGTCTTAAATTCAGTCATTTTAATTCAGTGGTTTTTAGTAGATTCACAGAGTTACATAACCATCACTACAATCAATTTTAGAATCTTTTTATCACCCCTAAAAGAAACCCTATATCCATTAACTGTCACTCTTCCTCCTCACATACCACAGACCACTGTCGATCTACTTCTTATCTCAATGGATTTGCTTAATCTGGACAATCATATAAATAAAGCATAAAATATGTAATCTTTTGCAATGGGTGTCTTTCACTTATGATTCTAAACTGCCTTTTAAGTCATCCGTTGAATTCTTTACTTTAACAATTGTGTTTTTAATTTCTATAAGTTCTATTTCTTCTTTTTTCAATTTGCCTGATCTTTTGATGGTCTCTTGTTGCTTATTTTTGTGATTCTATCTTTAAATATTTCATATATGGTTATGCTAATTCTGATCATTCTAGTAGCTAAAGTCCCTGAGGTTCTAAATCTATCCACTGATTTTTACTAGTGGTTGTTTGGTGATCTTTGATTGGAAACTGACATTTAGTTCATCTTAATTTGTGAAAGACCTGAGGTTTTAATTCCACATGAAAGATAGCATAAGCTTCTGTGGGAGTCAGAGGTGCTTCAGACTACAGGGGCCTTTGTCAAGGGTCTGACTTAAAGGAGGAGCCTTGGTTTCATGTCTAACCCACTTTCTGCCCACAATGCTGATCATGGAATTTGCCCTCACCTGCCTCTTGTGTGTGTGCTAAAAACTCACTCCCCCAGCCTGCAGCTCTCAGCACGTGTATATGTATGCATGCATGTACATGTGTATGTACACATGTATGTATGTGCAGGCATGCATGTGTGTGAGTGTGTGCACGTGTGTATGTGTGCATGTGTGTTTTGTGTATGTGTATACATGTATGTCTGTGGACACATGTATGTGTGCACGTGCGTATGAATGTGTATGCATGTGTATATATGTGTGTATGCATGTGTATGTGTGTGTATGAGTACATGTTTGCTCCTCAGAGCTGTCCTTTACTTCCTGCTTGCCCATGATGTTCAGAAGCTCTGCTATCTTATCTATGAATGGGGCAGAATCAGATCCTGTTTGCCTGCACCTGAGACCCTGGCTGATAGAATAGCCTTCTAATAATAGCAAAACTGTATTTATGAGCACTGCAGTGTGCCCCACCCTGTTATGAGGGGTTTGTGTGTGTTAACTCCTTTAGTCTTCATGACTTTCCGTTTTACAGATGAGGAAACTCAGCCACAGGAAAGTCAGGCCCCACATCTTGCGCCTGTTGGCGCTGGGAGGTAAACCCAGGCAGTCTCGCTCTTTCCTTCTCATGACTGCAAAAAGAAATGGAAGGGCTCAGGACCATCCAGGAGTTGGCAGGAAAAGTCCTGTTTTGTGAGGAACTGGCTGCAGACACCCAGAAGCTTATGGAAGCTGGCCTTTCTGGTATGTTGTGAGCTACGGTGAGGCTGGCAGTGGGTTGGGTCTGGGGTTCTCTGAGCTTTTTCCTGGTTGAAAAAAATCCAAATTCTAACTGAAGAGTCGAGAGTTTCCTTGACTGCGTCTGTGCTGACAGGCTAGCAAATCAGTGCCACAGTCGCTGCAAATGCATGCTGCAAGGAGGCTGGCTGCATTTTCAGCTTGACTGGGGAACTCCGAGAACAGACTCAAGACCCCACCTTGACCTAACAGAGGCATGAAATTGATAGCCCAGCGTGAATAAACAGCTGGCGCTAAGTGACACCTGTGTGGGGACAGACAGCAGACAATTGCCCCAAGGAGAAGAGGTCTGTGTTGCAGGGAGACGTCATCCCTCCTCACAGACTGTCTGAGGACACGCTTTCTCCTCGTCGGCTGCTTTCTTTAAAACAAGCCTGCTGTTTAGGATAATAACCATTTGCCAAGTGCTCACTCTGTGCCAGGCACTGTGCTTACAAAGGCTGCTTGTACAAAGTTGCTTTACCTACTTCCCTCTTTGGGTCCTAGGATCAACTCTGCCACATGAGCACTCGTATTCCCCCATGACATGAATGAGGAAACTGAGGGCCCCCAGCCAGAGGGGTGGGGACAATGGGACCCAGCTGTGGGCCAGGACATCCTGCCATGGGGCACTCTCCGTCCCTCCCAGGACTGTCCCTTTAGCCTCCTCTCTTTACTACAGAGGCAAGAGGGGCGTCTGAAGGCAGACAAGTTGCAACCCAAGGACTGAAGACCCGTGGTTCTCCCAGGGGCCCGTGAGTTTGTTTCTCTTCCGCCGCTGTGGATCTGGTTACCAAGGGGCCTGCACACTGGGATTTCTCGGCAGCCACAGCAACAGGAGCTGGCTGCGCCCTGCGCTCCTGGGTCTTGATCTGGAGGGTGTTTACCTTCACGGCTTCCCAGCTGGAATTCACCAGGTGCTGCCGGAAGGGCCCAAAACCTGAAACCAAAGACACTCAGGTTTGCTCAAGCCAGGCCTTGGGAGTGGGGGCCTCCACTCCCGGCTGTCTCAGGCACCAGGCTGTGCTCTGTGAGAATCTCTTGCTGCTCCCCAGACTACCTCGGGCTCTAGGCATCTCTGCATGTCCCCTTTCTCATGGAGACCTGCAACCTCGCCAGTCCGGGAGCATTCTCAGAGGCCTCTCATGTGAGGCATTGCAGGGAAGCCCAAAGAGAAGGTAAGGCTGACCCACCGCCAGGCTAGGAGGGCTGGAGAGCATGTGGTACAGATGTCTGATTAAAATGCACGCTTTGCAGAGGGCCCAGAAACAGATCCGCATGAACGTGCTCAATTGTTTGTTGACAACGGTGCAAAAGCAATTCAGTGGAGGAGGGATAGGATTTTCAACAAATGGTTTTGGAACAATTGGACACCAATAGGCCAGAAAATGCACCCCATACCTAAGGTGCAAGACTTAGGTTGCAGGGTGCATTTCTGGCCTATTGGTGATCAAAATGGATCGTAGACTTCAGTGTAAAAAGTAGAACTATAAAACTTTTAGGAGGAGAAGGGAAAAAATCTTAGGCTAGGCAAAGAGTTCTTATACTTGAAACCAAAGCATGATGCATAATGGGAAAAATTTACAAATTGGATTTCACCAAAATTAAAAACTTTTGCTCTGCGAAAGACCCTGTTAAGAAGATGAAAAGACAAGCTACAGACAGGGAGAAAATATCTCCAAATTATATATTTGATCAAGGCATTGCATGTAGAATATAGAAAGGATCCTTGGCCAGGATGGTGGCTCATGCCTATAATCCTAGTGCTTTGGGAGGCTGAGGCTAGAGGATTTCTTGAGGCCAGGAGGTTGAGGTTGTAATGAGCAATGAGGACACCACTGCACTCTAGCCCAGGCAACTGAATGAGATTCTGTATCAAGAAAAAAAAGAGAGAGAGCTCTCAAAACTCAGTGCTAAAAAGCAAACAATCCAATTAGAAAATGGGAAAAAGACACTAAGTTCACTGAAGAGGATATACAGTTGGCAAATAAGCACATGAAAAGATGTTCAACATCATTAACTATCATGGAAATGCAAATTAGAATCTCCATGAGATGTCACTGCGCACTTACCAGAGTGGATAAAATAGAAATACTGGTAACACCAAATGTTGACAAGGATGAGGAGAAACTGGCCACTCACTTACTGCTGGCAGGAATATAAGATGGTATTGCCACTCTGAGAAATAGTTTGATAGCTTCTTTCAAAATTGAAAGTAGACTTACCAGTGCTTGCACTACTGGATATTTAACTCAGAGAAAAGAAAACTTCTTTTCACACTGATACTTGTATAAGAATGTTCACCGTGGCTTTATTTGTAATAGCCCAAGGCTGGTAACTATGCAAATGTTCTGCAGTGGGTTAACATAAAACAACTGTGGTTCATCCACATCATGGAATACTACTCAGCAGTGAAAAGAAATAAGTGGAGACAACTCAACTATCCGTTAACTGGTGAATGGAAACTAAATGCAGTATAATCCATGCAATGGAACATTATTTGGCAATAAAACAGGAAATCAAATTATGACACACACCTGCTACAACGTCGGCCAACCTTGAAAACATGCTAAGTGAAAGCAGCCAGTCACAAAGGCCACATATTGCATGATTCCATTTACATGAAATGGCCAGAATAGGCAAATCTATAAGGACAGAAAGTATATTAGTGGTTGCCAGGGGCTGGATGTGTATGTTGAGGGGACATGGGTGACGATGACTAAGGGGACTGGGGTTTCTTTTGGGGTGTGCTGAAAATGTCCTAAAATTGTAGTGATGAATGTATAAAACCTGTGACTATACTACGAGCTACTGAATTGTACATTATAGTTTCTCAATGAAGCCATTACAAAAAAATATTTTTTTAAAATGAAGGAAATAGCCTGGGCAACATAGCAAGACTTCATCTCTACAAAAAATAAATAACATAAAAAATTTAGCTGGGTGTGGTGGCATGTACCCATAATCCCAGCTACTCGGGAGGCTGAGCCAGGAGGATCCCTTGAGCCCAGGAGCTGGAGGCTGCAGCAAGCTATGATGACGCTGCTACACTCCCCCCCTGGGTGACAAAGTGAGACCCTATCTCAAAAAAAAAAAAAAAAAAGAAAGGAACTATTGATACAACTTGAATGAACCTCAAAGAAATTGTGCTGAGTGAAAAAGCCCATCTCAAAAGGATGCATACTGCATGATTCCATTAATATATTTGTAAATAAAATAATTGTAGATATGGAGAACAGCTTAGAGAGGTGTTAGAGATGGGGAAGGGCGTGGGTGAGGCTATAAAGGGGTAGCCTGAGGGAGCTTTGTGGCCAGGGTACAGCTAGATATCTTGATTGTGGTGGTTTTACAGGAAGCTACTCCTGTGATGAAAGTGCATAGAGCTACACACACACACACACACACACACACACACACACACACACACACAGGCTTATCCCAATGTCAACATCCTGGCTTGCATATTGAAGATGTTAACACCAGGAGAGATTGAGTAAAGGGTGCAGGGGACCTCACTGTATATTTCTTTGCAAATTCCTATGAATGTATAATTATTTGAAAATAAAAAATGTTATCACTGTGTGGGGGAGGCCCGCCCCTGGCAGATCGGCCTGTGAGGAAGTGGGTGCTCATTTCAGGGGCTGCAGATACAGGCGGCATTCTCCAACTCAGCTTCACCCGGAACGCAGCTGGGGTTTTGTGTTCTATCTCTCTGATTCCTGGGATGTATTTCTCGATTCATACAAATTCTGACACGGGGAAAGCGCTGTGATTAAATATCAGCCTCTGAAACCCCAAATCCCTGGACCCCAGGCCTTTAGAGTAGGAGCCAGTTCCACAGAGGAACCCCGATGCCTTTGCAATTCCTCAATGTCTGAGTCTAGAACCCCTAACCGGGTCGGTTTACAAAGGGGTAAAACTTCAGGGAATGAAAAGGTTTTGCACAGGAAGTCCCAGGAAGCCTGTGGTGTCCTCTGATTTGACTGAATCCTATAGAATAACTAAAACTTTAGCTGCCACTGGGAACTGGCAGCAAAAAGAAAAGAACAGTTTTCAGAAGATATTGAGATTAAGAAAAAAAAATCACTGAGAAATCAGGTACCTCATGGGATAATAAAAATGCAGTGACTCACAAAAGAATCATGTGCTGCTTTAGAATCATATTCAGATCAGCAAAAATTACATCTCTGATCTGTTTTTTTTTTTTTTTTTTTGAGACAGAGTCTCGCTTTGTTGCCCAGGCTAGAGTGAGTGCCATGGCGTCAGCCTAGCTCACAGCAACCTCAAACTCCTGGCTCAAGCGATCCTCCTGCCTCAGCCTCCCAAGTAGCTGGGACTACAGGCATTTGCCACCATGCCCGGCTAATTTTTTGCACATATATTAGTCGTCCAATTAATTTCTTTCTATTTATAGTAGAGACGGGGTCTTGCTCTTGCTCAGGCTGGTTTCGAACTCCTCACCTCGAGCAATCCGCCCGCCTCGGCCTCCCAGAGAGCTAGGATTACAGGCGTGAACACCGCGCCCGGCCTGATCTGTTTTAAATGAGAAAAAACAACCTGGCAAGTGAAGGTCAGATGCTCTGGCTTTGCAGGGTCAAACCTTACTTTCAACTTGGCCGGAGAAATCTTCTCTTGGATCCAAGACAGGCCCTTTGGAGGGACATGGTCCTTCCCAGCTATTTTTGGTGCCAGTCGGAACACCTTGATCGTAAGGCCATTTGTCAGAGCCCTGGTTCTCCCACCATCTGTCTACGTGCCAATTGTCTTGGCGAGATTTACACACGAAGCAAATCCAATTAAATGAAGAGACTGCCCCTGGCAGCTGAAAGCATTTCTAATAACAGGAAGGCCACGCTCTGGAATTCAGCGGGCATTCCCACATCGCCGCTGATTACCAGGTACTTCATCAAACAATCGAGAGTCTGCCAGCAAACCACAGGCTGAC